TATTTTCCCAACAGGCTTTGCCATGAACTCCCCCCACCCACAGGCTCACATGATGCACAAAATCCACTCCGTGTCCACTTTACAGGTACACCTCTTACAGTGTAATGTAATCCAATACAACTATTCTGCCATTCTGTGTACTTTCATTCAGAGTTCATTCAGCAATGTTTTAGCATTGAAGTCAGAGTAATGGTTTTGGTGCTAGCAGTTAGGGGTTCACTCACAAAATCAAAGGTGTTTTTGAGAATTGATACAATATCACAAAACAAAATATCGCAATACAATATGAATGAATTTCCTACAATTTTCACAAAAAACTGAACTTTATGAGCGTCATAATTATAGATATATTTTATGATATGGCTGTTACTTTGGAATGTGTCAGATTTTACAAGTGTCCTTAATAAAGGGCCACTGTGTGTATAATGAAGTAGAAATCCGGATAAATAAACAATTCAATAAAAAATGTAGAAGATGATTTTTATTGTAATGACACATTTGTCTATTCATAAAAAAAAACAAAAATGTGCATCAAAGAATTTAAATCACTGCCTTACTGTCAATAATGTCACCTTTTATATAAATACATACATTTATATCAGCCAGCTGCCTGTGATATTGTGAGTTCAAGTGTAGCCCTTAGTACAACTCTGAAGGACTTGAACTTAGTAAATATTTCACAGCAGATATGTGACATTATATTTCTGTACAATATTTGGCAACATAATGCTTTGTCATAATTTAATTTAATAAGGGGGTTAAGATGTGTCCCTTTGTATTACCTGACCTCGTTGTCATATGATATGTTTCGTGTACTGAAGGAATGAAGGATCATTCTAACTGAAGGGTCTGATAGAAATCTGGAGCCTGAACCTCCACTTCCAGCTTCTTCCAACACCAGAAAGCCATGGCCAGTATCTCCACCTACAGCCTCTGCCAGTAAGTTTCAGTCTCTTTTTCCACCTGCAGATAGTGGCAGAAGATACAGCGCAGACCTCCACCCACAGCCTATTTCAGAAACCTGTGTTCTGAACCTCCACCTGTGCGAGCAAACGGCGGGCACCTGCCAAACCGCTGGCTGCATTACCTGCAAAAATGAAGAGACAGAAGTCAATATCCGATTTTTTTTACAAATAAACAGGCAAAGCAAAATGAGCAAACTACTCCAGCTTCCACTGTGGCCTCAGCAACAGACCCAGAGCGTCCATCTCCACCACGGACTCCGACGACGTGTGTGTGTGTGTTTGTGTGTGTGTGTGTGTGTGTGTGTGTGTGTGTGAGTGTGTGTGCGGCTCTGCACATCAGTCTGATATGAGTGTTGACTTGTGATGATAATGACTATGATGTTGATTTAGATTCAAGACAGCAAGATGAGTTTTGGTTGTGGGTGTACAGATGTACTTTTCATCTGTGCGTTTATGTGTAAATGGGCTTGGCCTGTTGTGTGTGAATGTTAGAGTGGGATCAGAGGGGTTAATCTGAGCAAGCATGTGTTCATCATACGTGTACGATAGATGTGACTATGTGGGGTCGGAATAAAAAAAAGTGCTCCGCAACGTTATTTAATACATCAGTAATATTGTCTGTTTCAATGCATATGCCCCCTTACCCCCTCCGCGTGACTTGAAATTATGCCCCCCCCCCCCTTGTTCAGATGCGTTCCGCGGTCCATGGTGGCAGAAACCTGCAATCCGAACCTCTACCTACAGCCTCTCCCAGAAAGCTGCAGCCCCAGTCTGCATCTGCAAATTGTGGCAGAAAGTTTTAGCACAATCCTCCCCAGACAGTCTCAACCAGCAGCTGCTACCTGCACCTGCAGACTGTGGCAGCAACTTGGTGTCAATGATCTCACCTGAAGGTTCAGCCACCAACCTGCATCCTAGACCTCCACCCACAGTCTCTACCAGAAAGCTGCAGCCACTGTCTCCATGTGCACATTGTGGCAGAAAGCTTTAGCACACAGTTCTACCCGCAGTCTGTCACAGCAACAGCCACTTCTTCCACAGAAGTGTTTTGCAGAAAGCTGCAACACAGACCTCCACCCACAGTCTCTGCCTGCAAGCTCCATCCTCGTCCTGCACCTGCAGATAGTAGCAGCAAGCTGCAGTACCCTCCTCCGCCCACAGTCTCTTCATTCTGCATTCTGAACCTCCACACACAGCCTCTGCCAGCAAGCTGTAGCCTCTGTTTCTGCCTGCAGGTGGTGGCAGAAAGCTGCAGTGCAGACCTCCACCCACAGCTTCTCCCAGCTACCTGCATGCTGAACCTCCACCTACAGCCTCTGAAGGCTACATTGTCCATCTGTAGATTCTGGCAGAAAGCTGCAATGGAGACCTCCACCTCTACCAGAGGTAGACCTCCAGCTGCTACCTGCACCTGTAGACTGTGGCAGGAAGCTGCAGCACAGACCTCCACCCACCCTGTTCCAGCATCCTGCATTCTGAACCTCCACCTGCAGATTCTAACAGACAGCTGTGCACTAAAACTCAAACTACAGACTCTCCCAGAAGCTGCAGCTACATTTTCTATCTGTAGATTGGAATTGGAATTTGGAATTTCATGGTTTTCTGAATAAATTTGTCATAAAATGTGATCTGATCTTCATCTAAGTCAAGGGCCTTTTTGCCACTGTATAGCCTCTGCCAGAAGCTACATTGTCAATTAAGATAGCTGCAACCCAGAACTCCGCCTACAGTATCTTCCAGCAACCTGGTGCCAGTGATCTTAACAGAAGGTTCTACCATCAACCTGTAGCCTGAACCTCCACCTGTAGCCTCTGCCTGCACCTGCAGATAGTGGCAGGAAGCTTTAGCACATCGACCCACAGCCTCTTCTAGCAACCTGCATCCTGAGCCTCCACCTACAGCTTCTGCCAGAAGCTAAGGCAAAATTTTCCATATGTAGATCTGGCAGATTAACTGCAACTAAGAACTCCATCCACAGCCTCTTCCAGCAACCTGCATTCTGAACCTCTGCCAGACTCTGCCAGCAACCTGCAGCCTCTGTTTCCACCTGCACACGGTGGCCGAAAGCTGCAGTGGTCACCTCCACCCCGAGCTTTCCCTAGCAACCTGCATTCTGAACCTCCTCCTTAATTTTTGGACACATTGCTTTGGAATAAACCTCCAATTACAGCCTATGCCAGAAGCTGCAGCCGCATTTTCCATCTGTCGTTTCCACCCACAGTCTGTACCAGCAAGCTGCACCCTCTGTTTCAGCCAACAGACTATGGCAGAAAGCTGCAATCTGACCCTCCACCAACAGCTCCTCCCAACAACCTGTATTTTGAACATCCTCCTGCAGATTCTGACATACAGCTGTGGACTAAAGCTTCAGCTACATTTTGTAACTGTAGATTTTGGCAAGCCAGAACTCCACCCACAGTCTCTACCAGCAACCTGGTGTCAGTGATCTCAAAAGAAGGTTCTGCCAGCAACCTGCAGCCTGAACCTCCACCCTCAGCCTATGCCAGCAAGTAGCAGCCTCCATCTGCACATGCAGATAGTGGCAGAAGAATGTAGTGCACCCACAGCTTCTTCTAGCAACCTGCATCCTGTATCTTCACCTACAGCTTCTGCCAGAAGCTAAAGCTACATTTTTCATCTGTAGAGTCTGCCAGATAACTGGAGAAATCCACCCACAGTCTCCACCAGCAACCCGTAGCTGCTATCTGCATCTGCAGTCTGTGGCAGGAAGCTGCAGTGCAGACCTCCACCCACAGCCTCTTCCAGCAACCTGCATCCTGAACCTCCACGTTCAGATTCGGACAGATTGCTGTTGACTGAACCTCCAACTACAGCCTCATTCAGAAGCTGCAACTGCATTTTCCATCTGTTGACTCCACCCACAGTTTGTACCAGCAACCTTCCACCACTGCTTTCACCTGATTTTTGTGGCAGAAACCTGCAGCCTGAACCTCGACTGAAAGACTCTGTCAACCTGCAGACCTCAACCCACTGGAGCCTACAGTCACTTCCTCCACCAGGTTTCTTTCATGAGCTTTATTTGCATGAATGTCAGAAAAGAATATTGTCAAAGCCTTAGTAAGATGAAAAAATAAAATAATGTGTAATAAAACAGATATATAAAAAGAACAAGAAGACTGTAAACATTTGTGTGTGTGTGTGTGTGTGTGTGTGTGTGTGTGTGTGTGTGTGTGTGTGTGTGTGTGTGTGTGTGTGTGTCATGTTGCTGCCATCAAACTTTAAATCTGTTATCTGGGGTGGCTGTGGCTCAGAGGCAGATGGATGGCAAGCAGTTCTGGTCTGAGATTGGACATTGTTGGATTATGTGATCAGAAAATATCAGGACCAACTGACAAAAGAGACTTTTTGGGGGGTTCAGTTGTAAGGTTATAATGCATGAAATTTGCTATGTCTAAGAGGCTGAGGTATGGGGATATCCTGGGGTGAAATCCAAAAGGGCAACTGGCTGGCAGGCTTAGTTGGCTAGCCAGGCAGGCAGTGGATCCTCTGAGACAGTGAAGAACAGATGTCAGTAACTGGTAATACGTTTTAAGTTAAGTGAGCTGGAAGCATGACACATAGCAAACTAGGTATGGCACAATGATCTAACACTTGATGACAGACAGACAAGTCTGAATGGCAGGTGTGTACTAAGAGCCGAGCCTGTAGACTGTGTATTTCTGCATTGACCATTTGTCCTGTGCTGACCTCTGTACATAGATACACTTACAGGACAAGCAGAAGAAATATCAGATTATATATCAATATTAAAAAACATTCATTTAAAAAACAAAGAAAACAATAAACAAAATCACAATTCTTCTGTTTATGTACATCTTTTGTTGTTTTTCTTTCTCACTTGCTTTGACAATGTAAATGTCGATTTCATATGCCAATAAAGCCCCTTGGACTGAATTGAATTGAGAAAGAGAGGGAGAGAGAGAGACAAATAGAGAAAGAGTGAGGGAGAGAGAGAGAGAGAGAGAGAGAGAGGTGGGGCTGGCACAAAAATGCTCTTTGTGATGTCATGTTTTCTTTGTTTCTCTTGTACTCCATTTCCTAAGGAAGAGAAATATGACAGTAAAGGACCAACCATCTTGTTTTTCTTTTTTAATCTTAATACATTTTTTGTCAACAATGTAAAAGGAAAATGTAGGCCTCTATAACCAGGAAGGGGAATGAAAGAAAAACAATAGCAGTTGACTTGCAGTAAGAGGTGGAGCATAACTGGAAATGTTACAGCTTCACATTCCTCAGGTATAACTCAAGGTAAGTCGATTCACGGTAAGAGAAAGAGACAGAGAGTTCAGCATTCACTGGTGAGTACAGTACACAATAATTTATATGTTTAAACAGGCTGATTGAACACATTTTATCTGTATGCAGGGTGTTGTTGTTTCATTTTGTTTCGACACTTCATGTAAAAAGGTTTCAGTGAACCATCCAAATATAATTCAGACTAACTCGATATTCAAATATGGTTGCATTTCTAAACATGATGCTCAAAAAAGTTAATTTTTTCATACTGCATATTTGGTCTCATATCTAGATATAGTATGGCAGCTCCCAGCAGTCTCCTCTCTGAAGAGCAGTTTCGGTGTTCCATCTGTCTGGATGTGTTCTCTCATCCAGTCACCATACCTTGTGGACACAACTTCTGCAAGAACTGCATCACACAAGCCTGGGAAGTTAGTGGAAAATACCAGTGTCCTATATGTAAAGAGCTTCTCATCAGAAGGCCTGAACTCCGCGTCAATACTGTTTTATCTGAGATGGCTGATCGGTTCAGGAAATCAGCTAAAAAGAAAGCCAGCAGTGTAGAGCAAAAGCGAGCCAAAGGAGGAGATGTTACCTGTGACGTCTGCACTGAAACCAAACTGAAGGCCCTGAAGTCCTGCCTGGTGTGTCTGGCCTCCTACTGTGAGACTCACCTGGAGCCTCATCTCAGAATCCCAGGACTGAAAAGACATGAGCTGATCAATCCTGTGAAGAACCTGGAAGACAGAGTGTGTAAGAAGCATGATAGACCTCTGGAGGTGTTCTGTAAGACTGACCAGATGTATGTCTGTCAGTTGTGCATTGTGACAGAACACAGGAGACATAATTTTTCCCCTCTGAAAAAAGAATATGAACAAAGGAAAGCTACGCTGGGGAGAGATGGAGCTAAAATTCAGCAGATGATCCAGGAGAGACAGCTGAAGATTCAGCAGATCAAACAGTCAGTGAAGCTCAGTAAGGAAGATGCAGACAGAGAGACAGTAGCTGGTGTGCAGGTCTTCACTGCTCTGATCCAGTCTATTGAGAGAGATCTGGCTCAGTTCCAAGAGATTATCCAAGAGAAGCAGAAAACCACAGAGAAACAGGCTGAAGGCTTCATCATAGAGCTAGAAGAGGAAATATCTGAGTTGATAAAGAGAAGTGCTGAAGTGGAGCAGCTCTCAAACACCGAAGACCACCTCCAGCTCCTCCAAAGCTTCCCATCCCTGAACACAGCCCCACCCACCAAAGACTGGACAGAGGTCAGAGTTCACTCATCATATGAGGGGACTGTAAGGAGAGCTGTGGCTCAGCTGCAGGAGACCCTCAGTAAAGAAATGGAGAAGCTGTGTGCTGATATCGAGTTGAAGAGGGTCCAGCAGTTTGCGGTGGATGTGACTCTTGATCCTGACACTGCACATTCAGCTCTTGTCTTGTCTGAGAATAAAAATCATGTCAGTTGTGGTAATGTAAAAAAGAAACTGCCAGACAATCCAGGGAGATTTTCCCATAGTCCCTGTGTCTTAGGAAGGCAAAGTTTCTCTTCAGGAAGATTTTATTATGAAGTTAATGTTGAAGGGAAGACCAGATGGGATCTAGGAGTGGCCAAAGAGTCAGTCAACAGGAAGGGACATATTGCAGTTTGCCCAACGACAGGCTTTTGGGTTATTTGGCTGAAGAATGGAAATGAGTACAAAGCTCTTGATGAGCCTGGTGTCCATCTATCTCTAAAGTCAAAGCCTGAGAAGGTGGGGGTGTTTGTGGATTATGAGGAGGGTCTGGTCTCCTTTTATGATGTAGATTCTGCAGCTCTCATCTACTCCTTTACTGGCTGTAACTTCACTGAGAAACTCTTACCATTCTTTGGTCCTGGCATTAATGAGGGTGGTAAAAACTCTGCCCCTCTGATCATCTCTCCTGTCAGTCACACTGATTAGACTTTGATTTTCACCGGGAAGATGCTTTGAGCTATATTATTTGTCATACACAATGGGCTTCATGCAAGATATCCATTTATTTGTTTTTCGTATTTCTTAATACCCACTGATTCACCAATGTTTCCTTATGTTTGCTCTTCACTTAGGTGAGAGAGCATTTTATGAGTGGTTGAAAGCACTCTTACCTAAGATAAGAAAAAAATATCTATCCCACCGTCCACATATTGTTTGTCTAACGCAAGCACACAAAAGTTTTAGATGGGAGGAAAATAAAAAACACTATCATATAATCCAATTTAGATATATTTTAGTAATTAGAGTAATTATAATGATTGGATTATTAAATTAGTGGGCTAAAGAAACATTATTGGTCCACTGATCCCACTTCAAACTATAAAAATCCTTGTATGATATGCCTGCCTTCAGGTTCTGAATGGCATACTGATTCTTAATTACATTATGCTCTTATATGCTTTGCAAACGCAGAGAACGTTTTACCTTAGACCTCGCACAGTTCTATTGTATGAAACATACAATGTTACATACATGTTAAGCTTTTAGATTTGTGCAATACTCTAGAGTCTCCACTTTGTCCTGTAATTCCACTGATGCTCTGGAAACTAAAGTTTATTAAACAGAACATCAATTTCAAGTCTGCTGAAGTTCTTCTTCTAGATTTATAGAGATCAATTAATCAATATATCAGTGTCTCATAGATATGTATTTATATTTATGGGGCATGCACAGTTATACTGTGTATTCAGTTATTTTAATTCATTAGTTATTTGCTGTTTTTTTCTGTTGATATATATTTTTATTCTGTTCTAGTGTTATATGTGTATTTGCTGTAAATTTGTTGTTGCTGCATAACCTACTGCTGTAATTTGAATAATTATTATTTTTAATCATAATATTTGACTTCTTTTTTCTCTTGAGAGAAAAGTAGGGGAAAATACATTGAAGAGAATGTGGCTACATGAGACCCAATGTATAATTTCTTGTTTTATTGTGGTTGTGGTTATTACTTTATTCCATAGGACGACATTTCGCATTAGATATTTCTTTAATGTTTACTATTACTGCTCCAAAACCAATTTCCATATGGTTAATAATTCTTAATTCCTGATTCAATGTAGTTGTGTGCAAGTGTCAGTATTGACGTTATTGTCATGATTTTACATAAAAGAGGTGTTTAGTTTTTAGTTAATCTTTACAGAGCAGTAAATTAAGTCAAATGTGTACATTTACAGTGTGTTCAATCTCATATTTTAAACATTTACTGAAATAAAATAAGCAAATAGAAAAATGTTTGGGTTTGTGTTTCTGCATGAACAGCTGCACGAGAGGAGAAAGTAGGTTGTTTTACTAAAGGAGACTGGAGCAAATGACAGTTTGACATGACTTGACAGGTGACAGGTTAGCTCAGTTGGTAGAGCTGGCGACCCTTGTACCGAGGCCCAGGATTTGAGTCCGACCTGCGGCCCTTTGCTGCGTGTCATCCCGTCTCTGCCTCCCTTTCCTGTCTATCTTCGGCTGTCTCCTTCAATTAAAGGCCATAAACCCCCCCCCAAAAGTTCTCTTTTCTTTTTATTATAATCTGAATTTTAAAAAACTAATCAAACTGTCACCATCTGTGAAATTACAGGAATTATTGCTGTTTTCAGCAATAAAAACTGGAAAGAAAGTTTCTCTAAATAAGCAGTAAATTACAGTTAAAGACTTCACATTTTACATTAGATTAGATTAGATGTAAATTCACAGGCTATTCTTGTACTGGTATTAATATTTCCATTTATTTGAAAATACAGAAAACATCTGTAAAATAAATGGGAAAACCCCATAACACTAGAAAATGTGTTTATTCAGTGTGTACACACTGCAATGTTACATTCCTAATATCTCACAAACCATCTTTCCAGCAGGTGATCTTGACCACCAGGGATCCTGGATGCAAATAAATCCAACTCTGAATCTGGGACCACCCCCATTTGCTGTGTATTTTAAATACAGATAAAGTAAGACGTGTGGGCTGTGTAGTAGTAAAACAACATTATTTTATTATCATTTTATCATAAGAAAATGAAATGAAAAAAAAAACAGAAAACAGAAGTGCCTTACATGGCCAGAACCAGGATTAAAACATTTCAGGAGGCACTAGGCAAAAAGTAAAATCACAACAATTACAATCATATAGAGGTGAAGAAGAATAAAAGAGAATGAAAGACCCCCATCAGTAAAACAAAAAACGCAAAAAATACATATATAAAGAAAATACCCATAGGTAGAATATGATAAGAACAATATTACTAATAAATATCAGACATTTGGCAGCATGCTAGAATTAATAAAAGGCTTTTTTAAAGAGTGTGTTTTAAAAAAATATTTATTGCCTTTAATGGATAGTGACATGAAAGGAGGAGAGAGGGGATGACATACAGCTAAGGGCCAGAGAATGGATTCAAACCCTGGGCCACTGCAGCAAGGACTCAGCCTTGGTACATGGGGCACCAGCTCCACCTGGTGAGCTGTCAAGACACTCTGAAAGTTAAACCTGTTAGAAGAAGCGATTTAAAAAATGTCACTGACTCAGCAAGCCTTAGACTCTCAGGTAGGTAGTTCCAGAGCAGAGGGGCCCTGACTGCAAAAACCTGGTCACCTACGGCCCTGAGCCTGGACTCAGGATCAGCCAGCAGAACCCTGTCTGAGGATCTGAGGGATGCAGCAATTCAGCAATGTAGCAGAATTCTAAAACTGACTGGTAACCAGTGAAGAGTGTGATCTTGTCTTCTTGTGTTAGTTAACAGCTGAGCAGCTGTATTCTGTACTAGCTCTTAACTACACATCAGTGCGCAGTGTGTGAGCTCAGGACTCAGAGCGGGGCAGAGCTACACACATAAGAAGTGCTATGCATGAACGAGCTCATGTTTTTGGTGAACTAAATGTGCGAACTATATCATAGCTTCCAGGGGAGCTCACTTTTTCTCTCTTTTTTTTTTACATTTTCAGATCTGAAATTAATGATATGATTAATGATGATAATTACTGATGACTCACCCTTGTGCACAAATCATACATCAATATTAAGTTTATGCATAATTCAGTAAGGCAAATGTATGGCAAAAATAGAATATAGCAGTCCCTCCATGAAGTTGCGATTGCAAGAATTAACACAAATTTAATCAATCCCTGTCTCAGTGGAACAAGTTGCCATCAATTTTCAATTAAACATTTCACTTTTCTTTCACCAGGGGATTTGGGGATTGTAAATTGTCTTTTGGAGGGGCCGAACTGGCTCCGCTGTAGTTCCCTGTAACTAACTAATTAACTAATGAATGTTTAGTTTACTGCAACACATGTAGGTGATGAACAGTAAAAGTCTGCATCAACATTCATGTGTTCTTTGTCTGACAGAAGACTCTAACACTAGACAGGAACTATAGAGGAAGAAAATCTTATTTGCACAATAAATCTTAGTTAGTTTAAAGAACTCAAGAAGAAGTGAACATTTGAACCGCAGCTTCTGATAGTTCAAATAGTTTAGACTCTATAAGGACAGGAAATCAGATATCAGAGGATACAAAGAAAGCTGTTTATGTTTATATTATTGTTGATTGTGTGTTAGTTTATAAATAATCATTTCTCAAGTACTAATATGAGGACATGATGACCAACAAGGTTTCATCCAACTGAAGTCCATCTGTGGTCTGTGTGTCCAGAACAACCAGTATGGAGCAACTTCCAATAACCAACTATAAGATAACTTTATTATATCATTCATGGGACTGACTTCAAATTCAGTAGCAAGTAAAATTTCTGTTTTAGTTTGTCTCATCATGTTAGGCTGATGCCTGAGGCTCTACAGTGCTATTTCTGACTGCCCAGTATCTTATAGAGCAGTGGCTGCCAATACATAGTAGGCCTATATCACAGCTTTTGGTTCACTTCTGTGAAAAAAGTAAATGTAAAGTAAATTGTCTAATAGAACAATGGCCCAGCGTCTATGAGAAAAAAAACTCTGTCAGAAAAGAAGAAGTCTGTACGATTGTTAAAAATTGCTCATGGTGGTACTGTTGGGTCTCTGTAAATAATGTTATAAGGAATTCGGTCTAGACCTGCTCTATTTGAAAAGTGTCCTGAGATAACTTCTGTTATGAATTGGGGCTGTACAAATAAAACTGAATTAAACTGAATTGAATCAAGCCAGTTTCCACCTGCTTCTAGACTACACATCTTGTATATATATATGATATGATATTTTGATATCATGTTTTCATCTGACTCTGACTTGGAGTATATTTCTACTGTGATATCAGTCATTTTACATCAGTAAAGGATCTAAATGTTTCTAGCTAGCTAGTTGGGGGTGTACATATATACCATGTACACATATTAACAGTACATACAGCACCTATATGTATGTATACAGTACATATTCTTCATACACATATGACGTGAATAAGCTTCTGTGAACTCAGATTACATCAGCTATGAAGGCTCATTATGTTATTGCCAATATTCAACTTATCCGTCTTTATTCTGAGCAGAAACAAAGTACCTAGTAAAAAGGACTTAATCAGGAATGTTTCAGTAACTTGCAAAACTAAGTTAGTCTCACTTAAAATGACTAATGAAAGCTGCTTAATCAAGAATATTGTTTAACTGAAAACAATGAATTGGTCTTACTTCAAAGTTTCGACGTAATCTGTTTCAACATTTTATTTTAGTTAAAATAACTGATCGCATTACAGTGTGGAGTAGCAGCAAAGGAATGTAACCAGAAGTGTAACTAATTACTGTTTCGAAAAGAGTAATGAGTAATGAGTAATAAACAGTGTTAATTTTGACAGCAAATTCTGATTTAGTCTTAGTCTTAGTCTTTTGAATGCCACACCATTTAGTTTTATTCATATTTTAGTCATCTGAAATCTTTTAGTCTTAGTCTAGTTTTAGTAGACCAGATATTAGCAGATTTTAGTCATCTAAATCACAATGTTTTATCTAATAAAATAACCTTAGTGTGTATGCTAACCTTTGCATGTATTTCTGGATGAGTCGTCTGTAAATGTCACTTCCAGTTGGTGGTGTTTTTCCCAGCGATTTTTGCTCCACACGGTTTACAGACGGTCTTGTTGTCCTTGTTGTCATATGTGAAGTGTGACCAGATGTTAATTCTTCGTTTTCGTCCTAGACCTAGCGCTGACATTTCTGTTGTTCATGAGACATGCCATTGCCCTCGGACCGGGTGCACTGCAAAACGTTAGCTTGTTGCTAACGAGCGAAGTCAACTGAAATCAGCCAAAGCTGTGTATCTAAGACTGTGCAACTAAACACAACTAAATATAATGTAAACAACCTAACTGTTGTGAAAACGTCCTCGAAACTGTGCGAAGTTCTGCAAACTCGTCTTTGTTCTCCTCCTGTGTAACTGCTGCTGCGTTTGTTTAGCTGTTGCGCCTGCATTTGCCGCCGCTTTTTAAAATGGCTCTGCTGCTTCTGCATAGATCAACCTAACCTCAAAGATTCACTTTGATTGGATTTCTTCCCGACTTGTCCCACAAGAAGAGTAGTTCTGATTGGATCTCTTCTCCATTCGTCCCTCCCTAACATTTTCGTCTCATTTTTATGTGTCAGTTATATTTCATCACAGTCTTCATCATCATATCTGACTTCGTCCTTGACTCTGTCTTCGTCAACAAAATTAACACTGGTAATAAATTATATTTTACTAACTAGCCTAGCACTGTTTCATTAGCTACCTAATTTCATGGTTTGGATGATTGTATTAAGTAGTTTAACCCCTTGAAACAATTGTCATGAACGTGTTTCATGATTTATTTCAATTAAAAATAACAATGTTTCTGTGTACCAACAGTGCTGCTGCCACCACTGATCCAGTCTCAGCTGAGGCTGGAAAACATAACAAGACTAAAAGGGCGCCATGGTGGAATCGCCTCTTCAGTCACTGTGAGGTATGTTTGACAGAGCGTGTCAGAGCTTCAAGTTCACCTCATTTTAGTCGACTGTAACATTCACTGTTCTTCACTGACTGTTTAGTTGTGAGTAACCACAAAATATGTTGACATAGTTTTCTCATTATTTCCTTTTTGCTCTACAGAAGAACGGTGATGGAGAAAAAGAAAGGTAAAACACTAGAGTTGTAAGATGATTAATGACATAGGAACATATTTGCCCAAACTTTTTGGTGAAGTTTACAATAACTTTGCAATGCTGCTTGATTTTCTAAAATGGGCTTCAGCCTTAATAAAAAAACACTTTTATAAGCGTAAGATAAAATGTGCAGCACACTCTGACCTTCCACAGCCTCTGCCGTGTTTGTGTTTTTATTTTCTTTCTGTAGCGCCTCAAGGAGTCACATTGGTCTCAGTGAGGGTGGAAAGCGGAGCACCACCACCACCGATCGCTTCGGGTACGTACAGCTGCACAAAGTCGTAAGGAGATGTGAATGTGTGAAGAATGAGCTGCAGTTTGTGATTGGTAAGTGAAGAACTGATGATGCTGACGTGTGTTTGACTGGTTGTGTTTGTCTGTCAGGTTTCCAAACATCGCGCAGACCTGCTACATGAACTCGTGCCTGCAGAGTCTCCTAACGCTGGAGGACTTCATTAGGGACATCAGCAGCCAGGAGCAGGTCTGGAGTTCGGTGCCTGAGGCCCAACTGATCAGGTACAGCAGTGCGTGCACACACACACACACACACTTACTCACTCTCAAGGTCCTCCACAAACCTGGAGAACAAAATTACGTTCACATCTCCACAGACTCTCAGAAGAAAGCTCCTGCACTCTTTTAAGAAGGCGGTCGAGGCCAAGGCTCCTGAGTTTGGTGAACTTGGCCAGCTGCAGAAAGTGAGTCAAAAAATTAATATTAATGGACTTCCGGTGGCGACATGTGGTAGGAGGCAGCGTAAAAACTAGCTCTTGAAAAAACCGAATTCACGACCATTTGATAAAGAAAGTAAATAGGGAGAGATGGACCGAAAAGGGAGGCTTAACAAAAAAGAACAAACAAATACTGGATGTACCGACATGCCATCAGGAGCTACACCAGGAAAGATGCAGGCCGGAGGTGAACAGGACTCGGTAATAATGGCAGAATTACGCAGGCTGAGACAAGAGCACACAGAGGCAGCGACTGACAATAAAAATGCCCTGGCTAGACTAGAGACCAACATAAAGGAACTTGTGGAAAAAACAACCGCGTTAGAGCAACAGGTGGAACTTATGGAAGAGAGGCTGGGAGACACGGAGGACAAGATGGCGAGGCTGGAAAGGCTGGTTGCCTTTCTCCTTCACCAGGAGGCAAAGTTGGCGGCAAAGTGTGAGGACTTGGATCAAGACGCAATCATATACGGATACATGGCATACCGGAAGGCTCTGAGAAAAACGACATCATAAAATTTGTAACTGATTTTATTCACTCATCACTACAAATCCCAGATGACACGGACATTCGCATTGAAAGAGCACACCGCTCGTTCATCACGGATGAAAGAGGAGGTAATGCAGCAAGCATGTGAGGGACAAACCATCTACTTCAATCAAGATTACATGACTGAGATACAGAGGAAGAGGAAAATGTGAAGGCACAGTCCCCATATCCTGCATAGCTCAAAGTGTTTCTGGACTCGGGGTCAAAGACGTACGCTACACTCATGGAGGAAGCTGCACCTTGCTGAAGGACATGGGGATCCACGTGGAGGAGGACGAGAGAGAGAGACTACAGAGGATGGTTATAGAAGACAACTGGACCACAGCCACAGGACAGAGGACGAAGAAGAGGCAGCTACTCATCACAGAGGCGGACTTACAAGCAATCATCCAGTGAACTCATTAATATGATAAGTATGATAAGGACCAAAGAATAGATAAATATAAACGCATAAATAAATACAAGTCTTAGAACATACTTAAATATATGCGTAATATAATGCACATTGAATATTTATGTAAATAGATTTAACTTGAACTTTAAATTAAGTGCTCTAACTTAATCATTTGACTAGCTCTAGGTATCACTACCTAGATAAATCAACATAAATATTGATTATAGAGAGCGAAATTATGGTCATTTAGAGTAAGCAGCAACTTTACATAACATCTTGGAAGTTGCAGGTGCACTTAGTGCTATTTTCCCAGAGAGAATACACCACATCTCTCTGGTGATGGGACAGTTGGAAGTCACACTTTTTTGTTATTGTATGATAGTTCTGAAGGAGATGCTTAATATTGATCTTTTTCGCTGTGTAATTTTGTGCACAGTCGTTTTGTTTTATGTGAGGTGCGGAGTTAATGGCTTTCGTCTTGAACTGAAACAGAAACTGATATGGATAGGCTAAAACTTGTGTCTTATAATGTCCATGGTTTAAATCATCCTATCAAGAGGAAGAAGATATTGAGCCAACTAAAAAACTTGCAGTGTTCGATTGCTCTACTACAGGAAACACATTTGGTGGATGATGAATATAAAAAACTAAAAAGAGAATGGGTAAATCAAGTATTTTATGCTTCATATGGCAAGAAAAGGGGTGTAGCCATATTAATTCATAAGTCCCTACCATTTTCAGTCGAGTCAGTGATAAAAGATAATATGGGAAGATATGTAATGGTTGTTGGCTCCATAGGAGATATGACTATATCAGTACTCAACGTTTCCCCCGAATGAGGAAAATGAAACCATCTTTAAGAATATAGCCAATGTTATTTCAAGCAACGCAAAGGGGATGATACTGATAGGGGGGACTTCAACATGGTACAGAATGGTAAATTAGACAGGCTACCACCAGAACAAGGGCTGACTTCAAGAAAATCTAGAGTATTGAATGATGTTATTAAAGAGTTAGGTAATCCATGGAGAAACAATAATCCTAAAGGGAAGGATTTTACATTTTATTCAAACCCACACGGTAGTTATTCTAAGATAGATTTTTTTTTGTGTGTATATCACGTCAACATATACACAAAGTTGTGGAATGTGGTATAGAGCCAATAACTATAAGTGACCACGCCCCCATTACTCTAACTGTAGCAATGGATAAACAATCTTTTTTTAAATATTGGAGATTAAATGTGTCAATCCTATCAGATGAGAAGGTAGTAAAGGAAATAAAAGAAAATCTAACGGAATATCTGGAAATAAATGATAATGGCGAAGTATCAGCAGCAACTCTCTGGGATGTGGGGAAAGCAGTGATAGGGGGAAAATTATAGAAATAACCTCTAGGCTAAGAAAGGATCCTCCAAAACAACAGAAGGCACTAGAGAGCAAAATCAGAGATCTAGAATTAGAACATAAAAGGACACCAAATAACTTCATACTCCAAGAACTGAAAGAAAATAGACACAGATAAGACAAATTATTAACAAAGCAGAAAGAGCTCTACGCAAGTAGTGTTTTTTTCGGCGGCCTGTTTTAATTTTAGTTTTAGTCTAGTCTTTGTGTCAAACTGTCATTTTAGTTTTTATTAGTTTTAGTCACGTTTATACTCTTTTTAGTCTAGTCAAGTTTCAGTTGACTAAAAGTCTGAGCATTTTAGTCTTATTTTAGTCAGAATTATCCATGACTATTTTTGTCTAGTTTTAGTCGACGAAAACTGATGACATTTTAGCCTAGTTTTAGTAAATACAAATTTTATTTTAGTCTCTTTTTAGTAGTGCAATTCTATTTAACCCAGTTAATATAGTACAAGTACCAACCAAAATTTTCTTTAAGTCACCCATGTCTCAAGTCAAACAAGGTTATCTTATTATTATATTATTGTTACCTTATAGACTCAAGAATACATTCAATTCCAGACACGTAAGACGCTCTGATTTGAATTTACAACATATTTATTTTACCTACCAAACATGTAAGAAGTACACACACATACATTTAGATAAAATAAATAAATAAAATAGCTTCAAATGACAATGCCAGAAAAAATTGACATTACATTCAAGTTTAACTTAAAGAGAAACAAGGTGCTTGATGGCTCGAGCTACAATGACATAATAAAAAAGTGTAAATAAAATGTGTGTGTCTGTGACTAACGTTAACCCACAGCAGCTGCATCTTCTAAATAATGCTGTGAGTGGAGATTGAGGAAGTGACGTAGCCGAGACTCAGGAAACAGAAATATTGCAAAATAATAATAATAATAGCGAGACGAAATAACGTTATAACATTTCGTCTTGTCTCGTTTTGGTCAACGAAAGAGTTTTTATTTCGCAAACCACATTTAGTCCCGTTTTTATTTGTCAACAATACTGCATTATGTATTTGATTATAGTTTTCATCACATGACCACCATTTATGTTGTGTCTCGTCTCGTTTCCGTCACATGATAAAGGTTAGTTGACAACGATATTTAGTCATAATTTTCGTTGACGAAAGCAACACTACTTACAAGTCAAAGATATTATGAGATGGGGAACAGAGCAAGTCGTCTTCTAGCAAAATTTCAAAAATAAAATATCCCATTTCCAAACAACTTATGGTAAAGCCAACAGAGATAGCGGAAGCTTTTGCAAAATATTATAAAAACGTATACAACGACTTTGAGCTAAACTCATATAGGACTCAGGCGTTTCTTAAAAAATTAAACCTACCATCACTATCAGCAGAAGAAGCATCTGAAATGGTACAGCCAATTACATTACAGGAAATATAAGATACTATAAAAAATCTTAAAAATAATAAATCCCCTGGTACAGATGGGTTTCCAGGGGAATTTTATAAAGTTTTTGCAGGGGAGATCACACCAGTGTTTTTTTTTTTTTATTATTACATTTTCTTCTTTTTAACACAGAAACACACAGAACTGCTAAGACATGACAGAAAATAACACAGCAGAATAAGGGCATGTGGGTACAGTAAATAGAAAACAATTATGAAAAAGAAAGAAGTAAATTAATCTCCTGCAACAAGACAAGCAGTATCCAGATGAGAATCAATACAGAGCATACAAACATAGCAAGGCTACAAGGTGCTCGTTAGACAGTGAGCATTTAAAACAAAGTCACAGAGACCGGCTAGGCTGATCTGGGAAATCCACGAAGCAAGGAGGATGACAGCGTGGGCCCAATATGCTGCAAGTAAGGGTCCCATACCTTATAGAAAGCATCTATTTTGGAGTGAAGCATGCACGTGATGTATTCACTAGGAACGCAGTCCATAACAATGTTGTGCCATGATTTTTTTGTCGGAGCAACATTCTTGATCCAGAAGAGTAGGATGTTCTTTCTAGCAGCAAAAGTCAGTATATTGAAAAGTCTCTTTTGTTTGCTGTCAGTGATCCGACCATCCGGGAGACCAAGTATCAGGCACATAGGGTCCATCCGTATTGGGACACCAAAGATAGCAGTCAGTTCATTCACTATACTAGACTAATACCTTTGTAACTCCACACTTGACCAGAGGCAGTGAATATAATTACCAGTCTCAGAATTGCATTTCCAGCAAAGCGGGGAAATATTAGCGTCCAATTTGTTCTTGACAACAGGTGTTATATGCGTTCGATGTACAATCCTGAACTGTATGGATTTGGCGCGGTTACACACTTTAAAGCCCTGGTCCTTACAGCCTGGCAGGAAGTCCGGGTTATCAAGAATGGGAGTGAGAGGAGATGATAACTGAGCCCGGCCTTCTATAGAGCGAATGGATCTCCAGGCTCTGATGGTACTGAGAGTAATAGGGTTAGAGCAATGTTTTTTAACAGAATCAGGATTATTCATAAACAATAAATTCAGCAAGGGACACTTCGACTGAGAGGATTTAATATCATGCCAAATCGAGGCTGGATCACAGTTGCGCCAGCTTGCAATCTCAAAATCTGAGATTTGGTACATCTAACCCTCCATCACAACCTGCCATTTGAGGTTTTGTCATCTTGCGACGGGGCTTCCTTTTACTCCAAATGAAGGAGCTTAGCCAGCCTTCAAGCACCTTAATAACCTTGCTGGATAATAAGATAGGGATCATTTGCTGTGGGTATAGCAGTCTAGGCAGGACGTTCATTTTTATGAGAGCAACCCTACCAGCCAGGAAAGCGGGAGAGGGGCCCAGTGGTCTAAGTCTGCCCTTATGGTATCCAAGAGGGGGGGGGGGAGTTGGACTTAAACATCTGACCAAAAGTGGGTGTAAAATGCACTCCTAAGTAAATGAAACCGGTGGGAGACCAGCGGAACGGGAAGGGCTCAGCCATATCTGGAACACGTGTTAACGACCCCAGGGGCAAAGCCTCAGATTTTGCAAAGTTAATTTTATATCCCGAAAAGACGCTGAATGACGAAATTACCTTAATCAGGCAGGGAACAGATGTTTGGGGTCGCGATAAATGTATCAAAATGTCATCCGCGTATAAAGTAATTTTGTGTTCCCTTTCACCAACGAAGATACCAGGAATTAAAGTGTTTTGCCTTACTGCCTGGGCCAGCGGCTCGATAGCAATATCAAAGAGCAGGGGGCTAAGGGGGTCGCCTTGCCTATTGGCCTGTATGAGGCGCAGCTATCTGGGCATTTTCCTTTTTTAAGAATGAGAGAGATGTTGGCCTCCCTAAGAGATTGAGGAAGGATACCATTTTCAAATGAGTGATTGAGCATAGACAGCAGAGGGTCTAAAAGAATACCGTTGAAACAACTGACCGCTGGCTCGCCTTCATTGACTCATTGGTCAATGAAACAACCGTTAAGTCTGTGTGTGAGCAGCGGCAGGAGTAGGCCTACATCTTGTTCTGCAAGAGACAGGTAAAAAGACAACAGCGTCCACATCCTGCACTGAGCTCCAGAAGAAGGCACATCGGTTAAAACACACCATCTCTGTATTTACTGTGAGTGTTTGGTCTATTATATTTTTGTATTGGAATTAAAATTTAAAAAAAAATAAACATTTACTGAGACCTTTGATTCTTGTTTATTTTAAATATTAATTTTTTTCCAAGTTACTTGGTTATACTACTTGTGATTTTATTCATCCACATTGTTTGCTGGTGCACAATGAATTATTTTAATAACAAATAACAATGCAGTAAATGTATAGCTATGTATTTATTTGTTACAATTTCTTTACAAAGTTAGGAAAGCAATATTAAAGTCAAGCCTTACACATTAAAGATCCCAGTCCCTCACAGTGAGGAATACAGCTCATTAATTAAACACTGGTATTGGATTGGTACTTGGTATCGACAGGTATCCAAATTCAATGATTTCAATCAGATTGCAACTGAAAACAGTGGATCGGTAAATGTATCTATATTCAGAATCTAGCCACACTGTGTCTTTGTAAAAATATTCAAATAATACTATAAATGTTTTTTTACACAACAAATGTATGTCTGCAGACCATCACCTTAATAAGCTTATATTCTTACACTTATATAAGGCTGCCTCCCTTTAATCTACTGAATAATACATTTAAAAAAAGATACTGCAAGTATTTCCACTCCATTAGAAATAGTTTATTTATTGATGCAGATCATTGATGCTACAGCTGCAGTTTGTGGCAAATCATGCAGAAGGTTGTATATATGCTCTACAGCACAGCTGAAAGTACTGGGTTTGAGAAAGGAGCTGTCGTGATGTCTACGTGTTGGTGAAGGTGCCAGTGACAACAAGATGAAATACCACCCATTATGTCATGACTATTGACACACCCACATGGGACAGGAGCAGAGGGAGAAAACCACACCGTCTCCTCTGATAGAAGGAGCATCAGGTATGATGGTGCCCACTGCAGGCTCCAGCTCTGCTCCTCCAACCATTCTGACTCCAGTTCTCCCTGAGAAGACTCAGAGACAGAGGAAGAAGAGGAAGGACAGAGAGGAATAGAGCAGCAGCAGTCTCTAGCAAAGAAACGCCTGAGAGACTTTTTACGCTCATGCTGGCAGGGGGCATACATACTTTTAGTCTTTAGGCCACTGGTAGCATCTGGCACCCTATGAAAGATATGGTTGTCTGAGGGGTAAATATTGTACATCTGTATATGATTTGTTCATAGATGCCACCTGAGGTATGGGCTCTTTGGAAAGCAAATTCAGGGAATCAGATGTCACGTTCTCGTATTTTCCTGCCCTTTGAAACAACCAGTGCCACATAAACATGTTGTTTTAGATGGAAATAAGGAGAGGTCAAATCCAATATTGTATTATTAGCCACATACTTTTTTTTTTTTTAAATCAGGTGTTTATTTACTGCAGTCTAGACACAGAGGGATCTGTCTGCAGACATAATGGCAGACATCAGCAAGAGCATGTGCAGGAGGCATCTCCGTTCTCTCGGGTCTCAGTAGCTAATGGTCCTATTAGCAGACTTGGAGCTCTCAGAGCACAGAGGGAGTGGTGGTGTTGCTAGAACGGGAGCTTTAGACCACTTGCACTGAATTTCGGTTGCCAACCCTAATACAGGCTGAACTCCTCTGTCCAGCAGTGACAATGTTTCTCTAACAGGAGGAGCCTCTCCCTCCTACAGAGAACACAGAGACACTGAGGAACCAGACCACCAACTGAGCCCAAACCCAGGATAAAGAGGTTCAGTGAATGTGGAGTTGACGGTATGGAGGTGGATCAGTGTGTCAGAGGAGACTCTGTAGAAGGACAGAGTGCCAGCAGGCCAGTCCACATACACTGCTACTCTGTTAGAGACAGTGGAGGAGGAGAGGGCTGTCACTCTGTTATTGTGCCTTACAATGTAACGGCCATCTTCATAGCAGCTCAGTCTCCAGGACTGCTCATTATATCCAAACAAACAGTCTTTAATAATTCCTTCCTTCCTTGTGATTCCTCTGTAACTCACCGATATATAAACTCCTCCTCTCCACTCAACCTCCCAGTAACAGCGACCAGTAAGACCATTCATACACAGCAGCTGAGGACAGCGGTCAAATCTGTCTGGATGATAAGGATATGACTGATCCATCGGCGAAAATGTCATCTTCCTGTTGTTGCCAGACAGTTCAATCTTTCCCTGTACTGTGTTTGTGTCAAGTGTGAGCTCACAGGAATCTGATGGAGAGAATGAAACACAGTGCAGCTCCAGTTATTGATCTATCATCTGTTCATTTACTGATAGATATTTGAGTGATGGCTGAATGTGTGCTGCTTTGAGTTCATGAATCAAATTAATAACTTACACTTCCTCAGACCTGGTCTCAACCATTGGGCTCCACCAGGATCCATCCTAGAAGAAGAAAGGGGGGTCAGACCAGCATATCCCAGTTTGGCATTCAACATAGACATTACATCATTCTCATGCACTTATACACAGTATATGCATCCAGCCTGCTAAACTACTCTCAGAGAATGTGCCATGTAGGTATGTGTGAAAGAGAGGGAAACCCTTAATCAGTCCCTCCAAGAAGTTGCGATGCCAACATCACAACACTCAACATTCAAATTTAACAAACCTATTAATTCAGCAAGACCTTTCAATTTTGACCAAAATCGGCTGTGGTGCAGAGCGGGTCGTCCCCTAATCGGGACCCCAAACTCCTGGTGCCACATGTCGAAGTATCCTTGAGCAAGATACTCAGCCCTGAATTGCTCACGATGCCCTGCATTGGTGTGTGAATGTGTATGAATGAGTTAGTTTCTGTTCGATGGGCTTTACCATCATTGAGTGAATGTGTGTGAAAGGGTGAATGTGCCATGTAAAAGCACTTTGAGTGGTTGGAAGACTAGACAGGCGCTTTACAAGTACAGGTCAATTTACCATTTACCATTTACCAATCAGTGTAGTTTCACCAATCATAGCAGCTGAATTTTACTGCTGTAGGTATTTAAGGTGGAACTTATTTTAGAGACACTCAACAACATGCACTGTTTTCCAACCAGCAGGCCTCTTATACCTCAGAGTGTCCAGTCTCCAGAGTGGATCCTCAAGTCCAGCAGACAACATTTTCACTCCTGATCCTCCAGGATGATTGTAGCTCAGATCTAGCTCTCTCAGATGGGAGGGGTTGGAGCTCAGAGCTGAGGCCAGAGAAGTACAGCCTTCCTCTGTGATCATACAGCCTGACAGTCTGCAAACACAAAAACAACACACATAGCACATCATCTGAGGGACAGAAACTGTCTTGAAGAAATAAATACTACTTATTTTAAAAAATCCAATCACAGAGACCATTTTCCATGCCTTCATCTCTTCACGCCTGGATTACTTTTACCTGCCTGAACCAAAAATCTACTGATTAACTCCAAACTGTACAGAACGTCCAGGCTCTTAAATAGAAACAAGAAATATTATCACATCACTCCTGTTTTAGCCTCTACCAGTATGTTTTAAAATTGATTTTTAAGATTTTACTGATTACTTTGAAGGCTCTAGAGTCTCTCAGTCTCTCCCTCTGCTATATCTCTGACCTATTAGTACCGTACCATGCTAGTAAGGTCTTTTGTCTGCTCCAGAAGTCTGGCTAAAAATGAAAAGGGGACAAAGCATTTGCAGTCAGGGCCCTTAATATATATCTTATTACTGAGATTTACTTACCTACTTAAATAGTCTACAACCATGCTAGTAGCTCTGTAGGAGTTTGAGCGAAATGCAAACATCTGCATGCTTACAATGAAAATGGTAGAATTTTAATGTTTAGCCTTTTATGTTTAGCATAAAAAGGGTCATCATTCCCAAACCAAAAAGTCTGGATAAATGGAGAAGTGAGGGCTTTGTGCAGGACCAAAAAAGCTGCCTTTTGATCAGAGCAAAAATAAAAACTGGCATCAAGGAGGCAAAGCATTTAGTTACATTTCAGTCCAGAACCATATTTGGAATAAAACTTTAAAATCATCTGTTGCATTTAGTAATTCAAGACACAAACACAAGAAGACAATGATCCTCATGCAAAGCAATCATCTGACAAGAACATGGACATGGATCCTGACCTGAGAGTTTCCAGTGTACAGTGTGGACTCTCCAATCCAGCAGACAGCAGTTTGACTCCTGAATCCTGCAGGTCGTTATTACTTAGGTCCAGCTCTCTCAGACTAGAGGACTGGGAGCTGAGAACTGAGGACAGAGCTTTACAGCTTCTCTCTGAGAGGTTGCAGCCACTCAACCTGAAGAGGGAATAATGAACAAGAAAGCAAATAACACTTGTCTTAAAATGGCCAGTCTGATCCAGACTGAATCACTGTGGTGTTGTATTAACAACAACAGTCACTTCCAGATAGACAACGGGCAGTGTATTTCAATTAGCGTCTAGCGTCTTTGATAAACCAACGCTGATCGAACTATCTGCTAGTTTTGGGTAAACTAAAACTGTCATTTTTCTTAGTCTGTGGCCCAACTCCAACCCAACATTAGTGAAATGACAGCGGCGGTTTAAACTAAATGGAGCATGAACTTCAGAGAAATAATTTCAATAATTTGAGACAAACTATGGCTTAATCTGACCTGAGTGTTTCCATTGCACACCATGTACTCTCCGGTTGAGCACACAGCAGATTCACTGCTGAATCCTGCAGGTTGTTGTTACTCAGGTCCAGCTCTCTCAGACAACAGGACTCTGAGCTGAGAACTGAGGACAGAGCTTCACAGCTTCTCTCTGAGAGGTTGCAGCCACTTAGTCTGGAGAGGGAATAATGAACAAGATGACAAATTGTGTTAAAATAGTTTATTCTTGACAGCAGCAGCCTTATGGTATGGTATATAACCATAACCTTTAATATATATTTAAAAAAGAAATGTTCTCTCTATGGCCACTCCGGGGCTCCACAGTGACCCATTTAAGATAAATGAACCAATTTAAACAATGCAGGAAAAACTGCATCTAACCTGAGCGTTTCCAGTGTACAGTGTGAACTCCCCAATCCAGCAGACATCAGTTTGACTCCTGAATCCTGCAGGTCGTTGTTACTCAGGTCGAGTTCCCTCAGACTAGAGGACTGGGAGCTGAGAACCGAGGACAGAGCTGTACAGCTATTCCCTGAGAGGTTGCAGCCACCCAGTCTAAATAGGAAATAATGAACAAGATGACAAATTGCATTAAAATAGTTGATTCTTGACATTTGCTGACACAAAATAGAATATATTTTGAGATCATGTTAAAATCCTTGCTGTTTTACTCTGAACATGTTGTAGAACATTGACTGAATTAGTAAAAAGAAGTTCTAAAATAAGGTTCTCGGCCTCAAAAAATATTTGAAAATTAAAACATTTTCTGTGCTGTGGAATTTGAAATCCTGACAGGAGAAATTCAGAAATCCTGACATTAGAGTGGCTGTTCAAATTGAATGGAGCTTGAAGTTTGGAGAAATAACTTAAATTATTTGAAACAAATTATGATCTAATCTGACCTGAGTGTTTCCATTGCACACCGTGGACTCTCCAGTTGAGCACACAGCAGCTTCATTGCTGAATCCTGCAGGTCGTTGTTACTCAGGTCTAGCACTCTCAGACAACAGGAGTCTGAGCTGAGAACTGAGGACAGAGCTTCACAGCTTCTCTCTGAGAGGTTGCAGCCACTTAGTCTGGAAAGGAAATAATAAGCAGTTAAATCAATAAAGGCACATTTAATGCATTCGGATGATGATCAAAATTTTCACACACTTACAGAGCTTTCTTGGAGGCTTTGACCACTGGCAGCAGCCTCAAAAGAACCAACTCTGAAGAAGAGTATTTCTTGAGGTCAAAAACATCCAGATGTTTTTCTGATGACAGTAAGATGAAGACCAGAGCTGACCACTGAGTACGAGAGAGATTATCTGTGGAGAGACTTCCTGAACTCAGGGACTTTTGGATCTCCTCCACAAGAGAACGATCATTCAGTTCATTAAGACAGTGGAACAGATTTATGTTTTTATCTGAAGAAGGAGTCTCTTCAATCCTCTTCTTGATGTACCAAACCGTTACTTGATTTGTTTTTGGGCTACTTCCTGTCTGTGTAAGCAGGCCTGGTAGGAGAGACTGATTGGTCTGCAATGAAAGTCCCAGGAGGAAGCGGAGGAACAAGTCCAACTGTCCATTTGGACTCTGTAAAGCCTTGTCCACAGCATTGTGGTAGAAGTGTGCGACTGCTGATTCATCTTTTCTTGTTTCAGACTGATGGGAGGTTGATTGTTCGTCTGCCAGCAGATTGATACCAGAGTTGATGAATGTCAGATGGACATGAAGAGCAGCCAGAAACTCCTGAACGCTCAGATGAATGAAGCAGAACACCTTGTCCTGGTACAGTCCACTCTCCTCTTTAAAGATCTGTGTGAACACTCCTGAGTACACTGAGGCTGCTCTGATATTGAGGCCACACTCTGTCAGGTCTGATTCATAGAAGATCAGGTTGCCTTTCTGCAGCTGCTCAAAAGCCAGTTTTCCCAGAGACAGGATCAGCATCCTGCTCTCTGGACTCCAGTGTGGATCTGTCTCAGCTCCTCCATCATACTTGACATTTTTCAGTTTGGACTGAACCACCAGGTAGTGGATGTACATCTCAGTCAGGGTCTTGGGTAGCTCTGCTTTGGTTTTCAGCACATTATCCAGAACTGTAGCAGTGATCCAGCAGAAGACTGGGATGTGGCACATGATATGGAGGCTTCGTGAGGACTTGATGTGGGAGAAGATTCTGCTGGTCAGCTCTTCATTTCTGAATCTCTTCCTGAAGTACTCCTCCTTCTGTGGGTCAGTGAACCCTCTGACCTCTGTCACCATGTCAACACAGTCAGGAGGGATCTGATTGGCTGCTGCAGGTCGTGAGGTTATCCAGAGGCGAGCAGAGGGAAGCAGTTTCCCCCTGATGAGGTTTGTCAGCAGCACATCCACTGAGGTGGACTCAGTAACATCAGTAAGGATCTCAGTGTTGTGGAAGTCCAGAGGAATTCGACACTCGTCCAGACCGTCAAAGATGAACACAACCTGGAACTCTTCAAACCTGCAGATTCCTGCTTCTTTGGTTTCAGTAAAGAAGTGATGAACAAGTTCCACCAAGCTGTACTTTTTCTCTTTCAGCACATTCAGCTCTCTGAAGGTGAATAGAAATGTGAACTCTATGTCCTGGTTGGCTTTGTCTTGAGCCCAGTCCAGAGTGAACTTCTGTGTTAAGAATGTTTTCCCAATGCCAGCCACTCCCTTTGTCATCACTGTTCTGACTGGTTCGTCTCTTCCAGGTGAGGGTTTAAAAATGTCTTCTTGTCTGATTGTAGTTTCTGGTCTGTCTGGTTTCCTGGGTGCTCTTTCAATCTGTCTGACCTCATGTTCATCATTGACCTCTCCAGTCCCTCCCTCTGTGATGTAGAGCTCTGTGTAGATCTTATTCAAAAGGGTTGGGTTACCTGCTTTAGCAATCCCTTCAAACACGCACTGCAACTTCTTCTTCAGGTTATATTTTAGTTTACGCTGACAAACTCCAGAATTACTTCCTGAACAAACACAAAACAGAGACACGTCTTCATCCTCAAAAACTTGTCTCCCATTCAGCCTGAACACACTTTTGCCAGTGCTACCTCTGATTTTATACTTGCTCAGGGTACCTTTTCACAGTCATAGAATAATATAATTAATTAATTTACATGGCCTTGCCAAGATGAATCACAGGCAAATGACGGATGGATTATCAGACACACAGGTCTCCATGGGTGAAACAGCTTTACTCAATTTTTGTCAAAGCCAAACTTAAGGACATATACAGGATTTGGGCCCTGAATTACTGTATATGTTACATCTAGAAGTCAAAGATCTTTTGTTTTACAGGTGAGAGCTGGTATTCTTCCTCTGGCCACTTATGTTGGTCGATCCATAAAGTGAGTCCCATTTTACTTTTGTACTGCATAAATAATGACGACTTAAGAGACTTAATGTTCCTTGAAATAATGCAACAAAACCTTAAATATCCTGGTGCCCTGATGAACATAAATTTCACTGCCTTTTTCATTTTTATTTGTTTAAGTTGGCTAACTGTCTCAAAAGCCTCTTTGCTAATTTGTGTATCTTTGTAACTAACAGTAGTGACAGTGTTTGCTACAGGTCTCATGAAAGGACTGAAAGGACTGAACAGCCTCCTGCAGAAAAATCCACTACACTACAATCCCACTTTAGTTTACGTGTAACGTCTTCCAAAAGCCACACAAAGAAATGTATAACCTATGTTACTGTCTATGGCAGCCAAGAAACACAACCTTTACAAATGAATTTAAGACCAAGGCCTCTTTATTCAATGCTTTTTAGGACTCTGATGCTTGACTACTATTGATTGCTTTTACTCAGTTATAATGGAGTCATAATGTCTCACAGAGAAAGTTAAACTTACTCACACTTAGTTGTTTTGTTTTTTTTACTTAAAAACTACAATGTCTTTCAGGGCTTCCATACATATCAGAGAATACACAGAAGGTTTACCTTCGCAGTGAGAGGAGGAAGGTCCTCTGTTCTCTGAAGTCTGTCCAACGTCACTGACATCCACTGACACTGAGAGAGAGAGAGAAAGAGAGAAATAGAGAGAAAGTGTATGTGTGTGTTATATTTTCAATTTGACATATTATTTATTATTCATCATTACGTTTGTTTAATTCCACCAATTAATCTTTATTTCTAGGTACAATTAATAATAATTATTAATATTAATAATTTTAATAAAAGGGAGTAAATTAAATCATTCAAAGTATAAAATAATAATATAGTATATCACATAGTATGTGATAAACTATAAACACAAGTGACTATATCATAGCATAGAAACATTTCAACTATTGATAAATTACTGAAACGTGAGCAACAGCAACAGCATTTGTTTTTTATATTACGTGTACTGTTACAATTAAATTTACTGACATGAAAACAGTCGTCACAGTCTGGACATTTTTTTTAATTTGAAGTCACCATGGAGTTAATAAAACTGTCCACAAACTGTCCTCAACTTACCTAAACACTTTTTTATAATATCGAGGTCGGACCTCCAATTTTAATCTGAAAATACAAAGAAAATAAAAAAATGTGACTGACCTTCTAGTTCTGCGCTGGCATCTGACAGACTCTCTACCAGATCATTCCTATTAATCTTCTCTAAAACCTTCTTGGCCACCTCCACAGCTTTGTGAACTTTATAAGTGTTCACTATCAGATCCACTGTGTCCCGCCTCTCTGCCTTCTCCAGCTTGGATGCTTTGATGGTTGTGTAACCTTGCAAGATGTCAGGCTGCTTCAGATACCATTTAAAGTCCTTGAATTCCTCGTCAGTTAAATCCTCAAGAGTGTTCAAAAGGTCCGCTACCTTCATTGTGGCTTCCTGCTAAAGTCAGGCAGTAATATCAACCTAAAGGAAAGTTGTAACACAAATGTATCAGAGTAGCAACAGAAATTCTGACTGACTGACACAGAAGTAAACTAGTTTGAGCCTCTACTGCTACTATATGAGCTGGACTCAATCTGATTTAAAGTGTTGCACTGCTTACGCTTCTTTTAATTAAAGAACTCCATCTTTGAGTAAAAGCACCTCTAAATTGAAACTGTAAATGTTAAAGCAGGATGGTAATGCACTGTCAAAATTCCTTCGTTCAGACCCATTTTCCATTAGCTTTTGTTCCACCAACTTTGAGTTCTTGAAATAAAGACTGTGCTGTAGTTTTCAGCCATGCTAGCAGGACTGCTGACTCCAAACAATACTGTACGAGTAAGATAAAATCATCATGAAATCACAACTTTGAGGCAAAAGTGGACCTATCGTAACGTCACGCTGAATTTTTATATAAATCACTTGTTTTCATTATATTAATGCTTAAACATATGCAGAATTAAGGGCATGCCTGATTTGAGTGTCTGTGGGTGCCATCACAGGTGGCTCCATCTACACTCCACCTCTGACGGATGCTGCTGTGTCTGTGTTCATCTGACCGAAAGCACATCCTCATACCTTCCAATATAAATCCAGAAACATCAGTATGTTTTAGGTCATAAATGTGTTGAATTTACTGTGTCAGTAATGGGAAAGAAAACATATTTGTTAAGTTCAATTCTGAAACTGTAACAGGAGGAAATGTGAAAAAATCAGGGGGGTTAAAACTTTGTAGTGTATGACATTGAGGAAACAGCCCATCACTGCAATACTAAATACACTATCTGACAGTTGATGGCACTTTGAGCTGCAGTGTTTTATCTGAGAAATTATTATTCACAAGTCTTAGTCTTTTGGATTGTTTAAAAGACTAGAGGAAAAAGAATTGCTCTTTAATATTAAAAATCCTACTGTTATTCCACCCAGTCAGGCCATGCGGTTGCAGCTAAATATGCCTAATAGATGACCAGCAATTGGGATCATGGGAAAAACAATGTCAGTGCGCCTTCCTGACCCAGAAGGCACAAGACCATCTGAAGCAGTGGTGTAAGGTAAAAGGGGCGCCCCAGTGCACACTACGGGTTGTAGTACTATTAGTGCAGTAGAAGTAAAAAGTAGCAGAAATACTAAATGAAAGTATTTCAAGTACAGTTCTTAAATAAATGTACTCAGTTACTTTCCACCACTGGAAGTCATAGAAGCAGATAGATCCTTCCAAAATTTAAAACTAACCATCTAAATAAAGATAGATCCTTCCAAAATTTAAAACTAACCATCTAAATAAAGCCCCCCCTTACAAAGAATATTAAAATATGGAAGAGGAGTGTTAAGAGCTCCACATTTACTGATGCAGTTATATATTTATTTAATTCAAAAACAGAACATTTAAGTTCCTCACTGCCCTCTAAATGCTGCTCCTTGCTGCGTCCATCAGCTACTTAAGGATCAACTCTATTTCTATACTTATTCCACCGTCCTCCCTCTCAAAACATTGTCTTAGCATATCAGATCAGATCAGATACTAAGTCAACAGAACAATCCTTTTTGGATTCCAAGGAAGCAAAGAAAAATACTCAGTTTGAGACATACAACCGCTGGCCAAAAATACTTCTCAGTCTGCAGTCTGTCTGCTGGAGACTACATCCATTTTTAATTATACAGTCTATCCTGTTGCAAAGCCAACCAGTTACAAGTCCAGCACTCAAGCTTTAGTTATGAGTTTAGAATCAAGCGGCAGATTTTTGGTGTTTCTACTGTAACTAAAGACAGCTTGTATTAAGAGGGACATTTTCAAACTTAGTACATTACCTTCAGCTGGAGGTTTAGAAGGCGAAAACAACCTGTGCCACAATGTTTAGAGGAAATGAAACTAAGCTTTAAACAGGAAACACCCAGAGGGCTGTGTGCGTCCGGTATAAAACGCCCAGTATACTCGACTAAGTGTTAAACATTAACCATATCTGTCAGTGAAATAGGTTGTAAAGTGGCTGTCTAAGGGAAGCATGTAAAGATAAATGTTGACTTTGAATAGCTTGAAGTTTAGGACATGTTCATTTATTTGGGTTCCAGAAAGCAGCTTTTAAAAACAAAGATCACTTTAACTGAGTGTTAGGTACAGTGGCAACTGAGTCAGTTAAACAAATATTAGTATTAAACAGAACTGAAAAAGTGAAACAATCTTAGTCAGTGTACCTATCTGTAATTCTAAAAAATACTCATTTTGAGACATACAACCGCTGGCCAAAAATACTCCACAGTCTTACGTCTAATAGAGAAGCCAGCGCCTCTCAGACAGACTCTCATGAGGCCTTTCTGAATACAAAGTACACCAAGACCACTCAAAGCACCTCACATTCACCAGAAACGGAACTCCTGAGCCACAGCTGTCTCCTTTTAACATGATCTTATTGATAACTAAAGTAAGTATTAAACAGAAATAGCTAAAATAAAGATAATCAAAGTACATTCCCTAGAAATAACCATGTTCCACAGTGTCTATTTCCAACCTGATGCTTACCTAACACTTATTATTCCAAAAAGAGACTTAAGACTGGATTTGTACTCAAGCTAAAAGATTTGAAAGCCCTAGAAGTATTTAAATGAGTTTTAAAGAATGCACTAAGAGAGATTGGAAAGCAATATATATATATATATATATTTTTAAAGAAAATGCAAATGTAGATATATTGGCAAAACAATCAATAAAACAACAGCAAATTGACATACAAGTACCACTAAGTAAAAAAGTTTTAAAAAAGTATTGTTACGACCCGGCTCGATTTGGAGAGCAGTAACATACAATTGGAACTGGAAAAGAGACGGAATGCGACAATTGACAGGTTCAAGTTAAAATCAGGTGTTTAATTAACTAAGGAGAGTGCGCTTGCACAATGAAATATAACAAAAGAGAGGCTATACAGGTGCTGACAAATAACTAGTACACACAATGAAGATGACTGAATGACACTAAAGAACAAAAGGAGATCAGCACCCATAAGCTTACAAACTAGTGAACAAAAAACAAACTAGCAGTTATTGAGCAACTTAAAAGGTCACAAACAAAAGAGTGTCCAACTCTTGGTACACTATACAAACTAAACAAGTCACAAAGATTACAAAAGCACTGGCTGAATCCACTCAGACAACAGCCAGGCAATACTAAGAAATACAAACACTCTAGACTAACACAATGGTACAATGGTGTGCAACCAACAGCGAGTTCACAGCCGCCCTGAACTGTGGACACACAAGCTATTTAAGTGCAGCTGGGGTTGATAGAAGACTCCTGATTGGTAGCTTCGGTGGAATCGCAGCCACACCAATCACAGATGCCAGGGGACACCAACCAGGAAGTAGGCGGTCTCTGCTCCAGAAGGACCAATCCTCAATAGGGAATCGCACATGAAACACCACAATGAATATACACTAAACGACAGCCAGCGGCGGCCTTAACAGTATCATATATACGTAAAACTTGGCAGAAATACTGGGACTTATGTGACACTGGAAGACCTCTTTACACTCTACATGCAGGCATTAGTGGATTACAGAGCAGGAGACCAAAGGGACAGATAGTCATCACCTGTCTGACAATAGGTCACACAGGATTGTCACACGGTCCAGATCATAGGTAAGCAACCTAGTGGACTATACACTCATTGTAATAAACCGGAAACTGCCAAACATGTATCAATAGACTGCAGCAAATATGATCAAGAGAGGAGGGAAATAATATCAGCATCTGATGAGAGACACAATATTACATTGGAGACTGTGTCCACTCTCTACTGTCCTCTACCTGGAAAGAAATCATGGAAAGTACATCATCTTTTAAATAATTATTATTGTTTTTGTTTTCTTTGTTTTTGTTTTCTTGCTAAGGTACCGCCCCACACTCCAGTCCAGCAGGTGGCGGTAATGCACCTCCAAGCTGGATTGCCAACCGATATTAAAACTTTAAGAAACTCATCCTAGAGTATTTAGTATTTTAGTATTTATTTCATCAAGACAAATGAATAGTATTTGAGAAATATTAGTATAAGTTATTTATTTTTTTCATTTGGTTTCTTTTTGTTTTTGACTATTGTGTTGATTGTTTTGCTGGTATTTATTTGTGTTGTAAACATATTACAGACCTTTAGTTCACACTCCACATCACTAGGTGGCGGTAATGCATCCAAAATATAACCAGAAGAAGAAGAACTGTACTTCCCATGACGAAAACATGCTAACTTTTCCCATGACATCATCATGTGTGTTACCGTACGGTGGAAGTGGAGCGAACCACCGGAAGCTGTTAGAATGGATACACTCATTAAAGTGGAGCAGTCTCATCTCCTGTTAGCCAGGGACGCTAAAGGAAGCGAGCTGTGCTAGCAGGAGTAGCTTTGATAGAGAAGCTAATACGTTAGCTTGCTAGCTGGAACAGACGGACGCGAATGTAATGTAAGTTAGCAACAGAGCTCAGATCAGCTTCAAACGGAGCGTCTGTAACAATGTCACAGCCACTGCTGGACGCTGTCTGCCGGCCTGGAGGTTAGTACACTGTTATTCTCCCCCCCCCCCAACAAACCTCTTCTTCCACAGGAAGTACTGCTTCTTAACGGGGTACATCACCATGGTAACTCCATGGTAACTGGTGCATATACAATAACTGATACCTGCTTCTCGTGGCCAGTAGCATACATTAATCTGTAATTTCACATTTCTACATTTCAACAATAAAGCTAAGATGATAATATAAGTCTTATTATCAATTATATATCCCATTAGAATTCACTGGTGCCTATGTGTCGTGCGTCCCCATCAGAGAGCCTTTACAGTGGATATAAATAGTGACCATTTATGTCTGCGCTCACAAGACTGATGAAACAAAATGTGTTCAGACCCATCAGCTGGCAGCCATGACAGTGTGGAACATTCTCCTGTAAACATGTTCCTGAATCTCCTGTAGAATAGAATCATATCTGACCTTTCTTTGTTTTGATATTGGCATTATCGGCCAGAAGAAGAAGCTTATTTTAACTCTGCACTAGTGGGTTTATATGTGGACATAACATGAGCAGCTGCCTTGCTCAAAGGAAAGAGTATTGTTAAACTGCTAGAGTACATTTTTGTGCATCCGTTATATATGAGGCTACTCAATTGGAATTACTGAGTGTGAGAAAATAATAACTCAAAATATAAAATCGCTCCCAGTTAGATTTTTCATGGATAGTTTGATGTTCCTTTTCTAGATTTATGTATGTTAATATATAAACATTTAAGCATTTATTACTTTAAAGCTAACCGTTCCAGTTTCTACTAAATTCAAAGAGTTGGAGGGATTTATTGGACCATTGTTTTTTTTCCTGCTCCAGACAGTCATTATTATATGAGCCTTTAAAAACCCACTTTTAACTTTAAACAAGAAAGGACATTTTCTGAAATGTGTATGTATTTCATTATTCTCCACAGACATCCAGCAGCTGTTGGTGAGTGAAGAAGGGGATCCCTGTGAGCAGCAGAAGTGGAGCCCCAGTCTGGACCAGGAGGACCCACCAGAGCTGCCACACATTAAAGAGGAACAGGAGGAACTCTGGACCAATCAGGAGGGAGAACAGCTTCAAGCGCTGGAGGAGGCTGATATCATGAAATTCACATTCTCTCCTGTCCCAGTGAAGAGTGAAGATGCTGATGATGATGAAGAGAAACCACAGCTTCATCAAAGCCAAACTGAAAAGAACAATCATGAAATGAAAAGCGAAGCTAATGGAGAGGACTGTGGAGGACCAGAACCTGCCAGGTACTCAGATCCAGATAGTCATTTACAACCATATACTGATGACAACACGTCACACTCCTCTGAACCTGAGACTGATGACAGTTGTGACTGGGGGGAGACCAGTGAGCCTCAGTCAGGTTTAAACCCTCTGCCAAACAATGAAGTACCTGTAAGTGATACAGAATGTGATTCTCAGCCAAATAGCCAAACAGGAGTGAAACCATTTACCTGTTCAGTTTGTGGTAAAAGATTTTCCCGGAAGCACTCCTTAAAGACTCACATGAAAATTCATTCAGAAGGAAAACTTTTCAGCTGCTCAGTTTGTAAAAAATCTTTCCAGCAGAGAGAACATGTTGCGAGACACATGAGAGTCCACACAGGAGAGAAACCCTTCTGTTGCTCTGTCTGTGGGATAAGGTTCGCGCAAAAGGATACTCTGAGACGACATTTGACGACCCACACAGGGGAGAAACCCTTCTGTTGTTCTGTCTGTGGAAAAGGATTTTCATTAAGCTATAGCTTGACATCACACTTAAGAGTTCATACAGGAGAAAAACCTTTCACCTGCTCAGTTTGTAAGACCAGTTTTAGTGACAGACAGAATTTGTCCCAACACATGAGAATCCACACAGGGGAGAAAAGATTTAGTTGTTCAGTTTGTGGTAAAAGATTTGCATTACATGGAAATCTGAGACAACACTTGACTGTCCACACAGGGGAGAAACCCTTTAGTTGTTCAGTTTGTGGGAAAGGATTTACACGAAAGGGAGATATGGGAGAACACTTGACTGTTCACACAGGGGAGAAACCCTTTAGTTGTTCAGTGTGCGGTAAAGGATTTGCACGAAAGAGATTTCTGAGAGAGCACTTGACGGTCCACTCGGAGGAGAAACCATTCAGCTGCAATGTTTGTGATAAAACTTTCACTCGGCTTCATGTTTTCAAGAAGCACAAGTGTGTTGGTGAGAGCACTGGAAGTAAATGAAGCTTGTTGAGCCGATTACTTCCAGAATGTTATGTGCTATGCTATGTGATTCAGGATTAGTGTGGGAATTATCATTTTTCCATCACAATTTTAATTTAGACTGAATACAAATGATTAAAATCATAATGATGTGACATTTGTTGGGGTCTTTACCAAACAAATATGTTTTCTAAAATCTGGACAATAAGATTTGTAGGTAGGTAACATGCACCTGTTTTTCCAAATCAAAAATACTAGTTCTAATTAAATAAAGAAATAATGGTAAAACAATAGAAAACTAAATGTGATGGTGGGGCACTCAGATAGCGCACCCAGGTACCAAGGCCGAGTCCTTGCTGCAGTGGCCCAGGGTTAGAGACCAACCTGTGGCCCTTTTCTGCGTATTAAACAAATATTTATTGAACACTCCGTAATTTATTTAAATCTGTAGCAATAGCTGTAAAGGATTCAACTGTAAATGTCATTATGCATGAAGTAAAGCAAAATACTTGCAAATGTACACTGAACCCAAAACAAGCCGTTTATGCTTGTTTCATGTGTTTCTGCTAATGAGAACAACTGTGGGTAGTCCAACATGATAATCACGATCATGAACTCATCTGTTGTTAGTTATAACAAACAAATTAAAAACCCATATAGGAAATGTTTGCGTGATTTTGCTAACATGCTAATGTTCAGTAACTCGTGTTAGTGGATTGTTTGGAGGTTTTGTGTATCTATTGTGAATTTTATGCGGAAGAATAAACAAAAGACAATACCTCTGTTTCTGATGCATCAATCCATTGGTCAACTGTCCGACATTGTTTTTGTAGTACTCTTTCAAGAAATAGACTGACTACATACCACAAAGTGTTTGATGACCAATTTATGGAAGCTTGCGTTGTTGTATTACTGTATATTGTATGTCTGGGAAATGTTTTTGGTTCTTTTGTTTTTGTCTGTACTCATGTTGTTTTTGTTTTTAATGTTTGTGCCCCTGACTGCAAATCAAGTTTCCCATCTGGGTTAATAAATTGCTTTTAAACTGATATTAAATTAATAATAATTAATATATATGTATATAATATATATACTGTATACACCTTTTTTTATTATTTATTTTATTTTATTTATTATATATTTACATAAAGATCTGATTGATGGAACATTGCAAAGAGATAATTGCACAGATTATTAAATACACACATGAAATAGGTTATATATGATATATAGTGCCAGATAATTGCACAGTGCAGGTATAATAGAATAAGATACATAGATAGATAGATAGATAGATAGATAGATAGAAAACCTTTGGTGAATATATGATAAATTGTGCAAAAACAAAAGGACTCTGTGATGTTGTGGTGGGTGATGTGACAGAAACAACAAACAGTGCTACATCCTGTCATGCTGTTGTTAAAGAGTTCTGACTGCAACTACTTGCAGTAAAAACAAAGCTCACAGAAGGAAGGAGCTATTTTTTTTTTTTTCTTTTTATTTAAAAAAAAAAAAAAATAAATTTTTAAAAAAATAAAAAAATTAAGGTTAAATTTGGGTGTTAGTTATTGGCATTATACATTTGAATCTGTTGGTGACGGAGTGTCTTGGGTGCTTGATCAGCGGCTGGTGTGTTTGCAGCTGCAGGACAGCAGAGCTCCAGAGAGGAGGCACTCTGCTGTCACTCTGGAAAACATACATGCTGAATGTCAGGGGGTGCGGTCTCATCCGGGCAGGTGTCCTACCAACATAACTTTATGTCCGTGGTCATAGCAAAGGTACGTCTGTTTGGAACTTTAACCTTTCTTGTAACAATCACAATTGTGGCCAAAGCAGCGCTGCATTTTAGCTCCTACCTTATCAGTGAAAGGCTTTTTCTAACTCATAGGGTGCCCAAACTTTTGCACATTCCATAGTCAAGTCTGAAATAGAACCCTTCTGAATGAAACCAAGTCATTGAGGGAAGAAAAAACTTTCAGTGACTAAGTAGTAATCAGTCAACAACAACTGGTTTATTTTATTTATTTATTTAGTATGTAACCCATCCATACACCATGTTAATTAAAGCCTAGTTTCCAAATATATTCCTGTGACTGTCCGGTTACAAAGGTTAAGGTTTCACGCAGACTTTGCTATTAGCACAGACATGTGTATTTGCACTTTCTGTAGATGGAGATAAACTGCATACTTCCATCCACAGTTATGCTCTAAAATGAAGGATGACGTCGTCGTGGGTTACGTTTAGCATTGCTGTAGTTACTAAAAAGGTAGCATGTACCTTAATCAATCGTTGATTTAATGCACCGCCCGGTGAGCACACCGAATGGCACACATCAAACACACCCAAGACACTCCGTCACCAACAGATTCAAATGTATAATGCCAATTACTGACAGCCGCAATTTCTACACTTGCTATATTTCTTATGTTGCTTATGAATTTCATTTTTGTCTGTCATTAAATTCAGAGAAGAAGGAGAAGAAGGATTTCATCTTTCCATGAAGTGTTTGAGGATTTTCTTACAGTTTCTGTCACACGTCAGCTCAAACACTCCATAGAGGCTGAGTGGACTGGTTACAGTGGGACACAGAGGCTGAGTGGCTGAGTGGACTGGTTACAGTGGGACACAGGCTGTGGACTGGTTACAGTGGGACACAGAGTCTGAGTGACTAGTGGACTGGTTACAGTGGGACACAGGCTGTGGACTGGTTACAGTGGGACAGAGTCTGAGTGACTGAGTGGACTGGTTACAGTGGGACACATGAGTGGACTGGTTACAGTGGGACACAGAGGCTGAGTAGCTGAGTGGACTGGTTACAGTGGGACACAGAGGCTGAGTGGCTGAGTGGACTGGTTACAGTGGGACACAGAGTCTGAGTGACTGAGTGGACTGGTTACAGTGGGACACAGAGTCTGAGTGGACTGGTTACAGTGGGACACAGAGGCTGAGTGGACTGGTTACAGTGGGGCCATTGACAGTATCTGAGTGGGACTACTATGAACTGAGAAACAAAGAAGTTGAACCATAGCGGACTGTTGAGCACCTCTGTTTCTGTCTCTGTCCTTCTGTTGTTACCTCTGTTCTCTCTCTCTCTCTCTCTCTCTCTCTCTCTCTCTCTCTCTCTCTCTCTCTCTCTCTCTCTAACCCTAACTGGTTGAGGTAGACGGCCACCCACCTAGAGCTGGGGTCTGTCCGAGGTTTCTGCCTAACAGGAGATCGCTTAATTTTCAATAGGACAATATATTCAACACGGTAGCAGGACAGCGTCAAGCAGCCTATAATATGTATGAAAGAAAAAGTAAATATATAAAAATAAAATAATTGAATAAATAAATTAGAAGAATACAGGAAGACAATAATCTAGTTGTTTAACAGAAGAAGTAGGCAATAATATATATTTCTGTAAAAATTGTGCTCTTTGGTTTAATATGTGTGTTTGTGGCTGCAGCCGCTGTGTGTTATATTGTTGATTACTTTGGGGATGTTTTATTCTGATGAATCATCAGAACACAGGTGTTCAGGAAGGGATTGATAGAATGTAGTTGGTGTTGTTTAATCTTTTTCATTTTATTTTTATAGATTAATGTAAACTTAACTAGAGCCTGCTCTACATACTCCGGTACGGTGTGAGCTTGCAATCCTCCAAAAAACGTGAAGAAGAACTTCCCCGTTACGTATGAGCTGTTTGAGAGGACGGTAGCGGAGTACGAGGAAGAACTCTGGCGACAACACAAACTACTGGACGCTGTTTTCAAGCCGGAGGCTCTGTCTGCGGGAAAGGATTCACACGCAGATCAAGTTTTGGGGGCACACTTAAGCGTCCATACAGGAGAAAAACCTTATACTTGCTCAGTTTGTAAAGCAGATTTCAGGCTCAGAAACTCTTTGTAACAACACATGAGAACGCATACAGGAGAGAAACCCTTTAGTTGTTCTGTCTGTAGTACAAGATTTGCTCAAAAAGAACACTTTAGACAACATGTGAAAGTCCACGCAGGGAGAGACCCTTCAGTTGCTCTGTCTGTGGAAAAAGATTTTCACAAAACTCCGCATGGACCTTACACTTAAGAGTTCATACAGGAGAGAAACCTTTCACATGCTCAATTTGTAAAGCAAGTTTCAGTGTCAAAAGCAATTTATCCCAACATATGAGAATTCATACTGGGGAGAACAAGGGGAAATCTGAGTGCACATTTGCCTGTCCACACATGGGTGAAACCCTTTATTTGCAACATTTGAATAAAAGATTTACTGAGCTCTCTTATATAAAACAAGTGTGTTTGTGAGAGAAGTGGAAGCAAATGAAGCTGCAGAGATGCTTGTTGAGCCGATTACTTCCAGAAGGATTTGAAGTACTGAGACTTGGCTCAACACTAATCAGTTCAAAACTGTGATACAGACTCAAATAAGTCATGCTTCCTCTTTTCAGCTAAGATGAAGCCACATGATCGTTTTATTCTGGTTTTATTGGTGTCTACGTTATTAAGTTGTTTTCCAGGAACTGTGCTTTTTGGTATCATTCATTGACATGACCTTTGAACTAGGAAGTTTTTCCTTGCTGCCATCGTTAAGTGCTTGCTCATGGTGGTACTGTTGGGTCTCTAAATAATTTTATAAGGAGTTCGGTCTAGAGCTGCTCTATTTTGAAAAATTGGCCTGAGATAACTTTTGTCATGAATTGGAGCTATACAAATAAAACTGAATTGAATTGAACTCAATAGCTCAGTTTTATTAAAAAATTAAGGACTGATGACAACGTTTAATGTCTTACATTTGAAGGCTGATGTTATATGATGAAACGGCTCAGTTTTAAGGTTGTGGGTTTGATCCTCAGCCGTTCTGTGAATTTTTGATGGTGGTGACTAAAAGTGTAATGTCCTACATGTCCCTTTAAACCAGGGGTTTCTAAAGTCTGTTTTGTCTATTTTATGTTTTTTTTGTCTTTGTTATAGGCAGCCACATAGGGCGCCTTCTGCTGGGTGGGGACCAAAGAGGAGAAAGAAATTGCTTTTAACATCTCTGTGAAATTTTTTCATTATCAATTCATGAGTTATGACCAAAAATGTGTTGTCAGTGTCATTTTCAGGACACTGTGACCTTTGGGTCAGTTGAAGTGTCACCAGATTATTGTCTGACCAACTGTGAAATCTGGTCACCAATTGTTTAACTACGGCCAAAAACATGTTTTGTGATGACAGTGAACTTTGACCACCAAATTCTAATCAGGAAGTGGGACATTTCAAGACTGAAGAAATTCCCTCGAGGCGTTGATGAGAATGGAACAGATGTACGGACAGCTGTTGCTGGCACAGAGGCATAAAAAAAACCAATTCTAAATGTAATCTAAAAGGTAAATCACAATAAACAATCAAACATGACATATGACATTTATTGAACAAGTAGAAATAGCAAGTGTGTATAAAAATACAAACTTTGAGAAAGGAACAGTGCATTTCTCTCTGCAAAATAACCATACAGACGGAGACGGACTACTAAAATATCTTCTCTAGATCTGTGCAGACCTTCATCACATGCTAATGAACTAAAGACAAATAAATGTACATCCACGTCACATCTCTACTGAAAATATCAGGAGTACAAGAATCTCTCTAAACTAGAACTGTTAAATACAATGTTTAAAGAACAAAAGTAGAGTTTTTAATACAATCATATGGCAGCACTGTACAGACATCCTGAATTGTGTGTATGCCCACAAAGAGAAATCCATTTCAGTGTAGTGAAAATAATATCTTAAGGATAAGTTAATAAATAGACATGCCACAAGTAAGCCATGACAGACACTTTCTTCCATTTTAAACATATCATTTCTAAAAAAAACAAAATGAGCTTCAGTACTGAGAGTAAAGCTCTGGTAGAATTACAAAAGCTGCTAAACTGAATGAAGTACATTGTTCAGCATGTGTACGGCTCCTCAACAACTGAACTACTGAGGGGCAGCACTGAACTTACAGCGTGATGCTTTAACAGTTAACAATGCAGTTACTGTCAGTGAGTCTGTTTACTGGCATACCTGAAACTCTGAGACCTCACCTTGTGGCAGGAAATATTACAACATTTCAGATACATGCACATACCTGGAAGCACTGTCTTGGCATCTTTAGAAACGAACAGCAACAAATTATGAAACAATACCCCAAGAGACCAACGTGTGTCCCAGAAATCTGATTGGCCCACCTGAAATTTTCACTTTGTAATTATTAATGAAAAGTCACAGAACATGGTTCAAACTGAGGACATCCAATCTGTACAGATGCTTGTTTTCATTCATTAGTTTATATACAAAAATATACAACACATTCAAGCTGTACAACATCATATCGAGGCACATTTAGCCCCCAAAATAACGAGTGGAAAGCAGTTCTGCAAACAGCCACAGAACATTAAACATTCCTCTGAAGGCCTCAAACTAAACATCTATTAATCATGAAAGGGCACATCCTCACAGCTTTATTGGTCTGTGGAAAAACAGGGCTTATTTTATGACATATCATTAGAATATAAATAGCGCCTGAGCCTCTTCCAACATGAAAAGCTGTTGAAAGGTGGCAACAACAGTGCAGGAAGTGTTTCATTCTGTGTTGCTGCCACAGTCTTCCTGAGGGTTTGTTTAGCTTATAATGGTTCACTGGACACTTTGATATAACAGCTGCATGTGCTGGATGCCTCCCTGAATATATCTGTTTGTGCTATTTCTGTATGTGCACCACCAATCTATCCCTTACAACAACAATGATTTAAAATATATATCATTTTAATTGTCTTTCATTATTTACAGACTTTAGATGGACATTTTCCGGTAAAGCTACACCCAACTATTACTCGTATTGGCCAGCATCAGCTTTACAAATGAATATATTTTTAATGCTGATGTTTAGCCCATTGAGTCCCACCCCTTTTGATGTGACTATAGCGGTACTGTGTGTTGCTTGTATCTCTCAAACATCTTCAAAATATGCTTCTTTTCAACAGAGAGTCTAGCACGTAGCATATCTAAGTACAGGAAAGTAGAAAGATGATCAAAGCTTGCTAGAGCTCAGTGAACGCCCGCTTCCTGAACAGCTCTGGAAGTGAATTTAATTTACTCCACTGACGTTACAGAAAGTTGTTTTATAGACTTTTACCTAACCCACTATGAGATGAACTGTGACCATAAAACATTTGATTCAGAGCAAAAAACAAAAAACCTTGCTAAAGTACAAGACTATGTACATAATTATTAAGTGAGTGAAGGAACTACTCATCCCAGAAACCATTGAGGATGTTCACAATAATAGTGTACTTCTCCTTGAATTGAACCATTGTGATTATATCATAATAGTGTTGGAATATATTGTAGTTTGTGTTGTGTGTGTGTATGTAGTGCAACAACATGATTAGTGCGACTCATGCAGTTCTATGTAGACTCGTGTTAGCTAATGTTAGCTACCTAACTAGCCAGCCTGTAAAGCTCACCACAACCCTGTATGTGTTGTCTTTAACAAATACTGACTTGTAGTGGTTCTCTAAAAAGATGCAGCTGGTCAGAAAGAGAAATCTTTGTTCTTTGGTAAACATAATGAAAACCATCGTTCAGTTCAGTGGCAGCAGTAACTCACTAGTAGCTAACCGGTTGAGTGTAAAAAAAGATTTTAGAAGAGTAACTCAGTAGCTTTACCAATCAGACACATCACTGTTGTTCTTCAGGATTGTGGGTACTGTAGTACTTCTCAATGCAATAACATGTTTCTTAAAACAAGGTTGATATCATATGGACTTCTACAGGAGCATATACCATTGTTTCACAGCCTCATAGCTCACGGTAACGCTAGCTTGGATGGTTACGACATTATGACTAATAATTGAAATCCTCTACACACACACAATGAATGGGATTTTTACTTCAGAACCTTACTGTTGAGCTCTACTGGAGCACAGAGCAAAACAAGGGTGGGACTTGTGGGACTGGCAGTTTGTGTTGTTTGAGGAGTGTGTCACATGACAAATTAGCAAGAAAAGTTTCTGTCTTAAAGAAATTAGATACTGTTGCATCAACATTTTAGAAATGTATACGCTCATTACAACACAATCATTAAATAGAGCAACATTTGAGAACAAGCTTGTTGAGTCAGGAAAGGAAAGACAGAGTGGAAGGCTGCTTTCCAATGTATGGCTCCTTCCTGAGAGTAAAGGGGGAATTCCAGAGGTCTTCAGGTTCCATGCAGCATTCATCGATCCAGCGTTTCAGACAGAGCAAAATAAAGTATTTACAAACAGACAGAATCTCATAGCAAGCCAAGACAGTGAAAATGGAACCAGTCCAAGGATCAGAGCTGGTATGAGAGCTACAGTCTGGAAGAGATGCAGCAGCTTGGAAAAGAAAAAATGACAGTGAGGCTTTCTTTGGGCCATTTGTGTTACTGTATGTTTAGTTGAGTGGCATCTGTCAGTGTCTCGTACTGTCTGTCTGTCCATCAAGAGACTGTACAAATTCTGTACTGCCATCACCCAGCTGCTCCTTCACCCAGCTGCTCCTTCACCTCCTCCTCTTGTTTGGGTATGGGGGGTGGTGACACACTCACTGCAATCTTTCCCATTACCTGCTCTTCCTCTTCTTCCTCCATCTCCCCACCCTCTTCCTCTTCCTGTTGCAGTTTTGGCTTCCTCTGACAGCAGGGCTTGTACAGGTGGGGATCGATGATGACTTCTCCGTAGCGTCCCTTGTACACAATCCCACAGCACACCTTCTGTCTGAAACAAACACACGTCTGTTAGTATGAGCGTGTATAGCTTCCATAAGTCTGGTGGTGTAATATAGTGTTCATTTCTATTGTCATTTTTCAGTGTGGGAAAAAGAATCCTCCATGTCACTGTTTATTGGGACATAAAAACAGCCTTATTTGGACAAGTTAGGATTCTAGTGAACACATAATATATAGTCACTGTCTGATGAAAACCACACATTGGCACAATTTTTTACACTTTTATCTACATATGGAATGGCATACTCTCCTTCGTCTACTGTCAGCATTTGGAAGGGAACTGACCAATGAAAAGATGTTTTTCTGCACCGCGCTGTCTGGTTTCCCCCATCGAGTACCGTAAGTTGACCAAGCTCTAGCTCATTGTTAGAGGAGCAGAGACTTTGAGGCCCTCGGTTACACTCTGAGAAGAAGTGTCAACATTAGACCCGATATTTGTGAAAGCAATATGAGAGGGATTCATTGTGCTACTTTGAGCTCCGACTATAGTATACTTCTTCCTGTTAACAGTGACAACAAAAAAGGAAGGTTCAACACAAGATGGCTGACAGGTTGTTGTCACTCTTTATATGAACTAATTGCACACTGTCATTGCTGTAACTATCACAGAAGCAGTGGGTCTTAATGCAACCACGTCAAGATATTTTCATAAGGAAACTTTGTTTTTCATAACTAGTCCAAGATTTGTTTAGTCTAGAGATAATGTGAGTAAGGGGACAATACCCTAAAATAATATCACAATATTTGTGGGCATTTCCACTATATATTCTTGACAAAATACTTCAATATTTTTGGTTTGGAACTCATGATAGCTGTTCAGCTCTTCTCGGGGGGTTTTTGGCTCTCCTCATTCTCAACTGGGTGCTTCTGCTTGAAGAGGATTTATTAAATATTATTGAATTGCTTATTTATAAGTAAGGTTAAGGAAACAAAACATGAATAAACTTTCTACAGAAAAAGACACTCCAAAAATAGAGAACCAGCTAACGAATATAAATAAAACACAAATAGCTAATTACATAAAATGTATTATATACATATTTAGAATGTATTTCTTATTATATTGAGAGTTAGTAAACATTAATAAAAGATGTACACAATATTGAATTATTTTGTAAAGACAAACCAACAGGACAAACAGTTGTTGAATGTGAACTAGGAATTTAAAATTCAATACGGGTGGGATGGAAAATGAAACCTGATATCAGTCGTGGTAAAAAAGGCTCAGAGACATCAGTTTCACTCCACGAAAATAAACACTGTTTATTGCAGAGAGGAGGATGCTGTCCAGGCTTCAGTCTATCTTGGACAATGTCTCACACCCTCTCAAAGACACACTGGCCCAGCAGAGGAGCACCTTCAGCAGAGGACTCCTCTCACCCAGATGCACCACAGAGCGCCACAGGAAATCATTCCTGCCTGTGGTCATCAAACTCTACAACGCCTCCCTCAGAGAGTCACACCCCCTCTCTGTAATCTGACTCAAACACGGACAACCATTTCTGCACTCTTCTTTCTTGCACATTTCCAAACTGTACATTTTACCCCCTGGGATTATTAAAGCAGTTCTGATTCTGGTTTATACCCTACCTCAGAAATAAAAAATAGAGATAAAGATTTATTTTTGCAAATGTTTGTCTGACAAAATCTTTTTCAGTCAATTTGTCTTCAATCTCAGTGTATCCATCCCTTGATGTAGCTGCTCTCTTTTAAATTATACGATTGCATTTATATTTATATTCTCGTTAGAAATATTGAGTCACATCAACGCCATCTGCAGCCTCCACCTGCTGTGGCTTTTGTATATTTTGTGCAACTTCCTATTTCTTCACTCGAGTGAAAAGGGGAGTAGAAGTCCCTTACCTTTTCCAGTAGGTGAGGTCCAGGAAGGAGAAGGCCCGGGAAGTGGCAGGGCCTGGTGAAAGCTCGGTGTCCGAGCCCTCGTCTGATTGGTTGCTATAGCTGGGTGACTGAGCGGGCGATGCACTGGAGGTGGTGCTGTGGGCGTCTGAGTCTGGAAGGACACAGAACCCTGATTACAACATATCCTACTGACAGTATGTTCACCCACAGAGGCCTTTTTATTTTCTCAGTGCATGGACTAGTTCAAGTCAACAGTGAAAATTGTGAAAAATTCAGTGTAGATAAGAACCAGTGTGTAGGATTTAGTGTCATCTAGTGGTGAAGCTGCAGATTGCAACCAACTAGCTACCACTCTTTCTATAAGAAACTATGGTGGTCGCAAAAGGCCATATATGGAGCCAGTGGTTTTTTTTTTTATCCGTTCTGAGTTAGTGTAGAAACATGGAGGTTCAACATGGTGCACTCTGAATAAAACGACTCATTCTAAGCTAACAAAAACACAACAATTCTTATTTTCAGAGCCCAGTATTTCCAAACCTTTCATCTAGATCAGAATGTAATCCCTTTTTTTGCTCTCTCTAAGGTTTTGTCCTGGATTTTCAAAGAATTTTCAGGTAGGATCATTCTGATCCAGATAGCTTAAGATCAGGATTACAGAATCTAGATTTGCCGTCTTTGGATAAACCTCTATCTGTTTGTCAAAGTGATACTACATTTTAATACCAGTTGTTAATCAGTTTGCATATTATTGATGTTCACTTATCTGCGTTATTGTTTAAACATGTTTAGTTTTTAGTAGTTTCAGTTTTTTTATAATAATATTTGTCAGTGGCAAGATTTCAAAAGTTTGGCATTGGTATTACAATACTAACAAAACCCTGTAAAGGCAAGTGTCTCAATAATGACAAATAATGATCCAATGATCGTTGTGTTGACAAATTTGACCAAATTGGCAAAGACTAAAACTAAAGACATTTTCTTTTTTGTTTCACACTTTTTTTAGGGTTAGTGAACTACAACAATATTTGGTCAGACAGCAGTCTGACTTTTAAGCCCCATATGGAATAACTGGCACAGAATCTGAAGATAAAAATGGGTTTCTCATTTGAGAATAAAGCAATTTTTTTTGGAGGACAGAAAAACCATTGTGCAATCAGCCCTAGTGTCGGTGCTCAACTGTGGAGATATCTTGTACTCTTATGCCTCTCATTCCAAACAACTGGATGAAACAGTTTACAGATGGGCCCTGTGTTTCATTACAGGAGATAAATATCACATTAATCACTGTGTACTATATGAAGAAGGCTGGTCCTCACTAGAAACAACGAGAGAACTACACACTATCATTTAAATTTAAACTGTCTCAGGATATCACTTCTTCTGAAATGTAAAACCTCTGTCCATAAGATCAGACCCCAGGACTGATACTGATCACATACTGAACTTCCACTACTTTGCAGCATGTCAATGTACAGTCCTACATATAACACCAGCACTGCAGTGTCAGCTTACTGTTTCTCTTCAGCTCGCTTTGCACCCGACCAATCCGGCTCGGTCTAAGCTTCTTCCTCATCTTCTTTGTCCTCAGTGTGGCCTTCACACTCGACCCAGCTTTGGCATCGACTACCTGAAAGCACACCGGAGGATATGGTTTTACATTAAGATCAGATCAATAATGTGTCAGGAAAGGTCTGCAGGTCTAATGATGCTCAGCATGTCCTTACATGATTCCAGTTCTTCTTGGATCCAGCTGGAAGCTTCTTCCATCTCTTGACCAGGAGGACACAGGCGTTACAGATGTCCCCATAGCGCACCTCACCCAACCTGCAGGGACAGGAAGTTACACCGGCTAAGCATCACACTAATAGACAATTTTAGTTATTATAGTTTGTTTGTTTGTTGTTGTAAAATATATTTTTTGCTCTCTTTTCTTGTTTATATTGATAATATTGGCGCATTATTGGTGATTATTGAGACTGGGGTGTCTACATGGTTGAGAGTCAATGTGTTTGTAATGTAATACCTATTATGAACTTCTGAAATCTTACCACTGACAATACAACAACTGAAACTACTAAAAACTAAACATGTTTAAACAATAACGCAGATAAGTGAACATCAATAATATGCAAACTGTTTAACTACTGTTAATAAAATGTAGTATCACTGTGACCAACAGATAGAGGTTTATCCAAAGGCTGCAAATCTAGATTCTGTAATCCCGATCTTAAACTATCTGGATCAGAAGGATTCCTATATGAAAATTCTTTGAAAAACCAGAACAAAACCTATATCAGTTTTATCTGGAAGAGCAAAAAAAAAAAAAAGGGATCAGCAAGTCTGGATAATTCTGCCGTAGATTAAAGGTTATGAAATACTGGGCCCTGATGACTAATGTGGTGCAGTCATTTGTTCAAATGAGACATTTAACCAAGATCAGGTCACTCCATTTTCCATTTGCTAAAAATTTCCCTGCTGGTTTTTGAAGCTACCTACATCTGTTCTGCTTCAAAAGATATTCAAAAATCATATAAGGGTGACTGGGCCCCAAATCTGTGGAACTCCCTGTCTGCCAATCTCACTGTATCCGCTCTTCTTAAAATCCTATGGCTTTTTCTTCACTGATGGTAATTGTTTTTATGTATTGTATTCTGTTTTTATCATCTAGGTTTTGTATTTTGTTTACTTTTTGTTCTTTGTTTTCACTGTAAAGTACTTTGTAACTGTTTTTGAAAGGTGCTGTATAAGTAAAGTTATTTTCATCTTTATCTTCCAGAGCTTCAGCAATACCTGGCTCCTAACACTAACTCACATCATAGTAACCATAGCGATGGAGCTTGGCCTGCTTGCAGCAAGTTGGCAGAAAGTTCCCTGTGTAATAGTCCTTATTCATTACTGATGCATTACAGGGGTTGACACTGAATGTAACTCAGGGGTTTTGTCACTCCTGACTCAACTTCTGTTTTTTAATCTTACGTCTGTTGGGGGATAATCATGCTTTAACTTTTGGAACTACAGTTCCCAGAATACTTTGTTGCCTTGGATTCAATGAATTCTACTGTGAACTACACCTTGTTTTTTTTAGCTCATATTTATTGATATTTTGGTGCTGACCGGATGCAGGGCAATACTGTACAACAACTATTAACATAGGAATAAAAAAATAAATAAAATAAAATTAAAACGTTTTATATACATTTTTACATTACATAGATGTGGCATTGTCTGTATTTTCAGAACCAATACTACTGTTTAAAAAAAAAAAGGCAACCCTGTCTCTTAGAAATTTTGAATATTTCAGAACTATGCTGTGGTGACATTGTAATACCTGCCAGGATTTGGTCGCATTACGTTTCTCTCTGAACATATTTACATAATTTCTAGGAGACAAGGCTGCATATAGATATGTGCCTCAGTGCAGGGCCCACTCAGGGTCAGCTGCGGGGGCCACGTGTTTGTGTTACGGTGCTGCCATGGATTTGAATATTTAACATCTGTGCTGAACTTGCTTGCTGCCACTATTGTGTCTTTTACTGTGATTTTATTTTTATTGTTAGACTCGTGTTTTGCATGTTTCAGTTAGTGCCTAACAATTCAACAATATTGCCTAATATTGTTGTCCATATTACTACCAACACAACTGTTTTTGTATGTGCTCTTGCATAATAAGCCTCTGTGCTACATGTGTTGCATGTTTTTAATAGTACTTGAAGGGTTACCACGAGAACTGAACTGAAATTCTGAAACCTTGACGGTACTCGTTCTTTTACAGTACCACAGGTACTGAAGGTACCAGGGATGCAGTTCTTTCGGATGTCACACTTTTTTTCTATCATGACCCATGTGTGTCACTTTCACCTCACACTGAATCTAGACCCATCGAAGACCTGAGTTAAACTGTGCCTCAGTGATCTGTCAGTCAGCCATCTGGAAATGTGGAAGGTGCTGCTGACTCACCCAAAGCAGCTCTTGAAGTCGATCTCGTAGCGTTTGCTGTCAGTGAAGCGGGAGCTGGACGACTTGGCCCTGCAGATGCAGCAGCCATCGATGCTCCGGTACATCTTCGGCTTGTGGAAGCCAAACATCTACAGCGACAGAGAAACACAATGGATAAGGATGCTGCAGCGCCTCAAATCAGAGCTACTTTATTCTTTTACTGACTCTGGACTTTCTCCTGGGAAAGAAAACCTGCTGTAAGAGTTACATATAACAGTTTCACCAAATACATATGAACTACAAAGGAAGATGGGCCACTTTCATTATAGAAGAATAGATCAAAATAGGGCTGCAGCTGACAATTATTGTCATAGCTGATTATCTTCTTGTTATTTTTTGCAATTAATCGATGTATCATTTGGAATATAAAATAGTGAAAACATCCATCACTACTTCTGTAAGCCCAAGGAGATAACTAACCCAAAGATATTCAGTTACTATCCAATGAGGAAATGAAACACAGAACAAAAAAAAAAACACCGTTTTTGCTTGAAAAATGCATATGTAGTTTTAGCATTTTGATAAGTCATTTCAGCTTTAGATCAAAATAAGACTAACTTTGAAATGCAACTAATTAATGTCAAAAAGGACTTCCATTAAGCAACATCAGATTTTGGATTTGGACATGGGGCCCGCAGGTTCTATGTCTGCGTATTACTGCGGAAAACCCCACTGAAGCATATTTACACTTTTATATCTACTTGATGAACCCTCATAAAGAGCGCTATTTAAAAATCATACAAGCTGAGTGTGTGCGTAATATGCGCATGTGCGTCATATGCCATTTAAGCCGACCCCCTCCTGCCGCTCCTGTGGTGTGGACATGGGGGGAGAGGAGGAGATGGGTGGGGGTGGGGGCGTGAGTGTGTGTGTGTGTGTGTGTGTGTGTTTGTGAACGAGCCAGGTTATCAGGCTGAGCATCACTGAGGAAGGAACAGCGCGGTCTAGCTGCCTCTTACGCAACAGTGGTGCTGATGCAACTGGGGGCTCGACATGTGGCCGCCGGGATGTTGGGTCGAGCGGATCGACAGCAGCCACCCATAAAAAGCACTATCTACAACTACACTTTACATATTTTACTGTGATTCAACCGGTAGAAGAAGAAACGGAAACACACGCGTTCTGCTACACAAACGTTCAAAAGATATCAGTGAGTCCCAGAGTGGTTCATTTCAATGTGAAAACCTATTTGGCAATAAAGCTGCTTTTGATTCTGGAGACAGATGAATTATGGGATCGGTTTTGGGCTGTGACAACATTTAAAATGTCACGTGCTGGCTGGTGCGGCGGTGATTGTGTAATCCTGTCCTGACTGAAGCACGGCACGTGGTGTGCTGCCGACCCATGCTCCGCCTGCAGCAGGCGGCGGCTCGGGGCTGCAGCAGGCGGCGGCCCGGGGCTGCAGCAGGCGGCGGCCCGGGGCTGCAGACCACCACAATGGAACTAGAAAAGTGGACAAAAGTCACAAACGCGATTGACTGGCGACGTTTCGTCTCGTTAGTCGGCACATGCGCTGTCCATCTCCTCACTGCCACTGCTGCCGTGGATAAGATCCGCTCGGAAAATAAACGACAACGTGACTGTTGTTAAAATGCTCAGCTGAGGTTCATTGTGTTTTTTTAGGCCCACTCTTTCTCAGATTGCAACGTGGAAACAGCTCTCCTCCGCGTGCGCCCATTATCGGACATCAACGTGCAACTGAATGACATTATACGTTTGATACATGTTCTTGCTTTTACAGCGGAAATGATGAGTGGGTTCGGGCCAGTCATTCAGCTAGCACAAACAGGTTTACTAGCAGCTCACTTCGTGTCCGACAATGGATGTAGGGGCAGAGCTGTCACTCATTCACCGCACTTTATTTGAAACGTTGTCGAACTACGGCGCGACAGAGCTGACATTTTTACAGTCGCGGTTTTAACAGAAGTTGCTTGGAGAAGTTGCAGATTTAACGACGCCATGCTGCGTTTGAGTCCGTGTCGTTAGAGCTGAAGGGGGCTGGGCACTGACGCAGGAAACACACCCACCACCCCGACAACAAAGTGTAGCTCAGCCTTCCACGCACCAGCTCTACTTACTGACTTTATTTAACGTGGAAAATAAATACAACTTTACGCTTTTTAAGCTGGCGGGAACATTGGGACTTTATGTCGTTTCCAGCAGCCCTTGGAGAAGGAAAGTGAGCGGTCGGTGGTCTTGTCCGCCTCGACAGTGTGTGTTTGAGCTAACTTAAGACATTAAAAACAGAATAAAGTTAGCTTCCAGCAAACTATTAGAGCTTTAGTACGTTAATGTTTCCCCAATTAACCGAGCAACTAGTTAGCTAACGCCACCCAGCTGAGCGTCGTCAGACGGACAGACATCATGGATGTACCGAGTCTTTCCCCAGTGTTATATAAAGTATTACCGACGCTTCAGCGGTGATTAATACTGAGCTTTTCGGTACTTCGGCGCTGTTTGCTGGACTGGCTTACACAGCTGCTTCGGGTCACGCTATTAGATGTGAAATCAGAAGCACCATCCTCCGACAACTTTACTGCACGCCGACAGACACCGAGCCCATAAAACACACTTTTCTCTGTACACAAAGTCAGAAAACACACTTACCTTGTTTCAAAGTGAGAAGCTGAGCGGCTCACACTTGTGTCATATGCGGTAAAGCGAGCTCTTTTCAGAAGTGTCTCTCATTTAACATTTAACAATGCCGTATCAGACCATCAGGTACAACGTTGCCCGCCGAAGCGTCGAGGTACAAGAGAATAACAAAAACAACGTCCGCTTGGTAGTTTCAAATTAAAACCGGCGTCAGGAGCAGGCATTTCGGTCGCGTTTTGAATAACGACAATACACTTATTTTGAAGGATAGGTCTACAACTTCCGATATCGCAATGGCTATGTGCGGCTAGCCTGACGCAGCCAGTGTGCTCGTAGTAGAAACGTACACGCAGGCGCACCACTCCTCCTCCGACTCCCGCGCCACCATTTTCTGACTTTCTTCAATCATCGTGATTTGCATACAGCTGTATGACGCCTGCCTGCGTAAACACATTGCGATACCCATATAAGGAGTGATATTTACGCGGGAAAAGAGGTTTAGCCAGTTGCTATAGAGAGGTTGCAGGGCCGAGAAGCTGCCAGCAGGTGGCTCTGGTAACACTTATTGTTTTGTTCTTTGTTTTGGAATAGTCTTCCCTCTACAATAAGGGAATGCCCCACATACTCGTTTTTTAAAGGACAACTAAAACAATGGCTCAAATCAAACCAAAAGTGCGACCACTAACTGGACTTGAGACTAATTGAACATTACTTTTTATTGCATTGTTATATCCTGTGTGGGTCTGGTGTCCTTCTGATTGTGTAATGTATTGTGCTATGTGTGTTGTCTCTTCTATTTGTATTTTATCTATTTGCTGTTTCTTGTATTTGTATTTTTTCTATTTATTTATTTGGGACTACGGATGCAAATGAACAGTTTTGCTATAATCTGGCATCAGAGATGTTCAAATATCGATGTTCATTAATGTGCACTGTCCCTATCCAAAAATAAAGCATTTATTTATTATTATTATTATTATTATTATTATATACTGTAGAGTATAAATACAATAATATGAATTATAACAAATATATTAAATATATGAATGTATTTTATTTCTGCAGTCTAGGTATAATCACAACTTTTCACACTATGCTACATATTAAACTTAAAAAATTAAAAAATGTTTGTTAAATTGTTAAAAATATGGGCGCCCGGTTAGCTCAGTGGGTAGAGCTGGTGACCCATGTACGAGGCTGAGTCCTTGCTGCAGCAGCCCAGGGTTTGAGTCCGACCTGCGGCCCTTTGCTCCATGTCATCCCCTCTCTCTGCCCCCCTTTCCTGTCTATCTTCAGCTATTTCTATCATAAAGGCAATAAAAGCCCCCAAAAATACTTTAATAAAAATAATATAATAAAAAAAATATTGCAGTGACCTCTGCTCTTCCGCTCCAGTATCTGTAGTAAGTCAGAAAAGTAACCAATATAAATATTAACATTTCATTCTAAAATACTGTATGCAGCGAGCTGTTTCTCTTCTTCAACTGGAAAAGTAGAAATTGTTTTGTTATCAGCAAAAACAGCTGCAAATAAACTGTAACTGTATGAGTAAATAAAATGAAGCAGGATGCTGCAACAAAACTCTAACATATCTGATCTGGGACTACTGATTTAACAAATCCTAATATGTCAGATTATATGTTAAAATTATTAAATGTAATCAGAAAAAAGGAAGAATTTGTAATATTGATCTCAGCTTAATCTCTCAAAACACGACAGTCCTTTGTGTATATTGTATCATTTACATTGCTATGTATTTAATGTTCAGACCAATACAAAAAAATACTTCCTCTCATATAGGGCAATGCTTCACGTTCTTTACTTTTCATCACACAAATCTTTCCTGTGTTTTTTGGGTTACAAGCTTTTTTTTTTTTGTAACCTAATTTATGTATACGTGAAAAACAGAATACAGTATGCTGCGATGGTGGTAAACACTGTACCATCTGGTAAATTTATGCCATTTAAATTTGATCCATCTGATGTAACCGCCTTTGCAAGAATAACGTCAGTACTGATGCTATAACATGTAGGTTATGTAAGGGACATAGATACTGCTGCTGTACACTCATGACTTCTACCCAAGACTGGCACAAGCCATTTTTAAAAAATATTACATAAGATTATAATGTCACTCCAGTTATTATTTTTCTAAATCTACATTAGAATCTGGACCCAAAATGAGGTCCCTGTGAGACTGTGTAGGAAACTAGTTTTAATATTGTGTATTTAGAAATGCATGTAAATATTTTTCTGCAACAGTCAAATATACACAAATATATTCTCTGACACAGATATCAGAGAATTTATTTATGTATGACAACTATTTCCAAAAACATTTATTTAAAACCCCTACAGGAGCTTTCATTTTGTGTAAATTCTGGCAGCCCCTGTGGACAAAAGCGGTAGTGTTTCCACCTCGTTTCATTGATTTCAAGGGGAATCCAACCTGGTGGCAGGCATTAAGAATGACTAAAGAAATAGCTAATAGTCTTCTCACTGATGGTCTTCTTTGTGTATGTAGGTCATATAGAGAGATCAGTATTAAATTGAGACTGTTTCATAGCCAGTTAAAAAGTCCTTGTAGTATGTTTAAATAAAAAATGAGATGTGACTTTATCACATGTAATGCACATTTTCCATGTTTATCAATAAATTATGGAACATTTTCCATTTAACACAAGTGAAATATTATTTCACTTCTGATAAACAAACAGGAACATGTAGTTTATGGACACACTCACAAACACCTTAATACAGTGGGTGCTTTTATTGAAATAGGCATAATAAATATCAGAACAGAGTAGTCAGTCCAACACAGACAAGACTCTATTTGTCCGGTGGCGATCTTGCCAGCAGCAGGAAATGCAGCCACCGCTGCCATGGCTGTCACATTTCCTGTTTCCTGTTTGAGCAGATCCACTCAGGGTTAATAATACCACTCGTCACACGACACGTTCATGTAACAAATCCACCCAGTAAGCAAAATGTGCAGTAGTCTACGGAGGACTTTCAATCGTCCCCAAAGCCTCCAAGAAGTCAGTCCAGCAAAGACTTTGTACACAAACAAATCCAGGACGAGACAGAGGAATCCGTTACTGTGCTTTGGAGCTGTGGGTAGTCCTGTAGGTGAGGGATCAGGGGGCACAGCAGCAGGAGCACAGAGGTTAAAACACGATAAAAACACATGAAGTGGAAATAGTGGTTTCCGTTTTAAAGACATGAATGTTTCCAGTTATTCCACAGGCTTCACCAACATTAAAATACCAGTGCTGCTGTCAGCCTGCCGCGGATTAATACTAAATTAATAAATACACGAAATCAAGACATTCAAAACAAACCATGACAGGCTGCGTCCTTCACAGACTCAATACAGGGAACAGTGAACATACTACGGGGAACTGGGGTTGCAAAGATGTCCACTTTTTGTCCTATCAAAACTCATCTAGCGTTAATTAGAGAGGGTCACAATAAATACAGCTCAGTCTAAATCTCAACATGCACTAATGAGAATATTTACACCACTCCTCAGAAAGGGTTTATTTAGACAGCGGTAAGTGGCAACAGTGGCAAAATCTCTCATGCAGCAAAAGTTTAATGGGGGAATAAAAATCCGTCTGAGAACAATAGTTATTAGAGTTTCCACACGGTTCTGTTGGCAGTTTGTGTGTTTGGAGGAGAAGGGGGTTCAATTTAATTCCTTAATATCATAGATGAAAACATAGAGCCTGTTCCTTGCTTTTATACCTGATAGAGGTTGTGTTGCTTTCATGTAATATGGGAATTAACAGTTAGAACAGCTAGCTTGTAGCGTCACACAGATCTTAAATGAATCCATTTTAAACTAAAACTTAATTCAAAGGAAAAGGCTAATATTCTGTAGTTTTTTTTATTGTCAACAAATCCCACAGAAATACCCCAAAAACAAACAACCCTAGGGCAGTAAATGCCCACTTGTGAACCAACTCTGGAATTATCCACTGAAAATAGTCCCCTAAAGATGCACTATTTCCTCCTGTTTGAGTGAAGTTTGTAAAAAACTACAGTGACCAGCTGCTTCACAAAATGACTGAGCCTTTTAAATTAAACTATATACTTGGGATGTGGTTTGAAAGACTTTTACAACCAGGGTAGGGAAGTAATAAAGTATTAAGAAACTTCATATGTGAAATGTTGACAACAAAGAATACAGGATAACTCCAACCTTATCCTTTAGAATGTCATTACTCCAGCTATTATACCTTTCCACAACCTGCACATTAAACACCTTCATCAGTTTGAACTCTGACACTTGCTCTATATTGTTAGTTTGCACCAGACAATTGTCATTGTACAGCTTTAACAAACTTATATATAGTTCAGTATGTTTTTTTGCTTTCTTTCCAAGAGTGAATTCAAAAGATGGATCATGTCTGTGCATTCCATACAGAGCTGGAGTCAGGATGTGGTTAGCCTAGCTTAGTGTAAAGACTGGAAGCAGGGGCAATATGCACAGGAACAACTTTAAAGATGTGTTAGATACATAACACATCTGGTTTTTAACCTGTGTATAAACAGAAATCTGAAAGTTTAAGGAGGACGAAAATACTGGAACAATTTCTTGGCAGACAACAGTCAGACAGGCACAGTGACTACTTCTTAAGCTAAGCTAACCACGTCCTGCCTCCAGCTCCTAACACTCCTAACACACACACACACGAGCTGGATGTCAATCTTCTTATCTCTCCTTCTAGAAGGAAGAGTTCATTTTCCATAATGTTGAACTATTCCTGATGAAAATCAATCTAGAAAGGGTCACACACATTGTTGCATACAACATGAATGCACTGATGTCACATTGTGAAGCAGGATTTAAGAAAGAACGTCCGAATGAATGTCTGGATTTAAAGGGACATTTCCTATTTTTCATCTAGCAGAAAGTAAAGAATTGAGATTTCTGACCTCCTGGTTGACAATCTGTATTTATGACCTGGAATTTTCTCAATTTCAAGGTTGGGAGCTTGTAGTTCCACATGCCATATGACATGAATGGTGCATTATATGTTCCGTTAGTAGACAGGAACATTTAGCTTGCTTGTGTAAAAGTTCAATCTTGATCTTGGGAATGGTAGTTTGACAAAAAAATCTGAGCCCAAGGTCCACTTTCTAGCCTTTGCCAGAGCTTTCAACCACAAACTTCCCTACTTACATCGTGTGACACAATGCGGTTGAGAGCACTGGAAAAAGCGGAGTGGACCTTCAGTTCGGATTATTTGGTTGAATTTTTTTATTTAGCTGTTCCTGAAGTGACGATATTGGCAAACTAATTAGAACATGAATCACACACTCTTACCAGGACACACACACACACACACACACACACACACAAGTATTACAGTACACTACAGAAACCAGTTGATCACTTTGAAAACTTTAAATTGGAAGATATAAAAATAAATTGAGGGCAAACACACCAGAGCACATACATCCTTGAAATGTGACACACACTCAAACACACACACACACACACACACACACACACACACACACACACACACACACATAGTCAGACACAGCATTTAGAACAGCCAGGTCCATGCCTGTAGTTTGGTAGGAATGTCCATGCAGCCACAGGTAAGGCTCCTGACTCTGAACTGCATCACTGAGACTCATCCACAGGATAAAAGCGGAGAAAATGCCCAACGCGAGTCCAGAGAATTAAAAGAAAGAGGGTCACATCGCCATCTTTGCCATAATCCTGGTTCCAGTGTGTCAGCGATCACTCAGTCTCTCTTCCTGAGGTCGTCTCTTCTTTCCACATCCCGCAGGCATGCTTGCTAACGCTAACTAGGGTGTGGGGGTAGTGGCGCTGTACTCACCAGTTACAAGCAAAGAGAGAGAGTTTATAACGCATCTAGTTGTACCTACCGAAGGAGGGCTAGGCTAGACAGCTAGCACACAGGCACATGTCTACTGCTGCTGCTACTAACATTTTAAAGAACCACACGGGTGGTTTTGCAGTCTTTCATCCTGTTTATCTTTATATCAGTGTGTGTTTGCAACTTTCAGCGCACTTTAAATTATCCAGATTAATTTCCTTCCTTCCAAGCACTGTGTCAGGGTATGGAATGGGATTTGATGATGATGAGAAAAAAATAAAAAATACTGTTACGGATTGCATTTCTCCAGCAAGCTTTATGTTGCTTCACGTTTAGTGTAATGAAAAGCAGTGTAACCATAGGCTGCATGAAAGGCAGGAAATCAACCTGAAAGCTAATGGCATGTTCTGGAAAACTGTAATGTGAAGTATTTGTAGTTAATGAATTAAAACGTGACTAAGCACTGGTTGTAATTTCATTAAAAAGGGTCTTTCAGAGCCACAGGTGGGGTAATAATACTGCATCCAAAGCCCTGATGTCTCTCACATGAAGCAGTGGAACTTTTTGCTTTGGTAACCAAACCCCTCGTCAGTTTTAATTTCTTGTCCCTCACGTCCTCTCTCCCTCTCCTCAATCCCAGAGGTAACTGGCTACAAGTGGAAGAGTGGGTGAAGTTGGTGGTAGTGAGGGGGATGTAGACATGTGGCAGCCTGTTGGTCCATCCTGGGGTTAAAGGTCGATGCCTTTGACCAGCGAGGCTTCCAGTGTAATGGGGAAGTCGTGGAGCGTCTCCAGGACTCCGATGAGGGCGTTGACAGTGGTGCGGTCTCTGAGCAGGGCCGTGTCCTCGTACATCCGCAGGATCACCGGGCACTCCACCAGCAGGGGGAGCCACTGGGGCAGCAGACGGTCTCTGCAGAACAGTGAGATAACATATGTAGATCTGTGGTAGGAGTGCTACATCAACAGATACTGACCCTCAGTAGAATGCACGTGTAATACATGACGCATGAGCCAGACCTCTAACCTCTAACCTCTTTATCTATTACTCAGCATTACTCACCATCTGATGACCTGAGAGCTCTGACTGGACTGTAGTCAGTGAGCAGGCCAGGTTTTCCACCATAGCAGTTGGTAATTGTTGGAACAGTGGAAGGACCAACAAAGACTGTTCTCCTTAATGTTAGCTTATGTTGCGACCATTGTAGCCTTTTTCTCATCTGAATTAAGGGTTTATTTTGACCGAACAAGAGTTGGTGATTGTTAGAAAGGCTAACAAAGTAGGCTAGTTTTATTTTGTTTCTGTCCCACTGTTTTGGTCTGAGATGCTGGTGCTCAAGTGTGACAAGTGAATTTGGTGTATATATATGTGTATAAATTTAAGATACTCATGTGACTATTGCTGTTTTTTCCTGTGCTGTTTTTTTTTAAATGGAGAAGTTCTTGCCAAAGTTCCTCTGAACAAACAGAGACCTGGCCAAAGATATATATAGATATATATTTCCAACCCATGTTCACTGTGAATACTATATACAATACAGAATTACAAAGCAGACATGTCCAAGTTAAGCAAATGTGTGTTCTCCTCAAACTGACCTGGCTCCGAGGCAGACCAGCAGCTGGAACTTCCCATCCTTGCCAATGTTCCTGGGGGTGGAGTTGATGGCGTTGACATAGTGACAGAGTGACTGACAGGTCATCCCCAGGGGCTCTGCCGTCTCCTGAAGGTCCCCCATCTGGTCAGCTGACTCCATGTAGGCAACAGCTTTCTCTGCAGGGGGAGGGGAGAACAGTTTCCTTTCACATCTTGACAGCCTTAGACTGTGGGGTACCAGCTGAACAAACCGTTAATTCTCTCCTTAAACACATATATTCCTTCACTGATGGAATACAATACTCTTCAGTGATGCAACCTCTTCCCTTTTTACATATGCCTTTTCTGAAAACTGAAGCAGGCATGTTCCAGTTGCATAAATCATGCAAGCATTCACAAAAAACTGTTCACTAAATAAAATCTGATACTACCTAAACCGGGCCAAATTAAATAGTTCATCTTATCAGCAGCAGATGGCGGTGGCGCTCCACACTCACCCACAAAGTCCCACACAAACACGGTCTTCTGGAAGAGCCGGGCAGACTTGAAGTCATGATGGAAGAACTGTTCCAGAGCTGCCACCAAGCTGTTCTCTCCACACAGCAGGACGGTCAGGCTGCCTCTCTGCATTAAGAAAACCAGGAGACAAACACATGAAACACACAGAGAACAGAAGTCAACATGAGGACAGACAATGTACAAGCTAGTCCCTAACTGTAGGTGGATTTACATCCTCCCCGTTTCTATGCGCATTATCAAAAAACATGGGTGGAAAAGATTTGACAAAAAGTCTAAAGATCACATAAAAGTTATTACGCTTGGCCGAGGTGGAAAAGTTGGTTGGATTGATAAAAAGAAATTAAAATTCAGTTTCAACTCAGAGGCACTCATCCGGAGGACTCTAGACTAGAATAGAAGAGCTCTGATTCAATCAGACTCCTTTCAAAAGACTTCTTGCCCATTTTGTCACGGCTGACAATCCCCGCTGCACTCACAACTCACAGGTTAGTGTATTACCACTTTGTATCAATGTATTTAGAATTTCTTGTTTTCTAGAGCACAACTATAATAGTACTCACAAATTCAATTTAATTCAAAACCATAAGATTCAGTTTCAATCTGTGAAATACACTTTCAAATATTCAATTTGAACATTTCAAATTCAAAACTACGGAATTCAGATTCAATCTGTGCTGGCACTGAAATAACTCCACAAATAACAAACATAAATACCATATTACCATACATGTTTGACTGGCGCTCTATTAATTACATGGTCTTCTTATAATGGCATTTGAGCATTAGTGCCGTCTACTGCTTATTTCAATGAACCAACTCCTAATGTTAGCTTAAAAGTAGTGGATGGAAACACATTCATTTGCCGAAGTTGCAACATTTTGAAGATTTTAAAATGTGACTACATTTTGTGAAGTGTCTGTCTGCTGTTTGGTGATGAACAGGTAGTGTACAGTGGATTTTTCTACCTGCTGCAGCTGAAAACGTCACTATGAGAGCGGTGAGAGTGAACCAAAACAATAAAATTGGGGCTTGGAGAGATACAGCAAACAAACAATGAGCTGAAACTCACTATAAAGCTCTGTAAAGTTTATGGGAGCTGCAGACTGAGCTGATAATTCTCTGTAGGTCCACCTACCAGAGCCCCCTTTAACATTGTCATTTAATACATTGTTATTAGAAAAATATCAATTATGGCAGCCTGAAGTAAAATAATGACTTGTCAGGCATATTGTATTTCCTATTAAACACCATCTGCATGTTTCTCTTTGTCCTTTAATGAGATAATTCTGTGGATCATTATTAACTCACCCACAAGCAAAAAACACTTATCGTCCATTGTGAATGTATTTTTCCAAAACACTGATGTGAGGTTCAGTGCCTGCAGCTGCCCACTACTGGGAGTACATTTATTGACTTTAAGAGAGTTTCTCCTCACTCAGCTAAGCATGACCTTGCAGTTTGAGCTGGTTAACAAAGAGTGCAGACAAAAACAGTTGAAGCCAAATTCTGACATAGTCGCGCAGGAGTCCTGGCTTCATTGTGACCGATTTTCATAGCTTTGAGGAGAGGATTTTATGCAGCCCTTTGAGGAGGAATAGCCTCGGATTAAATGGAACCAGAGTTGTCTGGTTCGTGGCCTCTTTTGGGGCTGCATTCATCACTCTCCACTCTTTATTCTCTCTCCATCACTCCTCAGACAGAGGGCTCTTAAAGAGTGCTGGATAATAGCGGCCTGAGCCATTTGTACAACATCTGTTTCCTCTGCTGTGGACAGTATAACACCACTTTACTGACTGAAACTTAATGAACAGTCTGTGGACATAGACAGAGAGAATTAAATCCACACAGTTTAGAGATGTGAAGGGTTCAGAGAAAGTATAGGCATAGGAAAGCGACTAACAAATACGTTTGTCAATTATTAAACAGAGGAATTCAGACACAGTGGAGATCAGTCCCTCACCTCTTTCTCTGGCTTGTGGAAATGTTTGATGATGTTGTTCACAGCCTCCCCGATGGCCTCTTGAATTTGGCCTGAAGTCAGTTCTGGAATCAAGAAAACAGTTTCATTAACAACCAAACATTATGAGCATCACCTATTGCTATATCAAACTATTAACAGTCGAACCCGATAGACATGGGATTTTAGAGCAGAACATTTCAAAGATTCACAATATGGCAGCCAATGTAGTGAATTTTTGAGCTGGAATGAAAATAGACCTTTTCTATGTGGGTTGTTTTCTTAAACAAATTACTTTATTAAAGAATATTTAAGTTAAATATTGAAAAATAATTTAACACACTGGTCCTCAAACTATACTATGTGTACTATGCCAACTCCCTCTAGTGGGACACGGAGGAATCTAATGAAATACATTAAAAAACAACAAATCTACTAGGAGAAAAATGCTAATGCTATACTGATTGCAAGTTTTGCTTTTTCTGTAATATTCATTTCAACGTAAACCTGCTATGTAGTCACATTCATTCAAATAGCGTGCACATACGTCCATGATTAGCTACGAGCTAAAATGTGATGGTAAGATAGTAAACAGGTGAAATGAATGGTTGGCCTACACTGCTGGATTTTAACATCAATTCTAATAAACATTGCTGAAAGCTGCTTCTTGCCACAGTATTGGAAATCACAGTGCACTCTGTGGTTATATATTGGACATTTTTCCTGCATTATATAGTTGAAATTGGCACATATCGGATAACATAAACAATACTGAAATGTCAATAATGATCAATAATATATCGACCGATATATCAGTCGGATAAATGGAATATCAAAAAGTCAAGTTTAAAATATTTTTTTATTGAAATTCTTTAACTTTTTAAAATAAGTTTTGCCAGTCCATTTTTGAATGCATTCATTCATTCAGCATTTAAAAAAAGAGAAGTCAATAAAAATATTATATGAATGTTTCTTATGATGATTTTACTTTTGTCCCTACCTTGGTTTATCAATGCATCATTTAAATGCTAATTTAACATTAAAATATCTTTTTTTGTGTACTTTGCAACAGCCTATAATTATTCTGGTGGCACACAGTGGACTCCATATTAAAACAGCTTTTATGTTGGGAAATAAAAAGGCAACGCTTTGTCTTACAGGGCTGAATAATTTACTGATTATTTCTCTGGACGTTTCCTGGAAGTAACTATGTCATTTGGTTCTGATTGTAGGAGAAATAGAGACACTTAGAAATTGGTTAGTTAAGTTTTTAAAACAGGAAATGTCTTACAATAACCACTCCTACAATAACTGCTTTCCTGTGTTTAAAGTCCCAGCTACAGCTCTGACTGTGAGTTGACAGTTGTATCCCTGTATTTCCCCTGATGCATGTGAGTGCAGGTACTGACTGTATCCTCGTCCTGATAGAGATGTGATGCTGATGCGTCTGGTCTGGGATGGCGAGCGTTGCAGCGGGGGAGTGCGGCAGCCTCTCCCAGAATCCTCCTCTCCGCTGGGCACCACCAGCTCACCGATCAAGACCCTCTCCAGGCTGCCGTCGTCCACGCCCTTACCGAGCCACCGGCCGCATGGAAACCTGGAGGAGACGGAGACAACCAGGGGCTGTCATCTCATTTGTTCTTTTCTTTATGCTGTGTCCTCATCGTATGTGTGTGTTTAAAAAGCCACAATACTTGACCCTTAATTGTCCAATACTGACAATACAATAACCGATAATTACCTCCTTCTCATGGCCAATATGGATGAGATAACCAATAATTTCACATTTTAGTGTTTAAAAAGAAGTTTATAACCTGTAGTTTTTACATACCTGAGGGTATGAAAATAATGACACCATTATTGTTAACACAACAGCAAACAAAAAACAGTTGTGACTCTATAAATATTCATTGTTTATTTTTTCTAGTAAGGTTAAAGCCCATCAAGCCTTTTGCATACAAATTAAAAATAAATTATTATTAGTATCAACTGATAATTTATCAGCTGTAATTCATAAAAATGCAAATTTTCCACTATTAGCAGGATTGATCCTCTGGGGAGCATGGATATCTATACTAACTTCTGTGCTGGTACATATTGTAATGCTGAGACATTTGACAGGATAGGTGAAATCTTTGGCCTACTGGTGTCACTAAGAGGAAGAGTCAAATGATCACGTTATCAGAATATTTTCCTCTGGAGAATATCTACTGTAAATTTCATGGCAACACATGTAGTAGATGGTATAAAAGGTATTTCACACTGAACTACAAATGTCAACCTCATGGTGGCGCTAGAGGAAAAGATTAACAATTTCAGCAGGACTCAACCTCTGGAAAAACGTTCATAGCAATCCATCCTATAGTATTGACTTTTCCACTGGTGCAGGCTAAAAGTACACCCCCCGCCCACTCACCTGTAGGTGTGTCCTGTGATCTCGTTGCGCACCATTACACAGTCCACCAGCCATTTAGCCAGGAGTCCAGCATTATCATGACCCAGCTGCACGGTGGTCAGCTTCCCCAGGTTCTGACACTAAAGTGTGAAGAGAAAGTATTTTGAATGAATATCATGCTGCAATATCACATTCTACTATATATATTATATATATTCAGTGTACAATCACCTGATCTACAGCACTGTTACTACTGCTGCAGTCTGCACATGAACATATTAGTGCTTACTTACACTGATTATGTTTGACTGTCCTCAATGAAGTTAAAGTTAATAGATTTTTAGTTGAATATAATTATTAAGATTTTTATCACACTCCATGGAAATTTGAATTAAATCCTTAATTCTTTCCCATCATACACTGGGTGTAGAGTTTCCACACTTGTGAAAATAACATTTAGCTCCTTTAAACATTTATCTTTAATCCAGCTCTTTTAGCAGTTTTAAGCAGTGCAAATAATTACAGTACATGCATGGAATATAACACAGAGCAGCATTCACTGTGTGACTGTGGCTGAATTAAACGTGGTGTTCTATTCTGAAAACACTCTCTAGCAGGACAACAGACCAACTATGACCCAATCCAGACTAAAATGAGGCTGACTGCAGGACAACCATGCCTACAGGTAAACAGGCAACAGGACAAACTGGAACAGAAGCATTTCATAGCGAGGGGGGATGATGGGAAAAGCAGGAGGGCTTTCTCTAACCTTGAACAAGGCGGAGATGTGCGTGTGAGGCCTGAAAGCAGACTGAGGGAGATGGAAACACTTGTTAAGACACAATGGATGGACAATAAAAATGGCGGGTTGGCGATCACAGAACCAGAACAAGAAGAATATCATCCATCATGCAAAGAACAAAAAAAAAACACATCACCAGCGCGGACATGCAGTGTGAGGAGGACAGCAGGAAGTCTGTAGGCCCATTCAGTAAGGAAAATGTCTCTAGAGGAGCTGCAGTGGTCAGTGATGTTTGTATCAGTCTATTTAATTATGCATTAGTTAAAAAGGAGAGCAGGATGATGAGTTAAACTACAGATTAGCACAGATTCCAGTCATTCCCCACCTCCCCTGTAATAATCCCGTCTGAATGGGGTTTTATTGTATTTCATTAAATAGGGGTGTGAGAAAATATCAAAACATATTGTATCGCAATATTTGATAGTTTTATCATACTGTATTCATTTTAGTGTTTACCCCCCCAACGCTAGATAGCTGTGAAAAATAAAAAGTTTTAAACAAAATTTTATACATATTTAGTCCTGCAGCTTTCTACCAATAAGACCATACATAATGTCCAAAGTAAACCAGGATAACTTTCCTCATGGCAGAGAAAACTACACCACGACTGATATGTTTCCTTCAGGTTCAAAAGCTTTGTGGGTAATGGCACGTTCCTGTGGTTTTCTTGGTGATCAGTCCTACTAACAGTTGAACGGGGCCCAAACCATTAGTTTCAATTAGGGCTGTCACAATATAACATTTTCACTACAGAATTGTGGCCAAGAGAATTCATGATAATGATGTTCCTGCAATGTCTTTAGAAAATACTAACAGTAGAATACTATCAGTACTTTTATTGTCTGTTTTGTCTCTCTTTTGCCATATGAATTAGCGCCCCATACTGTGTGAGCGAGAATGGAAAGAAACAGAAATGATTTAAGAGGCCCTGGACAAAATGTTATTATATGTGTTATCAGTATTTCACTTTTTAAAGGCTATCATCAATATCGGTATATAGCGACACCCCTTCAAAACAAGTTGACAAAAACTCACTACAAGATCCATTTAGTTGTATTTTTACAAACCACTCCTGAATGGAACTCAGGTGAGATTGTTTTCATTATTGATGAATCATCTGATCAATAGTTTGTTCTACAATACATCAAGAAAGAGTGAAAAATGTCCATGACAAGATCCCAAGCTGATGTCTTTAAACATACAGTATGTAAATGATATAAAACAGAGAAATGTATCCTGGCACTTTACAACCTGAAGCCAGGAAGAATTGATATTTTAGCTTGCTATGTAAGTGACTATGTAAGTAGATGAATATATGTATGCAGTAATGTGTTCATATGTGCTGACAACAATGCACATTTTGATGCTGTAATTCCTTTTAATGAACAATAAAACTACCTGTAGTTCCTTTAGTGTAAGTGCTGCTGGCATGCAGAGTGTGATGGTTCCACAGTGACAGGAGGTAAACAGAGGAAGTGTAACTGAACAAAATGCCTGACCCACAAAACCCCACATAACCCAAACTGCACCCAAACACAACAAATCACAGTGACTGACCGTGTGCCGAGAGGTCAAAGGTCACATTACTCACATCGAAGGTCATCTCCAGGACGTTCTTGGGAATCTGCATGATGCCCGAGTCTCCCAGCTCTCCTGACACACACACCCAGGGGTTGGAGGTGGTCATGGCGTTGCTCAGCTTCTTGATAGGGATGATGACGACTCGGTACGGGATCACTGCGGAGGGGAGGGGGAAGACAACCCGTCAGTGCCAGAACAGAGAAATAAACACTAACATGCTAATTAGACTCAATGTAGGTTATCTTACTGGGTCAATTTAATTATGAAATCACAGATTGAGGGCAAACACACTGCAGCAGAGAGGAAACAGAATAACAGATCAGATAGCACAGCAGCAGTACATGTCTGTTGTACAGTGTGGGTTCATTTATCTGAATGAGAGGCTGCTCTGTATGCAAACACTGAGATGAATAATACATTGCATTTGAAATCTTTGATTAAATTGTACATACAGCCTCATGATTTATTCACACTAATAGCTGAGATAGCCATTGATCCACATTCTGCTCCGTCCATCAGCAGCTGACGTTAACCAAATAACTCAGAGAAGAGGAGTTTCTGGAAATATGAAAGCCCTTCAATGTTTCGCAGGTGGGATGTGCTTTATAGATTTCTACAAGCTACATCTTCGTTTAATACTTCTGCCCTTGTTCTTTCAGAATACCGATAACACTTACTGTGCTTCATTGCATTGCAGAGTTATTTCCTAGTTCAACTTTGACCCGATAGCCTTGCTGTAGTTATGTGAACACAACAGTTTGTTTGTTTCTCTTTAGGTTTCTATAAAAATGGATATGGAAAGAAAATAATCTTATATACAGACAGCAATACTTAGTGCCTTGTGCAACCATGATGATGAAAACTGTCATGAAAACTATCTACTTTGCTCAAATAGCCTGAGAGTGAGCTGAGATGTGGGAAAGTTTCTGGGGAAAAGCTTGTATTGGCTGCTCTGTTTCCTCCCCAACCCTGACCAGCAGAAACTGTATAGATGGTGGGATGCATGTATGTATGCATGCATGGCTGGATCATTAAGCAGTATAGTGACAGGCCTGGAGACACCAGTGCACCATCGCTGTTTACTGCTGAATCCACTCACACGTCACATCACATCACACGTTAAAAACAAGTGTGACTTATGATTAGTCATCATCATCATAAACATTCGCCAGCTGTCAGGTGGAGTCTTTTGTGGCATTAGAGTCCCTCCCTAAACCCTGAGACTCTTTTATGGAAGAACAAACTGAAAAGTGATGGAAAACGTAATATATATATTAACTCTGTTGGAATATTTTATATGTATTTTCTCAACATCAGTTGGGTTTTATCTGCTATTTTATGACCAACAACTCGTCACAAACCATCATAAAAATATGTGGGTATCAGTTTATGAGTGGTCCTGATCACTAAGCTTTAAATGTTTTCACATTTTGCAAGTAATAAAACATGGATGCATCCAAAAGAAGTCCTTCATTTGTTCCTCTCGATTAAATCTGCGTGTCTGACCATTTGTCGGTCAAGATTGTTGCACGTCTATGAAATATAATCATCTCAACCGAAGAGATGTTTCCTTCTCGGATTGTTTGAATTGAATAGTTTGAGAGGCCTGAAAATGATCTTAGCAGAAATGTGTGTCTCTCCTCTCTAAGTTTGATGATTTCAGTCACTTAAATACATGCAGAGCTGCTCAGTTTGTGACCTGTGCTGTGATACAAGTTTGGTGTGAGGTTTGGATTGACAGTGAAGCTCTGCTGTGGTGAGGTGCAGCTGATGGAGGACTCACTGATGGTGGTGAAGACGCTGGTGAAGCAGAAGTAGTCGACTGCGTTGAGAGAGAGCAGGTGGAAGAGGAACTGCTCCTTCTCCTCCTCACAGCGCAGGAAGGCATAACGCTTGTACAGCTTCCTGTAGATACACCGCGACAACACAGCCGGGTCAGCTCATGCAATCTCAGGCAAGAACATGGGGATCAATCTCACCAATCAAAAGCACAAAGTGATGTGTGATATGTGTGTGTGTGAGTTTGGTTGCGTGCTCACTTAGTTAAGGCTTGTCGGGACAGCAGCTGTTTGAGGTGCTGAGAGAGGAGCTTCTTCTCCAGGGACAGGCGGATCCAGGCTCTCGCTCGTCCCACATCCGTCTTTATCTCTGACATACTCTGGATATGCCTGAGGAGACACATGATGGAGATACAGAAGATATATGAATGAGAGCTCATACGAACAGGCATGCTGGCATAAAGATCCACCCTCCTCACTCTGATGTTCAGTGAGTTGAGTGATGAACTACTGGAACTGTCCCCACTTCCATTAGCATTCCTTATCTGCTTTTACTTCAGTTAGTGCAGTCTGGCCTCTTTTCTAGGTCTCTGCTGCACAGAAGACGATTTCTGGTCCAGGTCCTTAACAGCTTTTACATCTGTTCTTGCACTATGTAAATTTTGGTTTCGAGTCACAACAAGTGCCAACCACTTCATGGCACTAGTCACACGAACACCTACTAATTCACAGATTTAGCTGAAACTGGATCATATTTCATGGAGAAAATGTTTTCTGTTTTTCCCTCTGATGTCCTCCAGCTGCATTGCCTCAGTTCTTGGTAATTTACAGAGTTTCCTGATGGACAGTAAAGTAACTGCTGCCAGATGTAGCTGCTGTTATCTAATGCTTGTTAGCTTAGCTGGGACTGGTTGGTTGCGGGAGGAGAAGTTTTCAGGCTTGGGACGGGGGAGGAATGCTGACCGAGAGGGGCGTTGGTGCGAGTTGTCAATGTAGCTGGGCGGGCTCAGCAGCTACTATGGTCATAGCTAATGGCAGGGACCTAAGAGGACAATGGAGGAAGCCTTGAAGCTAGAAGGAGAGAGAACCCGCCTGGGTAAGAGTAAATGTGGGATTGGCTTTCAATGGTTGGTGAGAGCTTGGTGAAATACAAAGCAGTAGACAGATGGCGAGCTGGCCTTCTTGTTGTTGGACTAGTCAGTAATATTAGCTGGCTTGCTATGTATTGTGTTTGCTGTGTAAGGCAAGTTGTCGTCTCATTAGTTTTGGATCATAAGTAATCTTATCATAACAAATGCATGTGTACAGCTGCTCATATTTACCACAGTGGTAGTGCCCAATTGCATCAAATACCAAATCTTGCTTTGATTTGAATACCAAATCTTGCTTTGGGAAGGTGTGAACACATCAATCGCAATCAGGTGCGGACCGAGACCTTGTTGAAGAGGTGGTCTCGGTCCGGTTCCAAACAAACTCTGGTATGGTTCATTTGTGGTGAGAACATGATCCAACCTCGATCCGACCCAACTGCAGGAAGCATTGCGCCTGTTTTGGACTAAACCACCTCCCGTAGCCAGCTCCACTGTGCATGCTGTGTTGAAGACCACGGGCGTAACGTTACCTGATGGATCTTCGGAAATATTTTCGGCTGATGAGCATGTCACAGTTCAGGAGGATTAATGCGCGCCTCCGCCTGAACTGTCTTGATATGCGTTGTCGGCGACTCCAGTGCATCCCGCGTAGTTGTCCCTCCATTGTAAAATTTAAAAGTGGCGCTCTAACATTGTAACAAGTTGGCCCTGATTCGGACCAGAGCAAACGAACTATAGGTGTGAAAACGCCCTCAAATTCATTTCTCTAACCAGCAGCGTGAGATCTGAGGAAGTTGTGATTTGATGAGACACCTTGCCATCAGTAGAGGACAGCAGCACGTACCTCATATCCTGTATGAGAGACACGCGAAGAGACGGCATCGCTATGGAACAATCGGACTTCCTCCTCTCAGGAACATGTGACACTGTTGAGGAGAAATACAGGATGTGATGGCTGTGTTACACTCAGAAATGTGTCAGACTGTGTGTGTGTGTGTGTGTGTGTGTGTGTGTTACCTGGTGACTCTGCCTGCTGCTCCAGCTTCTCCTCTCGGGCCTGGTAGTGCAGCAGATGGGACCACAGGGCCGACTTCCCCTGAGAGAGAAGTGTGTGTCAGAGAACCAAAATCACAACACACACTCACACACGTAAAGACAGCTAATGCATTCACCGATGAGGGAGGAGATTATACACACACACAAAGAGGATTTATCAGGCAATAACCTCTTAGCTTCAATATCCAATATGGTTATAAATACCTGATTAACCACCGTGTGTTTATACTGACTCATACTGTGTGTGTGTGTGTGTGTGTGTGTGTGTGTGTGTGTGTGTGTGTGTGTGTGTGTGCACGCCATCAGATCTGCTTTATTAGGAATCTGATTTGTAATAAATGTGCACCGGTTTGTGACAATATGAAGCTTCACTTTTGAGCCCCTGTGTGTGTATATATGTGTGTGTGTGTGTGTGTGTGTGTGTGTGTGTGTGACTGACTTGTTTGACCTGCAGCCCGTGGCTCCAGATCCTCTCGAGCAGGTCACACAGGCTGGCGATCAGAGTGTTCTCCTCCAGTCCGGTGATGTTGGCCTCACCGTGGCCCAGTTCCACTGCCTCCCGGCCCATCTTCTCCACCAGCATACGCTTGGTCTGAACACACACACATAGTTAGAACAATCAATGTGAATGTTTTGATAACTCTATATATGGTTTGAAGGGAAAGTCTTTTTATGTACTACTTTTAGGTATTGGGTTGGTGAGACTAATTAATCATTTCTAAGTGCAGGGCCACGATCGGCTGTATGTTTCACCTTCATGCGACACTCCTTCAGCAGCCCCTCCACAAACTTCCAGTTGGTCTGGGCGATGACGGCAGGAGACAGATCAGACAGTTTGGGCTGTCGAAGGTTCTTCCCCAGGCTACGGGCCTCCTGCATGTACTTCTGAAGACCAGAATAGAAGCGGTTAGTGAGCTCCGGAGAATACGCACTCTGATCAGGCCTCAACAACACAGTAATCAGGAGATATGCTTTATCTGTTGTCGATTTTTTAATGCACACACACCATGTGTCAAACACGCTCACTTCCATTAGCTTTATCTGATGTCTCACTTGCAGTCATTATACATTAGACAAATGATGTTGCATGATCAAACTGACAAAGAGGGACACATTTAAAAAAAACGTTTTTTAAGGGACTATACCATTTTTCATTAAAGTAGCTGTAAGCAATATTGTTTTTGTTCAAATAAGTGTTAAATAGCTCTACATTCTGACAGCCATCACTGATATAGAGAGTTCAGTCAGTAACAAGGGTCTTCCAGTTCCTCCTTTCCACAGTAAACAGAGAAAGTCCCATTCCCATTTAATCTAATCAGGAGAGAGAACTGTAGAGAGGCAGGCAGCAGAATTTCGGTGTGGTGACAGTGGTGAGGAGGGAGGGGAGTGCTAACAGACAGGATGGACATGAAATTATCTACAATTCTGATTTCACTAACAGCACCTTTAATGAAGACCATCTCATTTAGGAACAAACCTCACCCAACAATGTGTGTTTTCACTTGTTTCCACGACTATATGTTATGATTTCTTTAAAGTAAGAAGCTGTGAAAACACTTGAAAGGACTGGATACTGGATTTATGTGAATTAAAAGGAAAAGAGAGGAGAGACAGCCAGGGCACCTTTTAACAAGGGGTGTGTGTGTGGGGAGGTGAGCAGGGTTCCCACTGAAACCATAACTTGGGTCCAGACTACATCAAAACACAGTGCCCAAAATGAAGGATACCAAACACACGGTGTGCCACAGTGCTTGGGACTGCACACAAAATGAATGGGGGTTGTTCGGACAGGCCTGCCCCCACTGCTAAAAAAAATCCTAGAGGAAACACTGCTGCTGTTTGTCTGTTCAGCCATTCTGCATGTGAACTTAGGGTATGTGTTGTATTTGAGCCTGTATGGACGGTGGACACTATTTCAATAAAAACAGCATTATTCGGAAGTATTTTGAGGACATTGTTTTGGTTTTAAAACGCAGATATAAAACTGAAATGTAGCAGTAGTGGATGTAGCCTGAAGCTCCTCCTCCTTCCATAGCTCAAAGAGCTTCCCTGAAATAAAAACTTTCAGCTCTGCTGTTGTTTAATGTTTGGTTTTCAGCTCAGGGCCTGGTCACACCAATGTTTATAACAATAACATTTTAGCCTGAAATGAATTTATTTCAATGCAATTGCTGTCTTCAGTAGGTATTTTTATATTTTATTGTCTGCTGTGAAATTGAATGTTTAAATTTTAGTATTAGGAAATGTCTTATCTTATCTGTTGTGCCTGTGCACTTTGTGAAACTATCTGTGGGTGAGTGAGAAACGTCCTCTTGATTCCTTAAATTGACATTAATTAAAGCTGACTTTGACTTTGACTTTGTAAGTCTGTGGAAGTAAATGAGTGCAGTGCTTTTGGGAAGAATTCAACTTTGACTTGTTAATCTGCACTGTCTTGACAGTGCTGACCTTCGAGAGAATTGAGATACAAAGGGTCACACTATGCAATTATATACAACTCTGCTGTATTTGAGTTTAAACTGTAAAAGATACCACATTCATGTATATTTCTATATTTCATGTATAAGTTCTGAAAAGATGTGTCTGTTACTTGATTCCAGCTATGGTTTTTAATTAACTATGAACCAAATTAGCATACTTAAATCCAAACTCAGAAAACAAACATTTTCTAAAAGTTGTTTGCTTGTCGCCGTGCAGACAGACTTTACAAAGCATTAATTCCGACTTTTTACAATCCTGCATCACAATGTAGTTATTTTTGCATCATTTTGATCCATTTATTGTAAATCACAGCAGTTTAACACGAAGAACCAGTGGGAACCCTGTGTAAGAGTGTAAGGTGGGGGGTGGAGGGGTCTGTGACAGGGAGTCCACACACAGGCAGCTCCTCCACATACCAGACAGGATGCAGAGGCAGATTTTTTAGGAGGTTTGATAGGCGGAAGGGACGCATTGTCCCACTCCCAAAACGCCATGGAGTTCTGCAGGACCAGACAGCCCTCCACCTGCTGAGGAGGAGGAAGAGGAGGAACGACCCGACCCCCCCGACCAACCCAGCACAGGACACATGAGCGAGCAGACAGGAGAGGACAGGAACAAAAGAGAAGAATGGGAAAGAAAACAGAAGGCAGCATGCAAATAAAAAGGATGGAAAAAGAAAGCTCAAACAGAAACCAACAGGAATTCAGTTACACAACAAAAACAAACTCCATGAGACATACAGAGAAAATAAAGACATGCTGATACACAACATAGCGTTAGAGGGCGTTCAGAGGGCATGTTACAGGTTGGTTGTGAGTTTTTTTTTTACCTCTTTCAGGTCGTTGTCGAGGGTAAGGTGCTCTGTTTGCTGTCTGTGGCGGTCTTTCCTTCGCTGAGCTGTTGCTGTCCTATGAGACCACCTGCAGTTAAAACAACAAGTAAGTAGACAATTTTTTTAAAGATTTGAATGTCTTCCTGAGTCAAATATAAGAGGAGGTTATCAAATCATTGCTACCCCCATGACCCTTCTGTTTGATGCACCTTAAAGGAACAGTTCATCACTTGGAAAATAGTCAAATTTGCTTTCTTTCTGAGAATGAGACAAGAAGATTGTTACCAATCTTATGTCTGTGTCTTGAGGAGCTTGAATCAGGACATGGTTAGCCTAGCTTAGCATAAAGACTTTCGTAAGCATGACACATGAAAACATGAAGCAACCGTGTTAAAATCAGCGAGCCTATAAAATGCGGGTGGTAATAGAGGAATCAGCTGGTGGTCATGAGGTGGAGGTTGACTCACTTGTTGTTGGTCGGCCCCGTGTTGAGCACGTCGGCCTGCAGTTTGGGGAAGAATCCCTGCTCGTATTTGCCCTGACCGATCTTCATGTCCAACAGGTGCGGGTGGATGGCGGTGTGGTCGATCTTCATCAGTCGTTGCTCGATGGCCTGAGCTGTAAGAGGAGACAGAATCCCATCAGACAACACTCGGGCAGGAAGTGTTAAACAAATAAACATTTTCATTCAGTTTTGATGTAGTCAATGTAATCATAGAAAATCAATGCACTGAAAACTAGTTTTATCCATTGTTTATATCCATTATGATAGCAGTGTACTCACCAAAGTAATTGCTTATATCTGAGAACATAGCAACATCACTCAACATTTTATATGGTCAAACTGACCCTAGTCCCACCCCTTCAGGCTCTGTGCTCCAATAACAGTTGTCAACTTTCTCCTTTAATGTACATTAGATATGCTATGGGCTAGGCCCGTCTATTTTGAAAAGACAACAAGATTATGAAGATGGTTAAAATATAAAAGTGACATATACTGTATATACTGATACATCTTAAGTTAGCTAGCTAATGTTAGCAAAACACTAGATAACTAGCAAACTGATCTAAATCAGTAGTTAGCTGGCTAGCTTATCTACATTAAATGTTAAAATGCTAACTAGCTAGCTAATTTACATTATCCATTCATTAAATAGGACATCCCAAGATGGACAGGAAAGGAGAAGAGAGAGAGGGGATGACATGCAGCAAAGGGCCACAGGTTTGGCACCAGCTCTACCAGGTGAGCTACCAGGTGAGCTACCAGGTGAGCTACCAGGTGAGCTACCAGGGCACACAAGCTAATTTACTGATTCACTGTTAGTTATCTAATGTATTGCTCACATTAACTAAGGTAAGATGTTACTTATATGTCGCTTTTATCTTTCAACATCTTCAAAATTACGGTGCCTACATTTATCTTTCCAAATAAGTTGGTCTAACCTGATGGTTTTCTTACAACCTTTCTGTTGGCACATGTTTTCTGCCCCTCCACATCTGTTTTTAGTGACATCGTTAGGTTCACAGACCTTAGCAACTGGCAAGTACAAGGAATGATGTCCAAAATTACAAACACAAGACTGAAGTTGCATTAAATTGGAATTATCCTTTGATTTGACTAAGATATAAGCTAGTGTAATCAGGTGCATGAGGATGCAGTGACAAAGACGTGTAGCCATGGCCAATGATTAGATAAAAAACACACTTGTGCTAACACACAGGTGACCTGTGAAGGACAACAAATGTGATTTGGTGACATTTCAGCTGCAGTGTGTATGTAGCCAAATATACAGCCATGTAAACAAATGCAAAACAAGACTTAACAAACAATGACAAATCACACACACACACACACACACACACACACACACACACACACACACACACACACACACACACACACACACACACACACACACACACACACACACACAGCACGGTGAAGCAAGCATAATATGCTATAACAGCTGTGCATTTGCCAAGAAGAAAAAACCTGGCTGGTTTTCAAAAAAGGTTGTTTACATTATAAAACACAGATGGAGTATGGTGTCCTCTCATCTGTCTCTCTCCCTTCCTCTGACCCATTCATTACTCCCTCTCTTACCGCAGGGATCCCTCTGTCCTTCACTTGCTTTATCTTCTCCTAACACAGCAGCAACAGCAAACAGGCTGCATTCTTATCGGCTGTCTGTCAGTGCAACTGTTGGTTAAACTGTCTGGGTTATGTTGCCCTGCCATAGCACTGAACTTGTTATTGTGTCTGACTGAACTCCTCAGGCTGGAGCTGCAGTCAGTGTGAGCGAGCAACGAGCGGAGGTACCGAAGCGAGTCGCCACAGGGGAAGTCAGGCGGAGGGAAAGCCTGCCTATTGTGTGGGTAATTGGGTACCTGCATGCACCACCACCCCCGAATGAGCTCACCCTCGGCAATTAATGCTTTACATCGCTTGGCCCATTAGGATGAAACAGTGTGGGTCAGGAACAGATGACAAGCATACTGTACATAACAATACAAAGGAGGTAATACAGGAAACAACTGAGTGAAATGATAATCCTGATCATTCTCACAGACAGAGATAATGATCTGAGCTATGAAACATTGTAAAACTGCAACTATTGAGCCAAACTGAAAGTTGATACAATCCGTGTGTTCTGTCATATATAGCTGATATCTCTGTTGTTCTGAATCATTGTAATATCTCTAAAATATCAGTCCAAAACGGTTTTTAAAGCTATTTCAGAATGCATTCATAATATTCCATAACGTCATATTCTGCAATTATGCAGTCATTAAGACAATATTTTGTTTCAGTCAATACTGAAATATTTCAGATAGACAGCTATTAGTTGTGAGGCTCGTGGAGATGAACCCACAGGGAATCTACACCAACTTTACAGTTCAACAGTACAGTACAATTTTACCCTCCTTTAGCTCATTGCTTTAGTTTTACAGACACAAATTTACCATCTTACTGCTCTCACATGAGGAAAATCTGCGATGTGCAATAACCATATGATTCGCAATAAATAAACAAATATTCAAGGGCGCATATCAGTTCCTATATCTCTGCTTTTATAGCTACATTGCTAACATAGCCCCAGACTCTGAATAGCCTATGCCCACTAAATAAAGAAATTAAATGTTAAAAATTAAAAAAATAATAATTTCCTTTCTAACATTTTTTAATGAACAAACTGTCCCCATTGTCGTCACTCTTCTCTCCTTCCTCAGCCATCGTGCTAGCTAGCTAACCTCGCAGTTGCTACCAATCTGACACCAATTTACCCGAGGATAGCTGGAGCTAGTTAATAATCCCACTATTCCCTAGCTGCCAAACTCCAAACAAGGGGGTTATGTGTCGGCACAGAGCTTGACTAAGGAGAAGGTTAGCGTAGCTAGCATAAAGATTTGAAAAAGGAAAAAACAACTAGCCTATCTTTGTCCAAAGAGAAAAAAATATGCCCACCAACAGATTTTCAGCTGTCTAATTAACAGCTAGAACTGGCAGTTAGTGTGTGTAAAATACTCTACATACTATAATAATTAGTAACAAATGAACCGTTTTTTTCAACTGGCTCTTTTACAGTTTGATGAACATCAGTAAATCACAGACACATGCAGCCTCATAGATTCCCTGTTGGCCTCCAACAGCTGAGTCAGTCCTGAGTCTGACCTCCTGCCTCATGCTGCACATTCAGCACCAATTAAAGGCTTAACGAAGGGAAAGCCAAGCAGCACTAATTGAGAAAATAAGAAGAAAAAAGAACTGACTAAACATTGTTGCAGTAAGACATGTCACAGAGAGTGTGCTTGTGCTAATGTGTGTGAGAGAGAGAGAGTGATGGAGTGTTTGCTGTGTTGGGATGTAGAGAAATGAGAAGTGGGGTTTTCTGGTCACTGGGGAGAGTTGAGCTGCTTCCAGACGATAAATGAGACAAAAGTGGAAGGAGAAATGGAGAAGAAGGCAGAGAGATGGATGCAGAGTGTTTGTGTGTTTTTAAATTGCATGGCGCAGTGCAATCCTGTTTGACCTCGGCTAATGGACGATTGGTATGCTTGGAAGGACAGGCAGACATGTGCCAGCATGCTGATCAATGAGCTGCTTTCCTGTTGCCAATTAAAACCACAAACTTTCTGAAAAAGTTAAGCCTCTCCTACCATCTTTGTCCAATTTGAATCATGTTTTGTGTGAAGTAAACCACTCTCTAACACATCTGAGCACTCATGCCTCTCCATGCTGAGCTTACCAGACTCCTTGAGGATGGAGCACCTCTGGTAGCTGGAAGATCGGAGGCTGGGAGCACGGACGTTGTAGAGGCGGGCCTTGTCGATGCGAGCGTCAAAGACTCGGAGCAGTGGCTCCTTCTCCTCCCACTGGGACATGATCTTGTTGTCGATGAAGGTGGCGAACATCTGTGTCTCGATGAAGTGGGAGAGGAAGGGCAGGTAGGGCTCCGGCTGGTCAGACAGGAACGAGGCCTGGAGCAGGCAAGAGCACAGAGATACAGAAATATATGCTGTCAGTTTCCTAATATTAGCCAGAGGAGCAGTCTGTTCAGGCAGCACTGATCACTGTTGTGTTCTTTTAATGCCAAAACATTTTTTTATATGAATTTCCAATACGGGGGCTCAATAAAGGTACAGCTTTTTTTCAGCCACTCCTCCTCACCAATAAGTTTCATACTGTTCCTGACACTGAACTGTGTGCACATTGCCACAAATGAAAAAGAAGAAGATAAAGTTCTTAAAGAACAAAAGAAGAACAAAACGAGGGTGCTTTTTTTTTTTTTAAAGAAGAATGAGAATCAAGTCTATTTTAATGTTTATATCTCTCATTTTGACTATGGAAGGGTTTGTTTCTTTGGAATTTAAAATGAAAATCACTTTCTTTTTCAAAAATTAAAAAAGCTTTAAAAATAAATGAACTAATAAAGCTACATCTTATGATCTCTGCTGCTTCACTGTAAATGTAATTTAGGGGTTAGTACATTAACAATACAAAGCACAGCAAAGGTCAACATTTAGTTGGCCCACCATTTAGTTTATGTCCACAATAAAGCCAGTGGATAAATCTAAAAACACCAGCCTTGTGTTTTTGTGTGGATGGGGAAAATAGAACTTTGTAATAGTGAAGTTAAGAAGTGGACTGTCTGTTGCCTAGAATTTCTTGCGATCACTCATTTTAAATGCCAATATAGTTGATCACACAGCAGCATAGTTGTCTATGTTTACTCTGTCAGATGACTTTGCAATCATTAAATAGTGATTTGACAGACAGTGTAGACATTATTGTTTGCTTAGTTAACAGGGGGAGCTTCTTCAGTTGTGTGTCGACATAAGAAATAAATGTAAATGACTAAACTGTGACTTTGTCTGTATTAAAACACACTACAGATGATTGCAAGGCAGATCTTGACAAGTAACCCTGTTCCTGTTCTTACAGCATGTTTTAAATATCAAACATTACTAACATTTATAAAATATTCTGCTGCAAAAGGTCAACTTAGAAATAACGGCCTGTTCCAAATAAAATCAAGGTTTTTACTTAAGCTGAAATAAGTGTTTGAGAATATAGAGAACAAATTTCCATCTACTCACAACAGCAGACCTATTTTCAATACTGTGCAATAGATGGCATTTCCACAATTCACAAGGGAAATGTACTGCATGCTGTATGCAAACACTATCATTTACAGTCCCTACACTGCTCTGAATGCAGGTCATAATTCATCATACAGGCACAGAACATGTCGAACTGAATTTGTTTCCCAGTCTTATACACATACAATCCAATTTTACCCTCAGAATAATCTCTTTCCACTCTATACAGCATTGTACAGTGTGTCTTAGCAAGAAACCTCTCTGTTGAGAGAACTGAGAAAGACACACAGAAACAAAGATAGTCTCAAACTTTATGTCTGTGCTTGATTTAGTCACCTTGTCGAAGTTGTGCATCTGCTCCCTGTTAGTGAGCCAGGACTCCAGGTCTGGGGCGCTCTGGATGACAAAGGCTTCGTAGTCTGCAAACATGGTGGTGAAGCGGCTGGCGAACACCTCCCTCAGCTGGACGTTCAGCTTGGCGTTCTTCAGCTCCTCCTCTTCAGCCGCTGTCCTGCCCCCTTGCCCCTCAATGCTCTGAGCTTTGACTCCGGCTCTCAGGGCATCCACGCGGGCCACCGTCACCCCAGTGCGTTTGGTGAGCGCCTGCAGTCTCTCAAGGGTGGCGTTTCCCTGCAGCAGCTCCAGCACAGCCAGCTCCTCCCCAGCCAGGTTGCCGTTACGCCCATCGTCTTCCAGCTGCCGGAGAGCGACAGTCTTGCGCTCCCTGCCAGGGGTTGAAGGGGCGCTGCCGGGAGTACTGCCGGGACTGGAGCGGGTCCGTGGTGGAGCTCCTGTGTTGGTGGGTATGCCAAAACTAAGCAGCACCTCGCTGAGCTCCTGGATGAACTCGGTCTTGTTGGGGAAGTGGGGGAAGTCCTCTGGAAGCTCGATGTAATGGTTGTCAATGTCCACAAAACATAGGTTGGCCTGGGACAGGGAAAGACACTAATGTTACAATATTGCTCAGGAATAGACAACGATCCCTATAACTTATATTACTACGTACATTTTTGGCACCATAAAAACTAAATCAAATCTACGTCACAGACAGAAATGACAGTGGCCTTTGGTTGCTATTGGCAGCAGAAACAGACGTAGCGTAAGCTGGGACAGGTACTATCAGGAGGCATATTGAGGACAGATTGGTTTTAGGAGGTATGATGGGGGCCGGGGGATGTAGAGTGTGGAGAATGTAGGTCAGTGTGTGATTGATAATAGCACATTGTGGGAGATCAACCTAAATCTGACATAATGGAGTTAGCATAACTCCCTCATATGGGATTAAAGCAAAACCTCTGATAACACCGGAGCTCTAAACCACTCCAAACCACAGAGATGGGAATAAATTCAATATTCAGAACAGGATGATAGAGGATTGAAATCTGAAGGTCAGACCCCAGTGCGTGGTGTGTTCATGTGCGCTTGGAATCTCCAACATTCAAATATGGGCTGCCGAACACAACCTCAGTAAATACAGCTCAGTGTTTAGGGACTTGGCTTTGGAACCGGAGGGTCGCTGACAGACCACAAAATATGGAGTGTGGACTGGTAGCTGGAGAGGTGCCAGTTGACCTCCTGTGCACTGCCGAGGTGCCCTTGAGCAAGGCAACCTAACCCCAAAAACCTGCTCATGGGGCGCGGTTAACGTGGCAGCCCATCACTCCACCATCTCTCTCCCTGCTGCATGTCCACAAGTGCATGAAGTGTGCATTTTAGCCTGTATGTGTGTGTGTACGTGTGTGTGTGTGTGTGTGTTTAAAAAGAGTGAAAAGAACAATTTCCCCTAGGGGATCAATAAAGTATATCTCCTTCTTAAAAGCAGGCAGGTCTGTAAACTGTGATCGATGTTTACAGTAGCCGTGTTTCCATCTGAATGTATTGCAAATGTTAACCAAATTTAGAGTAATTCAGCAAAAGAAAATGTGAATGTTTCCATCCACCTTGTTTTGCAATTAGGAGTTGGTTCATGAGATAAGCAGTATGTGGTTCCAATTGTCCAGAGAAAGAAGGTGAAATTACGCAGAAAACGAAAGGATGTAAATCTGACAAATGGATAATTTGGGTAACAATCTTACAGTGTTATCTGGTATTTCAGTCGCACCTCAAGTCCAGCATGCAAAAATTTAAATAAATAAGACTACTATGTGTATTCAAAGTTCTTGAATGTAGGTTTGGTTAGGCTCACATCCTTTCTACCTTTGTATTGTTGTAGCGCACACACACACACACACACACACACACACACACACACACACACACACACACACACACACACACACACACACACACACACACACACACACACACACACACACACACACACTCCAATCCACTCAAACACCATGTAGTAATTGAAAAACTCAGTCTCACTCAGTTCTGGGTCTCCCTCTGCTGACCGCTTTTGGATGCAGGACTGAGACACTGTTTTTGTGTCGGCGATACAAATACATACTCATCTGCGTCTGGACAGATCAGCTTGTTTAGCCTCTTAAGGACAGGAGGATGTTCACTGATATGGGAGACGGTAAAAAAACTAAAAGAACTCGAACAAACTCTGCACATCACAATTGTTTTTATCTCCAGAAAGGTTGCCCTAGTTTGTATCTAAGCCCACTAGGAATACTAAATGCACAAGGAAAGAAATGAAATGTAGGAAAGGGACGATAACAATGCCCTTAATAATCTTGTCTGCAGTGCAAACATAACTGATGTTATCATGTACTCTAGGTAAAAGAAGAAGACCTGGATTGGAGTACAGGGTTCAAAAAGGCAAACCTTCTCTGGCGTTAATTTCCCAATTACATCCATATTTTCTTCTCTCTCATCATCTCCTCGCTGCTCTGCTTTAAGCCATTCTTTCATCATCAGCCCATTTCTAGGGCACCGCCACTTCAAAGGATCACTCAGCAACACAAGGAGATTCACCAGCCTCGGCAGGCGGGGGACCCCGCGTGGGGGAGGAGGAGGGGAGAAGAGGCAGAAGGGTTTTTTGGGTGCTCGGCAGCAGCATCCTGCGCTGGCTGGGATCATTAGCATCCATACGGAATGTGCCGGATTAACAAGCGCTGGGAGTCGAGGGATGTAAGTAAAGCCGGAAGCCGGCGAGCCTCAATGTTTCGCTTTGTTTGGGCCTTATCTCGCTTTAACACATGAATACACACACACACACACACACACACACACACACACACACACACACACACACACACACACACACACACACACACACACACACACACACACACACACACACACTGCAACCCTGCATTGGGCTATATACTGGATATACTGGTTGGAATCTGAAACACATTCACCTCCTCACTGACAAGTGTTGGGGCTGAAATAGAAGGGCTAGAAGAATGCAGTGACTAAAACCCACTCTGGCTCACTTTGCCTTGAGGTGAATTTGTAGACCAACAATAGGTAATTCCCTGTCCTACCTCACACACAGACACACACAGTGTGTCTGTGTGTGTGTGTGTGTGTGTGTGAGAGGTTGTTTGAACAGAAAGGTGTTTTTTGCAATTTCCTGTCTGTCTGAATAGGAGCCTGGTAGTCTGCCTATGTGTGTGTGTGTGTGTGTGTGTGTGTGTGTGTGTGTGTGTGTGTTGGCCTTGGACAATGTGCTGTCAGCAGTAATGAGCACTGGGCGCAGAGTGCTGCAGCTTGTGCATGCACACAATTATAGTAGTGTTTTACAATACTTGTGGGAGCCTTCCATTGTAGTTCATACACACACCAAGCCTCACACACACACACACACACACACACACACACACACACACACACACACACACACACACACACACACACACACACACACACACACACACACACACACACACACAGTACAGGGAATTACCTTTTGTTTGTCTACTTAATGCAATCATAACTCCAATCACAAGCATTACACCCCAACTTTAACTCCCAAATCTAGAGTACTAATGTAAAAACTCAGTTCATATCAAAGGCCTTTCACTCTAGCATTTCTTAGCCTTAGGCTAACCTTAACCCCAGTGACAGCTCAGGGCTAAACTCATTTCAAACCTTTATTAACCCAAGGCTTACAACCATAGGCGCCTGAGCTATGGAGCCAGCGGAGCAGCTGCACCCCCATTATTGCACCTGTGGGAACAAGATGTGCTGTTGCTTCCCCACATCTTGACCAGACAACTTTGCCAATTTAAAACATTTGAAAATAGTTCTATCTGGCCGTTTCCTATGTAGTATATTAACTAATAATTACATTGCCCATCCTTAGAATAAAAAAAAAGTGTTGCAAGGTAGCGAAAGCAGCAAACATTTACGTAACGGCTGACAAAACTCTTCCACACACTCATGATAGACTGCAAATTAACAGTGTAATATGTATGTGTTTAATTTGTTGCGTATCTGACCCACCAACTGCACTTATTTTAGTGAGAAATATACATTTTTTAAAGCATTCGCTTCCCATTCCCACAGTTTGTGAAATAGTGCAGCTAACCAAAGAGAGGCTTGTAGTGAGTTAAAAAAAGTTTGTAAGCAAATACTCTATCTTCATGGATTTATTGATGCTAAATAAGATTGTATGAGACTAAATATGACACCACTTATCTTTTGTTTCTAGTTTGTGATTTTTTACAGACATGTTAGGAAATTTGAATCATATTCATATCACTTTAAGTCATATTTCTTAAAAGGAGTTTGGCGTAATATATAGCATGGAGCTTTATTTTAATTGAACCTGCTACAAGGTATAGTTTTTAAAGCTTTGTCACCCCTACAGAAACACTAGGTAACTGCTACAGTATGATAAGGTTTTCTGACATTGACTGCTGATAATTATTGGATTGATTAATAGTTTAATCAGGCAAATTAAAAATGAATGAAAATTGAAAAACAGGACCAGGAGTTAACATCATTACAGCCGTCATAGTGTATATACAGACTGTGTGCAAAGACAACCTGAATCAATAAGTGCAGAAGCAACAAGGGCTGACTGAAAGGTTTGATGAGTGTAATGTTGCTCTGACCTTTACAGTCACCAATCGCTTTAATGTTTTGTAAGGTTATAGCTAAAAGGTTATTTAGAGAGAGCTTTTTCTTGGAGGAGATTAGCTACTCCTCATCTGACTCAAACTGTAAATTTGTTAGGATTTGTTAAGACTCCGTTGTAACTAGGTACTGTCTGTTGATTTATGTACCCCTATGACGATTATTTGCTATTCTGGAGAACTTTGAAGTTTGAAATTTTGGCAAATTCACCTATTTGTTTTCTTTCCGAGAGATAAGAAGCATAGGTCTGAAGGCAGGATGTGGTTAACCCAGCTTAGCATAAAGACAGGAGGCAGAAAAAGCTAGCCTGGCTCTCTCTAAAGAAAAAAATACACCTAAATACAGCTCTCAAGACTCACTTGTGGTTTCATGGGGAATTTTGGGCTGGAACTAATTCCTGCCAGGTTGGCGATACACAAACGTGACACAACTTGTTAATTAGTTAGTTTAAGAGGTGTCAGCTGGATTTTTCACCTTTGCACAGAGACGGGCTCACTGTTTCCTCCTGCTTCCAGTTGTTATGCTACTTATATACTGTATGTCTTTTCATCTGAAGAAAGCGAATAACCATATTTTACAAATGAAACTATTCCTTTAAGCCTGCTCAAGAACAAAGAGTAAGACGTCCTGGGGATATCTTTAAGACCAGAGCACTGAAAAGTGAAAGTTACTAATTATGAGTGAGATACTTTGCTATCCAAAATATCTCAACTATTCAATGGCTTATTATTTTAATTTTAGATACAACTGTTAACAATACAAAGGCTGGCTGTGTACCTCCTGGGGAAGCTCCAGTTTGGAGCGGTCGGTGCCCTCTTTGGACTGCAGGCCCATCAGGTAGGGAACAGGAGCATCCAGGAAGTGGAGGAGAGAGGCGGGCAGGATGGGAACGTAGACGTGCTGCCACTGGAAGGGGAACAGCAGGGTGGTGATGCCTTCGGCCACTGTCATCAACCGCTGGTAGTCTGAGGGAGGAAGAAAGAAACGTAATAATATGAGTGGATGGATCTAAAGTGACAGTCTACAAGCTGGAGGGAGGGACACAAATCTGACAAAACATGTACTTTCTCACTGTGCCACTGTGCACAGCGTGAAGAGCTCTTTAATTAAAAAGGTCATAATGTGGTGACAGTTCAAATTTAAAAGGTCATGACTGCTACATCGTCTGATTTTGACATGACAAGAAATCGGTTACTTGTACAAACCAAGTTCAGTTCAGTTCAGTTCAGCTTTTTTTTAACCTTTATTTGTTCAGGGAATGTTGACTGAGAAGAAACGCCCTGATCATATTCACACTGTTACACATTGCTACCTGGAAGCTGCCCAGTACAACCACAGTCTGATCTGCTGCCACTGAGCAGATCCACTGGAGTGGTTGGGGTTAAGGGCCTTGCTTAAGGGCACCTCAGTGGTGGTAATGAGGGAGGGGCAAGCCTTCACTTTCCCCACCCAGATCTATCCTGCCAGTCCGACTGAACCGACAACACGAGCTTGCTTCTCTAACCTATAGGCTTAGATTCCTTACGCTATTTTTTATGCTTAGATTATTATTTAAGATAGAATTTTTGACCTGAACACAAGCTATATTCTAACGAAATACTATACTACTTTCATATACTAACAAAACATTTCCTCCAGTCTGAAAATGCCTTAAGATACACAATACTTGTTAGTAGACACATTCTTTGTTGGTTTGGGTCTGCACATGGGATTTGTTGACTATAATAAAAATATAGAATTTCACTAGACCTATCTTTTAAAACCAGAGGTACTGTAATTTGTTTTACAATTACACTGGAATGACTTCAATTTGGCTTCTTGAATCAAACTGAGAGAAAGAGAACTAATGATCCATATTCAGATTATTACAGGATGCAAAGGTGTTTTCAGTGAACTCAAGGATGATTGTATTAAGCAGAGGGAGTGGGGGGAGAAAGAGTTAGAGGTTTATGAAATACATATATGTAAGAGTGTATGTGCAAGGTAGACTTTAATCAAGAGATTCAAATTGAATCTGCAAGTTAGGGTTAAGAACAAGAGGAATTACATTCTGATGGATTCTTTTCAATCACGTTTTCACGCACACACGCATGCACATGTGTGTGTGTGAGTGTGTCTGCATGTGTGTGAGTGTGTGTGTGAGAGAGAGAGTATTGCCTCTGCTGTTCCCTAAAACAGATTAAGGCCAGTGGTTGCAGGCTGGCTTTAGTATTGAGTTCAGCAGCAGTTTTATCAGATGTTATTATGATGGCCAGAGTGAAAAGCCTGCGCGATTTTGAAGGGAAAAAAAAATAAATAAAACATTCATAGTTATACCACTTTATCCAATCAGCTGTCCTCTACTTCTATGCCCCCTTCCCCCTTTGTCATTTCCTTTCATTCCATCTAGATCAGTCAGTGTCCTTCTGTCAGTGTGCACATATGGAATGTGTGCACTTTCATTGAAAATGCATTAAGCTCTCCAGAACCACTGATTTATATTCAACAAGACGAGAAGCAGCTGCTCCTTCACTTCTGAAGAGTGTGTGTGTGTTTAAGAGTGTGCATATCTTTTAAACACGCATTCATACAAAGTCCTCGGACACACACACAGCCCAATACATCAGTTCTGTCACTCTTTTCTTTTCCTTTCTCGTGCTGTCAGCGAGCAGAGCTTGACTTAAAGGTGTGTGTGTAAATTAATTGACACCATCATGCATATTTGTACATGCCCCTGCAGTGTGTGTATGGGTGTGTGTTAATGATTACCAGTGCTTGTAAAAGGCCAAAGAACAAACAAGTCATTACGTTCATGTGTGGCGAGATGAATGATATTAATTTATTCTATTTGTCATCTGGAGGCCGTTGGAGAAGAATCCGGCATGCTGTGACAGGAAAATAGAATGTGTGTGTGTGTGTGTGTGTGTGTGTGTGTGTGTTTGTATCTCTTTGTTCTTTATCATAACTGAATTCCAAGATACTTTCTCACAGTATTGACATTTACGCAACTTTCACTTTATGTGGTTTTGTAGCAACTTGTTTCGCTGGCTTATTCTTTTATGTTTAATCTCATCTTCAGAGCAGAACAATAGCGCCACATATGCTGCCTCCATATGCGTTTATTTTTATTCAGACATGATGTTTCGACCCTCCTTCTTTAAAATCAACAACAGTGACAAAATGTTCACTTGCTGTCTAATATATCCCACCTACTGACAGGTGCCATGATAATCCGATAACCAGTGTTATTCACTTCACCAGTCAGTGCTCATAATAGTATGGCTAATCGGTGTATATCTATGTGCAAATAACTAACTAATGAAATTGCTATCAGTCTTAGCTATACCCTGTTTGATGCTAACTGGCAAATATTAGCAGGCTAAAATGCTAAACTAAGATGATAACCCTAGTAAATGTACTGGATCTACAAAAGCATGCTAGCACGGTGACGCCGTATCCAAGAGCTTGTGACGTATTGTTAAGTATTTTGACCACAACTGCAAAAGATGGTGTTGTGCCCTGACGTGTTGAGTATTACAAACCCACAGGACTCTTTTTGTGACTGCAGCCTAGTTGTTTCAAGATGTTATCTTAGTCTGTTATTTTGCCTACTGTAGCTATGTTTCCATTTGACCCATAAAATCTTACATCCATAGCACACAAATCCCACGTCCTTCTTTGTGTGTGTTTCAAGTCTGTATTTGCTTTCTCTCAAGTCTGAACAGGTTCAAAGTTTCTCCCACACACACACCTCTGTGGGAAACACAGCGAGGGACTCTCACTGAAACACTCCTGTTTCTTTTTTCATGTTACAGCAAATCCTTTCCTACCTGTTCCCCTTCCCGCTCACATCGTGCCAGGATAAGTTTGGCCTCGGCGTCTCAGCTGGCTTCATTAACACTGGGCCGCTACAACCCGACGTGTCTCGAAAAGTGCTTCTCCTAAGCGATTTTCTTTCACACCTCATAAATTACACCCTGTTTCCTTTCCTCGCACTGAAACACATCAAAGCTTACCCAGCCAGACCTCGTGAGGAATAACGAGAAGATGATGAGAGAGGAATCTAACAGAGAGTGAATTTATTTTCTCCTCGCTGAAGTGAGTTGAACCAATTCAATTATTTTTATAGAAATAGCTATGGGGGCTCCTTTCAGAATGGCTGATTCATCCTTGACAAAATGTTCTGCAGTGCCAATAAAACTCCCTTTGAAATATGACAGGTACAAGTGCCTGTGATAGTTGAGCAAGCATGTAATCATTTAAAAAGCAACAAATCTGATATGGCAAAATGTAGCGTTGCAGAAAGCCCCAGCAGAGACAGGGCTCCTGGATACTGAAAAACAGGATGGGACATGTCATTGTGAAACTGTAACAGTGCATCAGGGACTGATAAACACAGCTAACTCAGTCTCACAAGGGAAGGAGCAAAGCTGTCTGTGGTGAACAGCTGACATCAGGTGATCCTTCAATGCAGTTCAGCTGCACCCTGATAATGTTGTGATATAATAAGAGAGGCACAAAGTGTCTAGAGGAGAGATTAGAAAAGAAATCAAAATGAAAGAAGCTTACAGAAGCATCTCATTCCATGACAAATCAGAGAAACAAGCCGGGAAATCACTAATTCAGTGTTAAAATCTTGGTCAACTACTGCTCAACTGACCTGGGAAGAACAGATACATAAACAAAAACAGAACTCCAAAATGGTGGAAAACTTGACACATTAAACGGCCGACAAAATCGATTAAATCAGACAGAGCCTTGACATTGAAACTGAAGTCATGGGGAAAGTGAGCATGTGACGGTTAGAGAAGGCAAGAGGCATTTAGACTGTGCCATAGTGTGACCGTCAACAAAGGTTAGTATGATTTGTAGAACTGCAATAATTAATCGATTTAAAATCCAATTAATCGGCGACTACTTTAATGATTCATTTAGAAAAGATTCCATGATTTCAGTTTCTCTAAACAGTAAAGTGAATATCTTTGGGTTGTGGGCAAAACAAGAAATTTGAGAACGTCACCTTGGGCTTTGGGAAACACTGACCAACATTTTTCACCCCAAACAATTAATCGAGAAAATAGAGTATAGTGTTAAAGGGTTGGTTCACCCAGTGCCAATGACCACCACCTCTACTAATGAATGTCCTGGGAGAAACCCTGCATATGCTCCTATAGCGGCCTCCACTCTTGTGGTTTCAGACTTTCCACCATATTATGGAACTTGGCTGCAGGGATGTTAAGTACTCATCATTGTCCACGTACCAAACGGCACCAAATTTCCTTGGGAAATGTCACTATTGCACAGCACATGTTTTCTTTTACGCATTTCCTCATCCCTTTGTACTTTAAAATACATTTGCTATGTTGTGTTTTTGAAGAAGACAAGACAGGAAGTGACTGCCACACCGCACATTTCTGGTGTCTGACTTTGTATCACACCACTGTAAGACGAAAGATAAAATACTCACTCTTGCTAAAACTGGGCTTCTTGGCTTATTTTTCACATCTTACTGGTATGTGAGACAACACTACCCCCTACCCTTAGCATTGTTTTAACACAGGGTTGATTTCAGTCCGAAGGCCTGGCTTGCATTATGTGTTCCAGTTCACCCCAAAAGTTTTGGATAAGGTTGAGGTCAGGGGTCTGTGCAGGCAAATTCCTCCACACCAACCTGGGAAAACCATTTTTTTATGTTAAGGACTATCCATAAACAGTTGCCACAAAATTTGAATTACACTGTTGTCTTAATGCTATAATTGTATGGTGTAGCATTAACATTTCCCTTCATTGGACCTGAGGGACCAACCACATAGTTTTGGCCAAATAGTGTACCAGAAGCAGTAAGTAAGAAAATAAGGACAAATCTGCATCTTATGAGGAACTACTGGCAACTACGACATGAGCTATGGGCTTGGTTCAACGACATGCCTGAAAACAACAATAGCGGCTGCTGAAGAGGTTAGTGTAGATGCATTGAAAGAAGAGCATAGAAGGGCACTGAAGGCTTTTCTTCATTGAAAAGATGTTTTCTCTGTTCTCCTGACTGTCTTCAGTAAGAGTTTGACTACGTCATATGCTTCGTTGCAGAGACAGCTGCCAGGAATGGAAATTAACAACACTGATTACCATATAATGACAATCCTGCATGCCCCACCCCCACCCCCCACTGTGGCTCATGATTGGAGGAGACATTGCCTGCCACTTTCTATCCCGGCCTGTCACAGCCAATAAGTGCTAGAGGAGGACAGGTCTGGGGGGGGTCTGATGATGCCTCTACCTGTCATGGTGTAATTGCCTGTTGATTGATCAGGAGGAGTGTGGGAACATATGGTGGTGCAACGTCTCATTAACATCCAGGGAAGGTTCTCCATCTTTCCCCTGAACTCAATCCTTCCATCACCTGCCTCCAGCCAAATGACGCTCTGTGCATGGTTTCCCTCCTCATTACAAAGAAACGTGGGCTCATTTGGGCAGACGTGTCACACAGTCAGAGCCCGGGCTGAATGCCAACAGTGATCCCCGAAGAAAAATGATGAACACTTGAACAAAACAGGGATGTTTTTCACTCGAGTGAGGTTTTAATTGTTTCCCTCCAGGAGCGATTGCCTTTGACACTGACAGTGATGAATAAAACACTGAGACCCATTTTTCATCAAAGGGTGATAGGGTGAGGGAGGAGCATGCGTGGAAGAGGAGGGGCTTGCTCTTTTTTTTCTTAGTTCACTAGGACTGCTGCATTTATAACGCTGCTTTGACTAAATCCCTAAATATAGCAGAGATACAGTCCTAATTCATGAGATGTCTGACCTGTTCATCGCGGTGTCTGTAGATACAAACATCTCATTCTAAGGTAACAGCTAACAAAAACACGATTCTTATAGTCAGGTGATTATACACTTATGAAAACAATTTCGAATGTGATCTCTGTAAAGGTACGATGGAAATCTGCAGGAAGCTGTGCACAGTCACTGTGTCCAGTAATTGTTCACCAAAACTCCCCATAAAACCACAAATTGTCATTTTACATTTTAATGTGTTAGTTAGTGAGCTTTAGAGGTGTTGGTACATGTATACTGAAATTCTGAGAGCCATGCTAGTTGTTTCCCCATGCTTCCGGTCTTTACGCTAAGCAAGGCTAACTGTACATAACACACAGTAATGAAACTGATATGAATCTTTCTCACTCTCGCAAAGAAAGCATCACAGTCTCTTTTGGTATTTACAGTAGCGTATTTCCCAACATGTTGAATTACTCCTTCTTGCAATCTAACTTTTGCTGCTGCTGAGAAACAATGTAAAAACATCAGTGCCTGTGTGCCAGAAGATTTATTGCAGAACAGACATATTTCTTTATGTGAAAATGTCCCAGATGATTTTTTCTTATACCCAGACTTTTCCCTTTCAGTGCAGTTATTAACAGCAGTGCCCCAGTGGTAGTCTATCCCACTAGTCAAGACACAGTGTGTCCTGAAGCTGCCTTCTAATCTCGCCATGTGGCCCACTGACACCCCAGAATCACTCCCTGTGAGCTGAGCCACTGCTGTAGTACAGTACAGAGAAATGCAGCCAGCCAATCAGATTACACGGTCTAATCTTTAACCTCTTCGGTGTCTTTACAAGCCATGGCTCAAGCGACACACCATCTCACAACCCGGTGGGAAGGCTGAAGATGGTGCTCGATTAGGATGGATGAGTGGGTCGACAGAGACCATGGATGAAGAGTTTCCTGAGCTCTTGGGGGAAAGAAGGATCTATCTTTAGTAGTTGCAATACAGAAATTGCTTGAGAGCTGCATCTGAATACCTAAAGATTCTGTACAAACATATGTTTTAGGCAATCAGTCCTGCATCACAATCCCATTTGGGTAAACATGATGAATGCACTCATTTAAAGGACACAGTTTGGGATGTTAAACAGCTGCACTTTATGATTGTGGCTGACTTTTATTTAGTTTACCCTTTTCAAAGAACAGCTGAGTATTTTCACTTCATCTCTTGTAATCAGTCTGCACCACAGGAACGGGTCCTCCTAAGTGCATGTTTCAGAACACTGTAAATACAGAGCTTTATTTAAAGGCTGTGGAATTGGTGTGCGTGCTAACCTTTTCTATTTACGTGACTCATCCAGCACAGAAGCTACAAACAAGCTGCATAGAAACGGTGACAGCGTGAGCTGCAGACACACAGAGTGAAACTAAGAAAGAGTAGGACAGAGGAATGTAGGACGAAAGGTGATCTCGGCCCACAGAGTAGTTCAAAGTAGCTGCAGTGTGTTTGAGGGTAATGTGCACCAACACACACACACACACACACACACACACACACACACACACACACACACACACACACACACACACACACACACACACACACACACACACACACACACACACACACACACACCCCTGTCTCAATACAGCTGTGAATAATGGATGTAGGGAAACCTAGAAGGAGGAAAATCTGATCACTGTGCATCTCAGTTAGGCTCATATGTAGCTGAAGCTGTGACACACTTCAGGGATTCTTCATGATCATTTGAGAAAACTTTTTTCAGTTTTCCTTTGCCTCTGAAGTTTTAACTGGACACTGTGTGAGAGGTTTTCCTGCCTCACAGTATAGAAGTATACAGACCAGAACCCCTGATGAGTTAGATATGCTTGACAGGCATACAAGTGTGCACAAAATGTCTGAAGTCTGAAACCTCACTTGTAAAATAAATATATGTTTTCTACAGAAGCTAATTGGTGTGTGGATTTTGAATACATAAAATACATCTTTGATCCAGCATCCATCCAAGGTCGATGTGTGTGTCTTTTTCATCATGTTAAAAAACGTTTGATAGTCCTAAGGAAAGGCCTGAGGAGCTATAAACCGGACTATATTTACATGCGTCCTTACCTTGTGAGTACAGCAGGATCTGCATCTCCAGCAGGGTGCAGGTGAACACCTGGACCAGGTTCTCCACTCCCAGCAGCGTAAAGGCTTCTGCGAGGGGGAAGTCAGCCAGCGGCAGCTCCCCCAGCCCAGGTCTCTGGCAGATGATGGGCTCGTACACACCGTGGAACTTGAGAGAGCGCCCCGGAGCGGGCAGCGGCACCTCGTACAGGATGTTGTGAACGTAGCTCTCTAGCGGCAGCGGGGGGGCAGTGGCCGAGGTAACAGCCTTGTGCAGCTGCGACAAGAAGCGGCGGCAGGCGTGCATGAAGGGCATGGGTGCAATCAGACACAAGGCCTTGGACACGTAGAGGGTGTCCCGGGATGAGTCATAGCCACCCGCCCTGCGGGATGAAGATGAAGAGGTGGGGGAGTCAGCCTCATCTAAACTGCTGGCCAGAGAGTCCATGCTGGAAGAGGAGGATGATGAGGAGGAGGAGGAGGAAGGGGGGTTGGCGGAGGCGTGCTCTGCATTGTGCATCTGGTAGAGGGTCTGCATGGCAGAGCAGATCTGTGGGCTGGTCACCTCTTCGTAGAAGGTGTGGACGAAGCCGTAGGTCCGCGAGCCATCCTCCTTCGTGATGATGAAGGAGTGGTATTGTGGGTCACGCTGGTCCGCCTGTGTCCTGAACGACAGGCCTTTAGGCATACACAGCTGCAGAGAGAGGGGGGAGGACAGGAGTCAATCACCACTTCAAAGCAGACTAACAATTTTAGTTGGAAATAGAGCTGCAACGATTAGTCAATTCATTGATAGTTATCGACTTTTAAATTAATCTGCAACTATTTTTCATAATCCATTAATAGTTTAATAGTTTAAGTTTAAGAAAACATGTCCAAATTCTGTGATTCCAGCTTGGTACTGTACAGCTAAAAATCAGTGACAGAAGACTTACCAATAAAGTTTCAAATTTTTTAAATCAATATTTACAAGATGAAATGATGCTACAGCTGATACTGATGGTGTGAGCTTGTGCGTGATGACGCTTTCACAGCCCGAACTCTCAACCAATTGCACATAAACTGTTGATATTAACACCCAGTCAGCAGCAGTCTGCAATAAATATGACTTATTAGTATCATTATGTTTATTTGGCCGCTGAGAGCTGAACAGGAACTGTCTGCAGACAAGAGCTTGCTCTGTGCCAATACATAAACATGCATCCAAGTGTGTTAGTGCTTACTGCTCTGCAGACACACATACATGTGTATGTGCTTTAGAGTTTGCAGACATGAACACACTCATACATTTACATTTATTTTAACAAAAACTGTACCCAATTTTACCATTTATTTATTTGTGTCTTTATAGAGACCAAATGAAACACGTGTGCACACAGGCCTGGTGACCTGATTGGATCATGTGTCTCACTGATTAGTACTGACAGATCATCTCTCCTGCACACCCAGCCTGTGTCTGACAGTCATCACCGTGACCACATTCTGTATTTGCTCTTGTTGTCTAGAAAACACTTACACTTCATGTGTTTCACCTCTCAGCCCTGCTACGCTGAGGAAGGTAATGAAATCAAACTGAGCACAGAGATATAAGCTCCAAATCTCGCAAGACGACGCAAAGAAGTTTTGCCAAGCGTTCTGTCAAATAAGTATCGACTCACTGCCTGCAGAACAAGCCGGGGCGCATTCAGAATCGCTGCAACATGAAGCAGCAACGTGACAGTCCAGGCGTAATGTAGGAACAAATACACACTTGACCTCCATTAAATGACTCCATTCTTCCTGTTTATGTTGTTCATGTTAAAAGGAATGAGGACAACAGGAGCAGAGGAGGTGCATATGGTTTATTGTTTATCTGCTGAGGCCTTCATTAAACAGTGAGAAGCTCTTGTCAGCTTTATCTGTTGCTGGAGCTTAACTGAAGCTCTAGTGTGGCCAGCGGGAAAGGGAAAAAAGATCATCCAGTGGAATGATCCTGTTTGTGGTGACTGTGTTGTAAACCCCAGATTTCAACAAGGGGAGGTGGGAAGAGTGTGTGTTTGTGGTGATTGTAGGTAAAGTTTCTAAAAACTTAAAATACACAAAATAAAGTCAGACAAACAAATGGTCTACCACTTTGATATTTCTGCAGAAATATTCTGTGAGTCAGGGAGCAGTGCCTTTAGTCTCCATTAATAATTCTTCAGGTGGAGACATGGCCCAGTTAGAGTGGCACAGGGCTGAATTAGCATTACACACACACACACACACACACACACACACACACACACACACACACACACACACACACACACACACACACCAATGATTCAATTATGCAAAATCAAAAATATGCAAAAGCCATATTGTTCCAGTAAATCATTTATAGCCAACATTCTGTTGCCTAAACCGAGTGTAAATAAAAGCAGATTTTCTTTGCTCACATATGACTGAGAATTGGATTGTTCTGATGATTTGAGCTAATTTGGGCCACTTTTATACATGTTCCAAATCAGATTCAGGTCTGATTTTTTCCAGTGCGACCTTAGTGTGAACAGTCATATCAGAGTCTTGTGAAGAGGCGCTGACAGATGTAGTTCTCACTGACAACAGCATCCTTCAACAAAATTTTCAACATCATAAAATTTCTGTCAAATCATTCACGTCACAATCCCAGCGCTCGAGCTCCACATTCAAACACACTATAATTAAAAATCTGGCTCTCTTTCTCCCCTTCCTTGTTGTCATCTGCTCTGGATTGTCTAGTTACTTTCATCATCTTTTAAATGACACCATACAAGCGGACTTCAGTGGCCTCCATGTTTACTTTACTAAGTGTGTGACGTCTTTGGACTATAGCTCTGCTTTTAACACCATCATCCCAACTCGCTGTGCCTCTAGCTGCTGACAAAAATCTGAAAAGCTATTTCAACCATTTTGTATGAACTCTGGAACTGAACTCTCTCATATATCTTCTCATTCAGGTTAAGCTTTAAAGGACGAACCATCTGAATATCAAACTATCTGCAGCACTCTATTAGATAGATACTGGTTTAGTGTGGATAAAATGGCAAAAAAAGGTAAAAATGTGTCATTAAATGTGTAAGTGTGAGGGTTTGAGTGTGTGTTTGGTTAGGGGTGTTGGGATTTGAAAACAATCATCACAGGGGCTTTACTGGCAGGCCTGCAGTCACAGGAAGTGTGATTACACTCCCCCTCCTCCTCATCTCTCACCCTGCCTCACAGCGGGAGGAGGAGGAGCTGGGATGAGGGCATTCCAGAAAGGAGGAGAGGATGATGGGATGAGCTGGCGATGGAGATCACAAGACATAGAAAGTGAGAGAGAAACGATGCCGCTCTACAGAACGTCTCTCAGCCGTCACTCTCGACAGCTCGCCTCGCAATCATCCGGGCGTCGGGTTACAGACGCTGCGCTGCTGCATAATGGCCCGTTTCCATGCCGACGTAAGGCGAGAACCTGCAGCTGAATTATTCAGCAGTGCTGACGCCAGGGCAGGTGGAAGAATAAACGGTGACCTTCGATCATGAGAAAGAGACACACAGCCTATACATCCGCATGGAGAACTCACTCCTGTTGTTCCTGTCAAGGTCACCGCACTGACCGTTTAGCACCTTCAGTAGAGCCTCATCAAACAATCACACTTTTCAATAACTCTCAAGGTCTGGTTTTGTGGAATAGAGGGACTGGAAATTTGCATACTGTCATAAAAAAGGTTGAGAAAAAATGGTGTAAGAATAAAGATCCAGACTCATGAATTTCGTTGCTATAATACAAAAGTGGTTACTTTCAATTTACAGCATTTTCATTTAATTCTATCAATTCCATTTTTTCTGTCTCTTGAAAATCTCTTTTTTGTGGTGACATAATCTTCAGCACGCTGCACACTTACTAAACAATATAAGTTTTTACGATTTTTTTGCTTTATGATGTCACAGAAACTGTGAAATGCTGACCCCAACTGGTCCAGGGAGACGACCACCCACCTAGAGCCGAAGGATCTGTCCTAGGTTTCTGCCTTTTAACAGGCAGTTTTTCCTTGCCCCCGTCGCCAAGTGCTTGCTCATGGTGGTACTGTTGGGTCTCTGTAAATGTTATAAAGAGTTCGGTCTAGACCTGCTCTATTTGAAAAGTGTCCTGAGATAACTTCTGTTAAGAATTGGCGCTATACAAATAAAATTGAATTGAATTGAATTGAATAGATCCCACTGTTCTGATTCCAGAAAAACAGACTTTATTCATTATGGTGGTGTGTTCTTTACACTAAGACGGTTTTCCTAAAATGTTATATTTAATTGCTTACAGTATTGCAATATGAATCCTAACCCCTATATCAGGACATGTATCGTATCTTGCCAATATATAGCCATATTACTGTCATTTATGTGCTTTATAAACCGTATGATTGAGTTTAGCTTTAAAAATATACAAAATGACAAAATATTTGAACCATGTACCTAAATTAAAACATGAAAGAAATAAATGAAATTTAAACCTCACCTCCAAAACCAGTGTAATTGTATTGTAGTGTAACTGTAAATAATCCAGATGGGAAGGTTTCAACAGTGGGAGAACAGAACAGGTCATTGAGCCACACTGCATGACTTTTCTTCAAATATTGAATAGGAAGAAGCCCAGATGAAAATGAAGTTGATTTAAAGAGTCTGTGACAAAACTGATAAAGCTACTAACAAAAACCTGAACAGCTCCCTTGGCTATTTTGCATATACTTTTAAGACAGCCTTAACTTCAGCTTGACATTTTCTCATTTACTGTCAAGTCTCCAGAGCTTTTCAAAACACCAGACGTTTTGAAAAGCTCTTTTATGGGGTTTTATGAGGCAAGTTCTTTTTTAATATGATTTTTAAGCAATTCATGTTCATCCTCGATGAACACTGGAAAACCTGCTTTCACTAATGAGAACAACGATCCTTGACATGAAACAGCCAAATTGGAACAACAAAACTAAAACAGGAAGATGTAGTAAATGCAGGCATCCATGAAAAGCTCTCTGGGTTATGCCAGACAAGATGGGAGAGGATTTATCATCGCTCTGTTACCCAGGATCCCCTGAGAAGGCACTGTGTTTTTTGATCCTCAATGCTCAAAATGTGTGGTTTCCTCCCTAAAAGGAAGTCTCTTCCACCAAAATGCTAGTTTAAATAATCCAGTGTTTCCTCTCAGTGGTCCCACTAGTCTTTTACTGCCCTACTGGAGGTATCGCTGTACTCAATTAGTTCAGTTTATCCTTACCCATCTACTCATTTCTCCCCATATGAATGGTTTAATCCACCTACCATGTTGACGGCATCCTGGTCGAAGGGGTTCCACTCCACATTCTCAGGGTAGCGTGCCAGAACTTTGGACTTGAAGGTCCTCTTCAGGGGGCTCTGCTCAAAGTTTTCACCTGGAAAGACACAGGGACACAGCAGGTTAGCACCATGACTACCAGCCGGACATGTCAACCCCAAACAATCTTTATTATATTCAAAGGAAGCTTTAAATATCCATTTGGCACTGGCTCAGTCTGTTCAGGGGCAGAGAAAGCAGCACTGAGGGGATGACCTCATGTACAGTATGTGACAGTGTGGATGGAGCTTTTCTCTGACAGCCACTCTGGCTGCATGCATGAGATTCCTCTTTGTCAGCAGCTGGACTGCTCTCCATTTCCCCTATCCCCATATCAACACACACACACACATATGAATGGGAAACGAGGACTGGTTCCAAATGATCCAATCCATCAGAACTATATGCCAAGCTTATTAATTCCTTTTATTGACAGCGGTATGTTTTTTGGCAGTTGTGCAGAGCAAGAAAATCCTGTCAAACTCATGTGTCTGCACTGCTGGAAACTTGCAATTCGAAGGAGTCATGGTCAACGGTCCAAAGCGTGGCGTTATTTCACAAAGAAAGATGACAAGAAGAAAGATGTTGTTGGCCTCATCGTTCCAGCTTTGAAAAATGTGTCATCTCTAAAGCTGGGACCAGATACAACATTTCTATCTTATCTCTATCTTTAATGGTTAGAGTGTTAATCTACACGTTGAACTGTGGCCAAACATAGCATACAGAGTTTCTTGACTTCAGGGTGTCAGTAAAGATCAAATTATATTCTCTGTGCCTGAGTGGCTGTAATGGACTTTACACCTATCTGCAAATGTGAGGCCACATCCGCATACAAACTGTAGTATGAACAGAACCACAGGAGCGTCTGTTTTGATGATATCAACAGCAATGGGCCACCAAAATCTCCTTTTGTTGAGATCTCATGAGGTGTCCTAGATTCCACTCTGACAAACATGAGCTAAAATGACACATTGTAGTGCCTGAAGCTCTTTGTTTCTGATGCCACATATCTGCTGACATCATTTGCAACGTAAACAATTATGGTCTTAAATCATAGTGCCACAATTAGGCCAATGCAAGGCTCTGTGAGGCTTGTGGCTGGATTTGGACACAAATGCTAATGTTAGCATGCTAAACATGCTCACAATAACAATATTAACATACTGATGTTCATGCTGCAAGATTTATAGGCCAGGAAATCGCTGCAGCACTACTGTAATACATTATAATGCTGTTTGTCACACATTTAACCAACAAATTGGGATTTGGATGTCGCACTTGGCCATATTGCAATTTCGATAATATTTCAATTGTGCAGCCCTAATGTGAGGCATCCATAACAGCCCTGTTTTTACCCATTTACTGAGATTTCAGTGTGTGTGTGTGTGTGTGTGTGTGTGTCGTGTGAGAGTGAAAGTGAGAGTGAGAGAGAGAGAGAGAGAGAGAGAGAGAGAGAGAGAGAGACAGTTGTCCAAGCAGCATAGCAGAGAGAAACTATGTCTAATGCAGGACAGCCCAACAGCTGCTCAGGACACAACAGCCGTCCAACCAGAGCTGGTTATATGATCTATTTTCCCACTACTTCCATTTCTTCCAGTACAACTGCGTCCACCACAGGACTTTCTCCACTGGTTTCTGTTTATGCACCACTGAACTACATTCACACCATTGCTCTGGATGATTGAGAAACAGAAGATTATTGTGCTGTGCGGGGCTTATTCTAAATTGCTGAGTCGCAGAGTCAGCAGTGCTCTATGTGTAAAATGGAAACACTCAGGAGAAATTGTTTGGAAGATTCAAATTGTCTTTCCCTCAGCTGTGTGGTAATTCATACAGGGGAGCCCTGGGAGAAGCACAAATGTTAAGGGTTTACGGTAGGTGTAAACAGTATTATGGTATCATGGATCTGTTCACTAAAACCACAAAAACATATATAATAACCTGTCAACAGATTTCATAGAGACTGTTTCTTCAGTAGAAAGTAGTTCCTCTTTCACAGTCAACTACAGTCTAGTGATATGTGAGGTGAAAGCCATTTAGAATCAATTCAGTACAATAACTGTTTAACCCCTGTGGGACAATTAAAAAGATCACAAAAGACAGGGGGATTTTCTGAATCAAAGGTTTAAACTTTTTGGCCGGTGAAATGCTGATGGTGCTTTGATACTGCAGCTCTGTAATGACTCTCTGTGGGTTATTAAATCTTACCACTCATCCACACACTATTTCATTTCCTTTCAGTGACCAGACCTCCAACAGTCCCGCTACACTGTGGAGACGAACCCGCATTGATTTCAGATAAGTGAATGGGCTCTGGAACTGGGAGTGCTGGCGGCAGTACAGAGTTTGGACCTTTCTATGATTAGAGCGAGGTCAGGAGGTTACTGAAGAGGAGCAAATAAAGGAGGAGGAGCAGGCTGATCGTTTTGAATGTTTAATGATTGATCATGCCGTGGTGGGCCCTGTCACCATTGGATCAATAAGGGTTTTGTGTGAGAATATGGCTAACACGAATGCAAATGAGAAAAAACTAACAACAAAAAAAATCTGTCCCCACATGAACAGGCTCTCTCCCACTGGGTCTGGGGGCCGTTCGGGATAGGTGACGGGGTGTGACCTCCAACAGTCAGCTTCCTCCCAAGGGCATAGGGGCAGCCAAGGAAAGGAAACCCCTGTGTCACTCAACATAGGTGTTAATATTAAAGGCTGGAAAAAAGAAGAAAGAAAGGATACATAAAGAAAATGTCAGAAAATGACAGATCACCTCTCCCAGGAAAACTCACACATCCCTCCAACAACCTAACTTTCTTTTTTATTTTCCTCTCTTTTTTAAAATATTCTAAAATATATTAATGTCATGGTTCTTCATAGCCTCAACCATTGTCATCTATTTATACAGCATGAAGGGGCTGAACTCTGATTTGTCGTACAACTTTGTGTTGTACAGTGATCCTCTACGCGCTCACACTTGAAATCCTGCACAGTCTGCCCTGCACCCTCTTTAATACACACAACACACAAAATAACCCAATGCATGTTTTGCCTTGACAACCTTGTGAAGTCACACAATGTAATATGTTCCATCTTGTCTCACCTGTTTTGTAAAGTTTCATCCTCAAAAAGTAGCCAGGATCGTTATATCAGCAGAGGCCTTTATTTGAAACAGGTGTATGTTATACATACCTCCCAATTTCCCCCCGTCATATTATACTAAGATTTAACACTCCCTCTATATTTAACTGTTGATAAATTCAGTGTAATGCACATTTCTACAGCACTTATTTCATTATTGTAAGTTTGTCTTAAACATACTACAGGGAGTTTTTAAACTGGTTATGAGACAGTCTCAGTTTAATACTGATGCCTCCGTAAGACCTATATAAACAAATGACCATCAGCAAGAAGATTGGCTATTTCTATATAGTTTTTGTCCATGTCGGATATGGTCAGATTCCTCTTGAAATCAATGAAACGAGGTGGTAGAAACAATACCACTTCTGTCCACAGGGACCGCCAGAATCAACACAAAATGAAAGTTCCTTGTAGTGGATTTAATAACAGAACTTTCACACAGTCTGTCCACTTTGTTTTCAATGAAACTCAACACTTCAAGCACAGATGTCTCAAATTAAAAAATTGGGCTGCAACTAATGATAATTGTTTTATTATTGATTTATATGTTTTATCAGTATTTGACAATCTGGATATGAGACTCAACAATCAACTCATCTTGCTCTGTTTTGATTGGTTGTTTTTGATCAGGATTTGTAAAAATGCTATTATTAGGAGCACTAGGAGCCAGAGGAACCAGATTTTTTTTTACAGATTACCTGTCTCATGTACTACTGTCAGGATATAATGAAAGTTTCAGCAAATATGACAAAAAGTTATTTTTATAAAAAATTACCTACTGCAGCTTTAAATAAAAGGACTGACAGCTTTGTCAGTTTAGGTTGCTGACCACGTTATATTTTGTGGTTTATATCATAATGCAGCCTATATATGAAGACAACATGTATGTATGAGCTAAACAGTGGTGGAAGGATATGTTTAGTAACATAATATTGCAATATTGCTAAATTTATAAAAAATACTACAGTTTTAAAGATATTCTGTGAAGTTTTTTTTTAAATAAATAAACAAAATGATGTTTCAATAGCATATTCAATGTTTCACTAGGAAAAGGACGAGATGTATAGGAAAGCATGGGACTTTGGGGGAGGGAGGGAGAGAGACAAGAGAGGGTGAAAGGTTGAGAGGCAACACCAGATGAATAATGAAAAGGCAGGCTGACATTCAAGGAGGCTCACAGGACAAAACAAAGCAAAACACTGTTTCACAGTCACGCCTGGGCTGTCTGCCGCAGGGTGATTCCTTCCAGTTTTTCCAGCATCTGGACCATGGACACATCCTTTTACTGTACATTAAATAATGAGATGACATTTTCGACACCTGATAAAGCAATGTCTGATTTGTGTAAGCATGTACAAATAGCAGCGCAATGGCATCAAGTTGTCGTCAACTAATTCAAGAGGACATACTGCACACGCACTGTACACTGGCTCTCTCTATTCGTCTATTTCTTTGTCTCTCTCTCTCACACAGATCCAAATATGCTCAACCATTTCACTACTTGGCTGTGTGCCCCAGGAGGTCCAGGGCTTTGTGTCCTCTCTGCAGGCATGAGGAAAATGACTGAACCCCCCTGAGGCCCTTAACAATGACAAACAGAAGGTGAAAGGAGAGGATGAAGGGAAGAAAATATGAAGGAAACAGAATAGGAGAAGCTTTTTTTGATTTAGCCCTCCGTCCTTTACTTTTATTAACTCTCAAAACTTTAGGCTGCAAGCAGGGACAGACATAAAAAACAAACAATAACCTGGAGGCAGGGAAACAGGAGAAGAGAATTTCTTTCATCAGGGTTGGGATGAGGAGAGGGACGAAGGTAAAAATAGTCAGCTACAACCAGGGAGGACGAGAGGGACTGATTTGGATAACAAGCCCAGAGAAAGTTGACCCAAATATTGTACAAAAGAGAAAAAGAGAGAGAGAGAAAGGCTAAGGAGATGAAATTGATTGAAGGGTGTAATCCATGTGGTGGTGGAGTGATACACAGGGATCTATCTACCATAGTGATGTCAGCCTCACACAAACATAGTCCGAAGTGATTCCCCTATGGGGAAAATAAATGTCTTTATTGAATTTCTTTCAAAATAAAAGCAAGGATGGCAGTTTTACAGTTCTATGAGTTTAATACTGTAAATAAGTGTAAGATAATACTGACAGTTAACACCAGCATTTCCACATGTGGTTTTCAGAATTATCTGTAATATATCTTAAGCTGCTTGCTTATTATTCTTACATACTATCAGCTGATTGCTCTGTGATGATGGCTTTTGTGTGATCTCAAGGCAGTCATCGTGGGATTGGGTTTGGATAAGTGGTTCCACTTTCTGGTTGGCAAAGTACCAGCATTCGCTAAGCTCAAAGATAATGAACCCCCTATCAGGTCTTTTATTTCCTTCCTGTCTTTTTTTTATTAGCATAGAGCAACTTCAATATAATTCAGGAATATCCTCTCATTCTTAGGTTAAAGTTGGTGTTCCACAGGGATCAGTACTTGAACCACTTTTGTTTCAAATCCAAACCCTAAACAGTTTTCCCTTAAGTAATTTCCCAGTAAACTTTACTGAAGTTACTTTCAGGTTTGATAAAGAGTGCAACTCTAATAACATTCACCTTCATATAACTAAACAGCATGAGTAGTAACCCAGGCCTTAGAAGTGGGGGCTGCCTACTGGGACAAAAACATTTAAGTGTGAAAAACATGTGATAAACAAAGTCTATGTCTAAGGTGATTATGTGAAAATCCCATTTATTTTCCCCAGTGAAATCTCTTTAGAGCTGTAAATCTATACCAGGGCAAGGCTGACATCATATTAGATCATGAAGTAGGATGTAAGGGAGCAAGGCGTGCATGCAGACACTGTGAGGTGTAGTGCTCTGTTATGAAGAAGGGGAACAGTTGATAGTGTTTTACCTGTGGCTGCAGCATCAGGATCCCTGCCTTGGCGGTCTGCTTCTAGCCATTGGTACAAAGCTACGGACGAGCCGCATGCAGAAAAACATGGAGCAAAAAACAAAGAAAAAGGGGGCAATGTCAAAACAAATGCACACAGAAAAGCAAATTAATCAATGTATGGGAATGAGTAAAGCATGAATGACACATCAGTATCACAACAGAGCATGGCATTTAAGACAGAACACAAATGAGAAGGGGGCATTCTGAAATGGCACTTTTTACTCTTCAGTGTTATTTATATTAGACACTGAGTCACCTACAAGTAGTGCAATTACAGAGCTCAAATGGCCTAATAAGCATATGTCACAATATGCAGACACCTGCGGTATCTTAGATAAAAATTATGGGTCATTGTCTGCAAATTGTGACATTCCTATCTGTCTCTTTATAAGAGTTTTTACTGAATATTTGGTCTTTCAGGGAGGAAAAAGCGCCATTACAGAGGTGCATGACTCAATGAAAATGTTTAGATGCATGTCAGCGTCTGCATTGAATGATGGAGCTGTGAGTGGAGTAGTAGCGGTTTAATGTTAGTGAGCGGCAAATTCTTTTGAGTTAAACCAAGCAGCAGCGTTTGCACAGTGACAAATATTTTCAGAAGCAACAATTCACTAACATCATATTTAGATCTCAGTCAAACTCCAACAAACATTCAGAGTAAGGTGGGTCATGACTTTGCCATTTTTTTCCAAAGATAGCAAACAGGAAACAGTTAATGGATGGGTGCACAGACCTGTGTAGTCGACAGCAATTTCTGATACTGGTATCGGTATTGGAACAAAAATAATTTGAAAGAATGATCCAACCATAAAGTTTTGAATTTTAATCTTTTAAGCAGTTTAAACAGTTCTTCAGTGAAGAGCATGAACATGCACATATACAAATACATATTATACTGTAAAAAAGGAATAAGATCTGGGGAAATGTAGTTGTCAGTGGATTAAAGTGGCCCTCTAGTGATTTAGCACAGCACTTCCATAACGTTGGGGGACTAACAAGAGAAACACAGAAGAATAGTCAAAATTGAACCAGCAGATGCTGAGATATTGTGACTTTTAATCCAACATTTCCCATTATGCAACTGTACTGCATATTTTTGTTATATCCTCCCTGCCTGGTGAAGAAAGCGCATTTCTTTCAAACTCAGAGTCCTCAGTTCATAATACAGGCTTTCTGTTATAAATCTGTGGTCACCGAGCCCAAGCCGAGATAGCCCTGATGACATCATTTTGCCATCACCAGGATTATTGTCTTAGATGTGACAAAGCTCCTCCAGAGAAAGACATTATACAACTGGATGATTAAAATGGATGGCCTTCCCATTTAAGATACCATAACCGTATTTAGTGTAAACAGGCTTACCTTGTCTACCCTAAATGTGTAGATTACACCGGCATAAAAACAAGCTAATCTATCTGTTGATGGAGGTGCTGTGTGAGCACACAGGCAGTAGGCTAATCCCTGTGAGAGAATCTCTGCTCTTGTGACTGGAATCAACAGACCCTAGATTAGAAGCCTTAATCAGCTCGCTCCTAAACACGAATCTCCCTAGAAAAAGCAGGGCGCATTACAGTCAGAACACTGCTTGTTAGTTATCTTCATCCAAAGTGCCTTGAACGCAGCGCAGGGGGGAAATGATTCTAGCAGCGTTGGCCATATATACACTTGAAATCTATACAGGACTACAACTGTTAGCCTCCAAAATGTTGAGCAAGGTTTTCTCTAATGGAGTTAAAAACATAAAATGAATTTATGATGCAATAATGTGCACACTTACAGAAACATGGATAGTGCACTATGTGTCTGTATCCACACACACACACACACACACACACACACACACACACACACACACACACACACACACACACACACACACACACACACACAGCAGGGGTTTGTGTTTCAAGGTCATTATGGTGACACAAATATTTTTATTCAGCTGGTACGTTCCTAAAATAGACTGAGAATTGCAGACTCTTTCCAGGTGTGTGTTGCTCTCTCTCTCTCTCTAACACACACACACACACACACACACACACACACACTCACACACTCACACTCACACACACAAATAAAACACAGGGGCAGCCTACTGCTGATCTTTATGACAGACACACACCTCCCTGTCAGTTTTATGTAACTGCTGAACATTCATTAAGTCCACTATCTCTGCAGTTTGCTCCTCGCTGTGTGTCTCTTACATCACTCTGCTCTTCCTGTCTGGGACATGCAGTCTTTCACAATCTGTACACATGTTCAAGTACTGCTGTTTATATCTCTACCTCTAATTGCAATACGTAGCACTGCACTATCGAACTTAAGGGTCAGTGGGTTTATTTTTTAGTATTTCGAACATGGCCCTGTCAGGTCCAGTTTGGCCTGTTTGTGAGCCAATGTTAACCTTGAGGACAAATCTACCCGTCAAAGTACGTCCACTAAAAGGGCTTGTTTTTGCCACTGACAGGTTCAAAATGTTATTTTAATTGTCTGACAACAACAAGGAAATAATCATGACAGAGATGGACCTTATGTTTCACCAGAAACAGCTGTAATATTGCTATCACTCACCACCAGATACCATAGACAAATGTAGTAGTTTTACCTCATATCATTGTAACATTGTAACTTAATTCAAAGTGGACAGAAAAAATTCAAACTGTCGTTAGCCTTTCCACTGTTCCAACAAATCCGGTTCCAAAATAAATCCTTAATTCCTCGATGTAAATGACAAAAACAGCAGATTCAGTCAGGACACCATGACCCCACTGTATGTTTACATAGCAAATAGTTGTTTGTTTTCATGTTTTAAATCTCGTTTATATATATATATATATATATATATATATACATATATACAACTTTTAAATGAAAAAGATGAGAATTGATTAAATCTTTTCTGTGATGGATTAATTTGTGTGTAAATGGACTACAACATGCTAATCCACTGTCATAGTCTTGTCTTAAAAACAAAGTAATACTGGGAACATCCAGTTAATGTATAGCTAATCCCACCCTGAGCTGTAGAAAGGTAAATGATGGGCCTGTTTACATGGAAAGGTTCTATCAGTTTCATCATTCTGCACAGGAGAGGTAATTTTTCTCTTGTGCGCCACAGTGCTGCAGCGGTCCCTGGGAATGGACTGAAAGTCTCAGTAGTCATTCTGTGAAATGAGGTGTCACTTGGTTCAAACGGTGGATAAGTTACAAGTGAGGGAAACATTCAGTTGTTGTGTGAGAGGAAAACCACACATACGGTGCTGCTGCCGTTATCTGCTTCTTACATTACTGCTCCTCTGTCTGTTTGTCTGCCAGCTCTGTTCACTCTTATCTGCCCACTCTTTATCACTTCAATAACTTTCACAGATAAAATCACACCCAGACGTACACTCTAAAAAGATGCAAAGATACATTTTGTACATGTTCTGGATCATGTAAAGAATCTTCACAATCTATCAGTACACCCACACCCACACCCACACAGATCCTTGCATGTAAGCGCTGCACACAGGACCAATGAAGCAGTTTTGAGTGATTGTAATGATCAGAATCTGCAAGAGATCAATGACTTGCAGTATTAAGCTGATTAGGTATTGGTCTGACTATACTGCTGCTCCAAGCACACCGTGCTTAAGTTGATGGATTCATTATTGATGCTGCTTAAATGCTACTGACATCTAAATGGCACTAATGTTGCTCTGATATTCTCCAAGCACAATCCCGGTAATCCATTGTACTGTGTGCACACAGGGATCTTGTTACAATACTGAAATTTAATAAGTCCCATGAATTCCATGTGCAGGTCAAACCAACAATGAATGTATCTACGAACAAGTATCCTTCTTCATCCTTCTTAGAGCTCCAACACATCACTAAGTTACACTGGGTGACATGAACCTTCACCATGAACACACATTGTAGTTTATTTTGACCCAGTCCCACACACACCATCCAGCTGCCAGAAATATGCACTAGATGTACCACCATATAAAATCTGAGCTAAAAAAGTTGGAACCAATGGGTTTGTAGCAGAGAAAGACGGACTAAAACAATATTGGTTTTAATGGAATTTGTGGATGGAGAATATTGCCCTGCCTTATTCTTTAACAGCAGTTTTATTTTAGGTTAAATTCACTGTTTGACCGCATGTACACTACAGCTTCCTGTATCAACTGAAGTCAGACTGACTTGACATTAGAGATGGGCATGAGTACTTGCTTAGACGTCAGTATTCGTATCGAGTACTCATTTAGATCTGTGCATGCAGAAAATGAAAAGCACAAACGCTGTATCAGAGCAGCTCACTATACAGCAACAAAAGCAATTATGTTGGTGAGACAGTGTTAATACCAAAACCCACGGCCCTCTAGGACTCTGTATTGATGAGCAGGATTGATTGTTTTCAGCTAGCTTCATATTTATAATAGTACACTCATTACCCCCCTCAATCCCTTAAACTGGACAGCCCCAATTACCTCTGAATAGTTCTACTTGTTAAATTGCAATGTGAGCGGCAGCCAACAGGATTGCATTATGTCGGCAGGATCATTTAAAAGGCAACCGTGACTATATGCATCCATTTAGCTTTCACACTGTTGTGTTGTTTGTTTGCATTGTTTTCATGTGGTTTCCAATTTCCATCCGCACAAACCCATAAATAAAAATCATGACAGTCTTAACTAAATCGCACACCACTAAACTAAACCAGACAGTCTTGATATCAATAATATAACACATAATCCAACCTGTTACTGTGAGCATTCATTGAATGTGTAATATACTGTGACACAAACACAAATAATAGCAAAAATTCATAGATGCTGCCAAAAACAGAATACAACAGCATTTGCAACTAGACTCTGCAGCTTATGTCCTTATGTGTAGGTTAACAGATTAATATAATCTAGATCGGTCCAGCCGACATCCTGCACAGAGCTGTGCACACGTCAGTTAAATAGCTTTTGGCTGGGGATAGGACGTTACTGTACGATGTTTGCTGGATAATCACACTTACTCAA